GAAACGCATACACCGCGTTACCCTCCTATCGACAGCACAGGAGGGTCCCGGGCCTGCCAAGGACTCACCTGACAGTAAAGGACCGATGCTGCTTTCAATTGCTGATCATAGTGTTCTCTGGTGATTGATCAACAATGCTTTCAAGAAAAGATCTTAATTAAGGGGTTGGGGCAGGGGAGATGTAAACAGAGGAACTGCCTTGCTAGGCTTATACCTCAGATCTTGGAATATTAAAACCAGACAAGCCGAAACCGGTTTGGCTCAGTGGATAGAGCGTCGGCCTGCGGACTGAAAGGTCCCAGGTTCGATTCCGGTCAAGTGCATGTACCTTGGTTGTGGGCACATCCCCTGCTGGGGATGTGCAAGAGGCAGCTGATCGATGATTCTCATCATCATCGATGTTTCTAACTCTCTATCCCTCTCTCTTCCTCTCTGTAAAAAAATCAATTAAAAAAATATTTTAAAAAATAATAATAAAATCAGGCAAAATGAGCTCTGGGCTGGGCCTAAGCAGCTTTGTTTTCCTAAATAACGGTCTGCCGAGGTGACAAGGATGCATATACTGTGATTGCTGGACTGAAGAAACTCCGTGGCACCTCTTTTCCTACATGAGACGGAAAGTATCATCTCTCTTCCCCCCGACTTTGTGGTAACTGCACCACATAGCAAACCAACGGACACTTCTGTCCCTCAAGATCCGGGATTTGCAATGAAAAGGGGGCATTTGTAGCTGAGCTCCTTGTGATGTTAATGTCCCTGGTATATTTGGCAGCTACAATTCCATAATTAAATTCTCAATTAGAACATAAGGGTAGGCTTTTACTAAATGTTTCGGCTGCATCAGTTGTCACGTAGCTTATGATCAAAGATCGAGAGAGCATGTTAGTCCCTAGCCAGTTGGGCTCAGTGGGTGGAGCGTCGATTCCGGTGAAGGGCACGGACAGGGGCCTCGTGCGGGAGGCAGCCGATCGATGTGTTTCTCTCATGTAGATATTTCTCTATGTCTTCCCCTCTCTCTTCCATTCTCTCAAAAATCAATGGAAAAATATCCTTGTGTGAGGATTAACAACAACAAAATTAAAAATTAAAGCAGAAAGCGTGTTAGTCATGTTCAGAGAGGCTGCCTACAACATGGGTTCCAGGAGAAACGTATAACAGTACGCTTTGCCTGAGAAAATAGGAAACTATAACCAGTTTAGGCACAAAACAATGGCAGCTTAGACAGCGGCCATAACCATGCGTCTAGTTTCTGCTTTAAAGACAACGCCAGGCACACAGTCATGAGATACTTTGCAGGATCTCGGTTCTTCGATGTAGCTAGCACCCCTCGCTCTCACAGTTTGATTGTGTGTTTTCTGATGCACTGATTTTTGTCAAGCAGGAGGTAGCTCCAGGGCCACAGGAGAATTTATAAATGTGTTCAGCAGAAGGAGTCAATGCCTTTAAGAAAGTTGCGACCAGCCCTAACCGGTTTGGCTCAGTGGATAGAGCATCGGCCTGCAGACTGAAAGGTCCCAGGTTCAATTCCGGTCAGGGGCATGTACCTTGGTTGCGGGCACATTCCCAGTAGGGGGTGTGCAAGAGGCAGCTGGTCGATGTTTCTCTCTCATCGACGTTTCTAGCTCTCTCTCTCTCTCCCTTCCTCCTCTCTGTAAAATATCAATTAAATATATATATATATATATATTTTTTTTTTTTTTTAAAGAAGAAAGTTGCGACCAGCTACTGACTCCTAGGCGTCTGATACACAAAAGCCTTATCGATGGCTAGAGAGAGAAACACAGATTCTCCCTCAGTTCCCTGGAACTCCCCCTCCCCTGCTCCCCAGCTGCATAAAAACTGCCTACTTTAGCTTTTTTTGGGGGGGGGGGCAGGGGGGGGGACAGGAGAGATCTTGCTCTCCTGTCCTCTTGCTTTGGCAAAATAGAAGGAACATTTCTCTGCTGCCAAGCACCAGTGTCTACGTTTCGGCCTCCTAGCACATCAGGTACATGAGCCTGACTTTTGGGAAGTGATTTGGTAACAACATGGCAATGTCAGTCTTTCTATCTTTTTTTTTTTTATTTAAATAAATTTACTACACATCGAGTTAGTTACAGGGTGATGTAGTGCTGTTGGACTGGCAGCCGGCTCACCAGGCAGCTGGCAGAGTGACTGTGCACAGGTGATCCTCTGCATAAGCGCAAGTTCCCCAATCAGCAGTCTCCCAAACGGAACCCATGGCAGATTGGGGAGGGTCTGGGGACCCTATGGAAATGTTGCCCCCCCCCCTCTCTCTCTCCCTCTCTCTCTCTCTCTCTCTCTCTCTCTCTCTCTATATATATATATATATATATATATATATATATATATATACTTGCTTCCTTTACACATCAGCTCTTTAAAATAGGATTCTAGCCAAAACCAGTTTGGCTCAGTGGTTGGAGCGTTGGCCTGCGGACTGAAGTGTCCCAGGTTCAATTCCAGTCAAGGGCATGTACCCTGGTTGCGGGCACATCCCCAATAGGGGTTGTGCAGGAGGCAGCTGATTGAAGTTTCTAGCTCTCTATCCCTCTCTCTTCCTCTCTGTAAAAAATCAATAAAATATATATTTTTAAAAATTGGATTCCATATATAAAGTGCCTACCGACACTTCTGCAGAAAGACAAGCACTCCAAAAGAGAGAGAGTGGATGTTTTTCTCCCCATGGAAAATTCTTTCCTGGTATATCAGTGGTTTTCAGCTCTCAGCCCTGGCAGCACATCAGAATACTTAAGATTAGGGAGGGTGGGAGGGACATGCATGATAGCCACAAAACAGAAACGACCAATATCCACCATGAGAGGAATGAATAAAAAGTTGCAGCACATCCATGCATGGCAATAGTAACCAGCTACGGATACACACTTGAAAGCATTGTGCTAAGTGGAAGAAGCCAGCACTGGGATATATATTATATGATGTCATTCATATGAAACTCTATAGAGGAAGTAAAACTAACCTATACAGACTGGAAGCCGATTCCTCGGTGTCTGTCTAGGTCTGGAGGTGAAGACTGATTGCAGAGGGGCCTGAGGGATGCTTTGAGGTGTGGATATGTGTCATAACGTACTGAAGTGTACACTTAAAATGGGTGCCTTTTGCCTGGCCTGTGTAGCTCAGTGGTTGAGCATTGACCCAGAAACCAAAAGGCTGTTATTCAGTTCCTGGTTAGGGCACATGGCCAGGTTGAGGGCTAGATCCTCTGGGGTGGGTATGGAGGAGGTAGCCGATTGATGTTGTTGCTCTCCCATCGATGTTTCTATCTCTCTATCCCCTTCCTTCCTCTCTCTCTAAAAAATCAATTAAAAATATTTAAATAAAGAATGATCCATGGGAATATCTTAATAAAAAAAACTTAAAAGTGTTTAAAAAATAAATAAAATGTGTGCCTTTTACTGTATGTAAATTATACCTCAATAAAATTAATTTTTTTTAACCTTTTAACCGAGAGGGACCTATAAATACGTCAAACATAAACAATATCGGGAACGGGTAGGACAGATGAATACATCTTTGAAATATATGTTGCGCCCTGAGAGGGACGGTATATATTTTTTGTAATCTTTATAATTGTTTGTAAAATTTATAATTTTTTAATTCGATGTTTCCATTTTTTTGTTGGTATTCTTTTCTATTTGTTTGTAATTTTGTAGTTTCCTTTGTGCTTTATCTATAAATAAATGAAAAAATATATATTTCATTTATTTTAATTAAGTATAAATTAGAAAATAATAATAATATGAAATTACATCCTCTGGGCGTGACGTACTGACACGTCCTAGTGAAAGAGTTCGCGCCCGTTAAAGGTTGCATAATTAGAAAGGGAACTCCCTGTTAACAGGTTAAATATAAGATATTTAGGATCTACCAGAGACCAGTTATCAAATTCTCTGGGCAGGGGCCTGGCCATCTGTATTACTTGGACATTCTCTAGGTGGTAATTTTATTTGTAGCCAGTAATGCGAACCGCTTAGTCTCATGATAGCCTTTCTACTGTGCAACACCAGCACTGAATGTGCGTTTAAAGATGAGCTTTTAAAGCCACGTGTGGCAGCCCCACATTCTGCAGGTGCCACAGAGCTGGTTACTCATCCGCTCTCCCTCCTCTGGCTGTTGCAGCTGAAGTTAAGTCCACAGGCTCTGGTTCAAATCTCTCATCCACTATCTAGCTCTGTGACCTTGGGCTGGCAATTTTGTCTTTCCGGGCTTCAGTTTCCTCAGTTGTAAAATGGGCAGGATGATAATATAGAGGTGTCCTGAGGATTAGATGATTAAATGAGCTAATGTAAATAATGTTCTTAGAAGACTCCCTACTACATAGCACGTACTCTGTAAACGCTGGGTCTCGCGCTCGCTCTCCTTGGTTTCCTTCCCTTGCTCTTACTTTCTTCTTGCCGCAGTATTCTCTCCTCCATATCCGAGAAGAATGTTCTATATGTGGACTTCTCCCCTGTTGAAAATTGGTCTGGGTGCTTCCAGGACTGTTTTTGTGGCTGACATTGAGGAAGCAGAAAATAGAGGAGAGAAACACTCGAGGAAAAGGCTCATGGCCCTGCTGTCTGGTTTGGTGATTTACAATAACGGTCAGACCCTGCCATCGTGCACTTCCTCCTCTAAGGGGAGAGTGGCTGTGTCAGGGGAGTAGGAAGGAACCAGGGCTTCATTTCTTCGTTTCGACAGGCTTTGTTTTTTCCTTCCCCTGGAGTCTTCTGAGTGTCATGCTGGTTTGTAGGTCCTATGAGTTCTACATGGCTAGGAGGGGACTTTGTCCTTCCAGGGGTACCTCTGGGTTCCTCCCCACTGGTGCTTCCTGTGCTGCATTTACCTCTCGGGGCTGCCAGAGCTCCAGAGCTCCCCGGGTTCAAGACATTTGGGGAATAGAGCCCCCATGAGAACCAGGACTCCCCCTACCCTGACCTGTCCGGTCAGACCTGAGTCTAACTCGGTGTTCACCTGCCTTCCCTCCTCACCTTTCACAGAGCAACGACGCCTCAGGGAACACTTGGAACTGGTTGTACTTCATCCCCCTCATCATCATCGGCTCCTTTTTTATGCTGAACCTCGTGCTGGGTGTGCTGTCAGGGTAAGTCTCTGCTGCTTCCCCATCCCTCTCTCTCGGTCATCTTCTTCCCAGGAGGGGTCCATCAGAGCTTGTTTTCTTTCTCTCCGGGCAGGGAAAGTGTTCCCTTGCTTTGGGTTAGCCAGACAGTTATTAGCAAGCCATGTATAGTGTGTGGGTTGTGCAGAGCTGGGGGAACCCAGTGAAGGGACTCGTGGAGGGGCTGAAATCCAGCCCAGACTTGACTCACCACAGGGTGTCCCTGGCATGGAGCTGCCTCTTCCCAGGGAAAGGGGAGCTTCTTCCAATGCAGACCTCTCATTCAGAAGGTTTGCCCAAATGTTTCAGACCTACAACACAAGAAAATTCTATAGAATTTTGCTTTCTATCATTTACAAAACAAAACAAAACAAAAACAACAACAATAGGTTGGTTTCCCCTTCCTCTGTTTTCCAAATATAAAATTGCATCCTATAGGCAAACATGCATTTTTATGGTACATACTAGAGGCCCAGTGCACGGATTCAGCCTGGCCTGGCCTGTGCCCTCTCACAATGTGAGACCCCCTCGGGGGATGTCAGAGAGCCAGTTTCTGCCCAATCCCCGCAGGCCAGGCTGAGGGAGCCCACCCGTGCATGATTGGGGCTGGAGAGGGGCTGCAGGAAGACTCCAGGGCATGTCTGGCCCAGCTCACCTAGTCCCAGCAGCAAGCAAACCTAATGGTTGGAGTATCTGTCCCCTGGCAGTTAGTGGGCATCATTGCGACTGGTAGAACAGGTGCACTAACAGTCTGACACTTAGCTTATTAGGCTTTTATTGTATAGGATTGTTCCATATCCCCAGGATTGGTTTCTTCGGTTTAATCACAAATGAGTTTCAGTTTTCTTACCAACAAGAAGTCTGGAACTGGTTTGCTCCCTGGTGCCATCAGGGACCTTGGTTTCTTCTAGATTTCTACTCTGACATCTTTACCGGAGACTTTCAGTTTTATACACAAGATGGACATCCTACTTCCAAACAGGAAGAGGAAAGAGGAAATAGGATGGGGTGGGGCCTTACCTGGGAAGTGAGGCTACTGGTGAAATCAGCTCGTGTCTCATTGGCCTAACTAAAAACAGAGCTGAAAAATACTCCGGAGCTGAGAGTGCGGAGAATGAGGATGGCATGTGCAGCCAGCAGTGGTTGACATGGCTGGTTTCTGGCTTTGTTCTGTTCTCCGTCTCAGTGCAGTGGCTGGGAAATGTGCAGTGGCTGGGAAGCCGGCCGATACCCATTCCTAGAATATTCCGATTTTTCTCCCAGAAGATCCAATGCCACTTGTTAAAATCCTCTGCCCTCTAGAAACTTACACTCCCTGAAATTTCTAAAACAGCCGACTCTGGCTTCGTGTGTGTGTGTGTGTGTGTGTGTGTGCGTGTGTGTGTGTGTGTGTGTGTGTGTGTGTGTGTGGTGTGTGCATCCTGTGCTCCTGCAGGGAGTTTGCCAAAGAAAGAGAGCGGGTGGAAAACCGGCGGGCTTTTCTGAAGCTGAGGCGGCAGCAGCAGATTGAACGAGAGCTCAACGGGTACATGGAGTGGATCTCGAAAGCAGGTGAGGCCCTTTCATCCTGGGGCCCAGGCATGGACAGCCCCGGCCACGGAGCACACAGCCGTGCGTGCCGTTTGGAGATGGACGAGGGAAGGGCCGTGATGGGAGGAGAAAGAGGGCTAAACTGGTGGTTCCAATTTTTAGCAACAAGAATCCAGAATAAGATAGTGAAACTTCTGGATAAAGACAGGAGAGGGCATCGCATGGGGTAGCAAGCTCTAAAACCAGACTTTGGTTTACCTCCCAGTCTGCCACCTCCCAGCAATGCACCCTACTTCCCCATACCTCTGTGTCCCTGGCTGTTGAACAAAGATCGTGGTAGTACCTGCCTCATCGGGCTGTTTGGGGCCTCAGTGAGATAATCCAAGCTAAGTCACTTAGGAGGAGCAGTGCCTGACAACAGTGAGCACGTGTGTTTGCTCAGCCATTCAGAACACACTTATGCCAAAACCGGTTTGGCTCAGTGGATAAAGCGTCGGTCTTCAGACTGAAAGATCCCGGGTTTGATTCCGGTCAAGGGCATGTACCTTGGTTTCAGGCACATCTCCAGTGTGGGGTGTGCAGGAGGCAGCTGATCGATGTTTCTCTCTCATCGATGTTTCTAGCTCTCTATCCCTCTCCCTTCCTCTCTGTAAAAAATCAGTAAAATAGATATTTAAAACACACACACACAGAGACACTTGCAAGGCACCACTGTGTGCCAGGCACTGTTCCAGGCATTAAAGATACTGCCGTGAACAACACAGACCAAATCCTGCCCCAGGGGGCTCTACCTTCTAGTGAAGGAGACAAAAAATAAATAAAGACGGTTAATGTTGGGTGCTGCCAGATGCTCAGAGGAAAAATAAAGCAGGGCAGGAGGTAGAGAACGGTCAGAGGGGGCAATTGGTCAGAGTGGGTCTCTCTGGGGAGGTGACCTCTGACCTGAGGGAAGTGAGGAAGGAAGCATGTGGCTGTCTAAAGAGGGGCGTCCCAGGCAGCGGGAACAGCAGGAGCCAAGGCCCTGAGTGAGCAGCAGAGTGGAGTCCAAGCAAGGAAGCCAGTGTGGCTGGAGCCAAGAGAAGGGGAGAGTGGGAGGAGAGGAAGACGGGGAGGTGACGGGTCCCAGATCGGGGAAAAGCCTATGAGTGGATTTTGTTCTTTTTTTTTTGGAGGGGGGGGGGGGTGTTCTGAGGGAGGTGGGGATAATGTGGCGATTGCCACGTTTGCTGACATGAGCCTGGGAGTCAGAAATAGCTGAGCAGCGTGTTTCCGGCTGATGGCGCTGTCGCCGTCGGCCAGGGGGCGCGGTCGGGCAGACCCTTCTCCTCTCTGTCTGAGGGGAGGAGTCCTCCGACACCGGAGACTAACTGTGTGCTCTTCTTCCTCAGAAGAGGTGATCCTCGCCGAGGATGAGACTGACGGGGAGCAGAGGCACCCCTTTGATGGTAACTTCTGGACCTGGCTCGGGGGGGTCTGGAGGAGCGGGGGGAACAGGCCCCGGGGTCCTAAGGGGCCTCCAGGGGATGGATGGTCAGCATCCGGGTGGTGCCAAGAACAAACATCAGGGTCAGGGTCAGGGTCGGGAAGATACAGGGAAGGGCAGGAATCTGCTTCCTCGAGGGATTTTGGGACCTCGGCAGAGTCTGCACCTTGTGGCCGACCCTTTCTGCCTTCACCATGTCCCATCCCCATCTGCTGTGTGCCTCCTTTTTTTTCTCATCTTCACAACGGGCACGGCCACAGTAACACCTGCGGCACCGGGCTGTTTCTAGGGCTACCTCGGTTCTTCCGAATAGAAGGCCTAGCACAGTGCCCGGCTCAGGGTCAGCGCCCTTTGTGTTTGCTAAATTAAAAAAAAAAAAAAAAATAGTAATAATTTCACCAAGAATCCAGCTTACTGTTGAGGGCCGTTGTCTCCTGTGTTAGAGGTTCGGCTAGATGGAACCAGTTTTTATTGGAAATGCCAGAGGTTAGAAGGACGTGAAGGAGCTGGGGACTCCATCCCCTAAGTTACCAACTGGATTTTACTATTTGGGGGGAAGGGAGGAGATTGCCCATGGGGTTGACTGAGTCACTGTATTAGACATCAGTGCCTCCACTCACCGTCCCCTGGACAGGTCTGTGGCAGTGAAGCGTCAATACTGAGGGAGGCGTCCCCCGTCCCAGCCTGCCTAGCAGGTATACAAAGTCCAGGGGAGGCCGTCTCCACAGGAGCCCTCCCCCCCAGAAGGGACGCGGTGGCTGAGATCCCAGACTTAGACTGAACACAGCCCTTGAGTACCCACATGACCTCCCTGCGTCCCAGTCTGCACATCTGTAACACCGGCACGCTGTGCCTTCCCGCCAACCTGGACTGCCACGAGGGATAGCGCCAGCGCCACCTAGCATGTCCCCGGGGGAGTGCCGGGCCCGAGGACACACGCGGTCGCGTCGCTGCTGCTGCAAAAAGGGTCACGTCCTTTTCTCTTGCCATGTTTCCATTGTTGGAGCTCTGCGGAGAGCCACCATCAAGAAGAGCAAGACGGATCTGCTCAACCCCGAGGAGGCGGAGGACCAGCTCGCCGACATCGCCTCTGTGGGTGAGTCTCCCCCATTCATCGCCGCTCTCCCGGCGGGTGAGAGCTGAAGGCGTGGGCACCTGGGGGCTTGGGTTTGGGCCCGGACTCGGCCCCTCCGTGCCTGTGTGCCCTGGGCAGATGTGAGGATGATGATGGGAATAACGGCAGTGCCCGTCTTCTAATACTGTTGGGAGGATGAGACTAAAGGATCCTCCATCAGCATTGAGAACAGCTTCGGGCAGAAAATAAGCTGCCGGTAAGGTTGCCTGACATCATTCACTCGCTTTCATGATGATATTATTATTCATTCGTTATTCAGTGTGATAATCTTATTCATGAGTGCTCTTCCAGTGGCTGCTCTTACGAGGTGCCCAGTCGTGAACAAGACAGAGACCACACCCCTCGCACGTGGAGCTTGCCATGTAGTGCAAGAAATAGATATTAAACAGATCGTTATGCAAAGATGCCTGTCATGATAATGGCACTGCAGAGGCGATGCCCTGGGCGGGGCCTGCCTTGGGAGAGCAGGTGTGATCGGGGAAGCCTTCTTGGAGGAGGTGGCATTGAATAGAGAACTGGAGGCCGGAGAGGGGTTCACCGTGGCAGGGAAAGCAGAGAGAAGCATGCAGAAGGCTGCACTTGGAAGCATGCAGAAGGCTGCACGGTTGTCCTTGGTTATCTCAAAGGGTAGAGTTTGGCTCTGACCGGTTTGGCTCAGTGGATAGAGCGTTGGCCTGCGGACTGAGGGGTCCCAGGTTCGATTCCAGTCAAGGGCATGTAACTTGGTTGCAGGCACATCCCCAGTGGGGGTGTGCAGGAGGCAGCTGATCAATGTTTCTCTCTCGTGAATGTTTCTAGCTCTCTATCCCTCTCCCTTCCTCTCTGTTAAAAAAAAAAAAAAAAAAAAAAAAAGGCAGAGTTTGGAATGGGAGGGAACTTTACCCTTTTCCTGCTTACCCATCTTGGTCAAGACGCTGTTGCTTTTGACCTTCACCAAGGAGACTATCTTAGTTTTTGAATTGGGTTTCCCAAATTCCAAGGATGAACGAGGTGGTGGGAGAGCATTGAGGCAGAGGAGGTAATACAGGACGCAGAAGGAAGAAAGCTTATCGGCTGGTGGGGGAACTGTGTGGCTGGAACAGAGAGGAAGAAAGGGTGGGAGGAGGAGGGAGTGAAGGAGAGGAGAGAACTTAAATACACGCATTTCTAATCCACTGGCATCATCTACTTTATACTTTTTTTTTTTTCACTCAACCCTAGTTTATCACCTGACCGTTGAGTTTTGACAGAATTTCCATTGCGGTCTCATACACCATAAGGGCGTTTACCCCAGAGTTGCTTAGCCGTGGCTCTATTGTGTGGTGTTTGAGCTGTTTCCAATGTTTGCCCTTGTGAGGAGCACTGCTGTGAACGTTTATGTACAATTACTCCCCCCACCCTTTGGGCGTGTTTCCTTGGGGATAATTATAGGATCAAAGATATTAACAGCTTTTCAACTCATTATTCACAGAGCACTTCTGAGTTTTAGAAACACACTGAACCCATTTGTAAACCTGCCAACTACCCATGCGTTCCAGGGTTCCCCGCCCCAGCCATCGGGCCTTCCCCGCACATTCCTCCCTTCATTTCCTTCCCGGTAAAGTCAGTTTATAATGATGCCTTAAAGCTTGTTTCCGCCCTAACTGGTTTGGCCCAGTGGATAGAGCATCTGCCTGCAGACTCAAGAGTCCCAGGTTTGATTCCGGTCAAGGGCATATACCTTGGTTGCGGGTACATCCCCATTAGGAGGTGTGCAGGAGGCAGCTGATCGATGATTCTCTCTCTTTCTCATCAATGTTTCCAACTCTATCCCTCTCCCTTCCTCTCTGTAAAAAAAAAAAAAAAAATCAATAAAATATATTTATAAAAAAAAAAAGAATGAAGTGACCTTTAAAAAAAAGCTTGTTTCCATTTGCATTTGTAACCTCTAGCCACGACACCCTTCCCCTTAATGAGGAACTAGTTCACTTCACTTGTGGATACATCTCTCTCTCCTTCCAGCAAGTTTAAGGACTAGAGCTCCATCAGTGCTCATTGCATTTGATTGGTTATGTCTGTCCTTGTGTGTTTTCCCAGTTAGGTTGCCTCCATTTTTTAAAATCTGATTGGTTTTTTTAGGATAGGCAATCTTTTCTGTTCACATCACATTTATCAAATGCCAAGCAGTGAAGAAAAAAAAAATGGGGTCCTCAAGTCAGGATCTTCTCTAGGAACAAGATTAGCTATCTGGGCTTACGTAACAGGGAGATGGTATTATTCAGCAGTTATTGAAAAAAAGATGAAAAATGGTACTATCTGATGTCAGCAAGGATGTGAGGAGGTGGACACTGTCTTATGCCATTGGCAAGCGTATAATTTGCAGTGTATGGTTTGGCATTATTTAAATAATTAATTCTAAGTGTTTATGTCCTTTGACCTAGCATTTCCACTTCATACACACACATACATACATATATATATCCATGTATGCAAAAGGTCTATGGACAGGCCTGGCTGGTGTGGCTCAGTGGTTAAGCATCAGGCCATATGCCTGTGTCATGGGCTCAATCCCCAGGAGAGGGCATGCAGGAGGCAGCCTATCAATGATTCTCTCTCATCATTGATATTTCTATCTTCCTCTCCCTTCTCTGAAATCAATAAAAATATGTTTAAAAATTAAAAAAATATCTATGCACAATTTCTTCTCAGCAACATTGTTTCTGGTGTCCAAAAAGTAAAAGCCAGAAACAGTACATGGGCCCAAAACTGGGAAGATAGTTAAAGATATTATAATGTTTACATGCAGCCAATAAAAAGAATGAGGTTGGCCAAAACCGGTTTGGCTCAGTGGTAGAGCGTCGGCCCGCGAACTGAAAGGTCCAGGTTCGATTCCGGTCAAGGGCATGTATGTTGGTTGCGGGCACATCCTTGGTAGAGGGTGTGCAGGAGGCAGCTGGTTGATGTTTCTCTCTCATCGATGTTTCTAGCTCTCTATCCCTCTCCCTTCCTCTCTGTAAAAAAAATCAATAAAATATATATTTTTTAAAAAGAGTCAACTAATGAAGGCTTAAATAAGTGGAACAACAACTCCTCTCCCTCTCAAAATCAGTAAATAAAAACAATAAAGTTGCAGGCTCATCCCCGGTGGGGGGTGTGCAAGAGGCAGCTGGTCGATGCTTCTCTCTCATCAACGTTTCTAGCTCTCTATCTCTCTCCCTTCCTCTCTGTAAAAAAAAAAAAAAAAAAAAAAATATATATATATATATATATATATATATATATATTAAAAAATAAAATAAGTAAAAAGAATGAGGTTGCTACTAGCATGGGAAAAAATTTTTTTTATCAGTGTATGTATTTATCAGTATTTATCAGTATTTAAAGCAGGCTACACAACATTATGTAAAATGTGTGTCCCCAATTTAAAGACAGAAGTAAAGAGTGCACAGATGTAAGAAACGCCCAAAGTCGTAGAAAATTTTTATGTATTTAGTTGAGCAAATTGATGACATTTCCAGCAAATTGATGACATTTCCAGCAAACAAGACCTCCAATGCTCTGAAAAATGGCAGTTTACCACTTCTTTTATATATTTGAGATTAAGGAGGGAAAGGAAGGAAGATGCCATGAAGGTGAGAGAAAGCAAGTGACGCTCAGTGTTGAGTGTCAACCCATGAACCAGGAGATCACGATTCGATTCCCAGTCAGAGCACCTGCCCAGGTTGTGGGCTTGATCCCCAGTGTAGGGTGTGCAGGAGGCAGCTGATCAGTGATTCTCGCTTATCATTGATCTTTTTTCTTTCTCTCTCCCTCTCCCTTCCTCTCTCTGAAATCAAATTTAAGAAAACTTAAAAAAGAAAAGAAAAGGCAGGCATTTGGATTACAGGATAATTAACAAGATCATGTGCTCCTTTGAGGGTGGCTGTGTCTCTGAGGGGTCTGAGGAAAATGTGTTTCTGAGGTCTGTTAACCTAGATGCACAGCAACATGAATGGGCAGGGCTGGCTGAAGGCGGATATAATCCTTTTCCCAAAGCTAAATGCCTGGGGCATGACCGCCTTCTATGATCTGCCCAGGTAGGATTTTATGGTCAGATCGCCCTGGGAGGTGGCTTTGGGTTAGGACTATTTCAGCACGCTTTCTCATCCACAAGAGGAAGGTGTTGAACTTGGAGGGCTTGGAGGGATTTTCACCACTTACGAGGTATTTTTCTGCAATATACGAATTCGTGACACGGCATTGCTTTTGAAATCAGAAAAGTAATTAGGCAAGCTTCAAGTTACATAAAAGCAATGAAGTCTAATTATAAGAGATCTCATGGCTATCTGGGGCGGGGAGGAATTTGGTGGAAACACAAAGGAAGTTTCCAGAAAGGCATTTCTAAACTGGGCTTTCTGTGGAACGGGGAGCGTTTATTCGTGCTCCGGGGCCACCATAATCAAATCGCACAAGCTGGGCGGTTCTAACAACAGATACGCACCGTCTCACAGTGTTGGAGGCTGGAGGTTTGAGACAAGGCATCAATAGGGTTAGTTTCTCCTGAGGCCGCTCCCCTGGGCTTGAAGATGGTCCTTTTCTCCCTGTGTCTTCACATCATCGTTCTGACCTTTACTTATAAGAGCACCACCACCCTGGGTTAGGGCCCAGCCTCAGAAGCTCGTGTTAATATCATCACCTCTTTAACGGCCTTGTCTCCAAATGCAGTCACATGGTTAGGACTTCCCCTTGTGGATTTGGTGGGACACAGCTCAGCTCCTTAGAAGGGGGCGATGCAGGAAACCGGGGGAGATGGCCACAGAGGGCTTGTCGGTGGGAGAGCCTGCTCTTGAATGTGTGGCTGACATGAGAGCACTTGCTTCTTGGAGAACCCAGAGTTCAGGCTGGCATTTGATGAACGTGTGATAACGGGACGGCGAGACTCTGAGGTACGCACTGTCAGACTGAATAAGACCCGACGGTGTCCTAAGGCATCTTTAAGAAAGCCCGTGATGGTCAGCTTTCTAAACAGATTCAAAACGTAGGCCAGGGACGTGGTCTCCTGGGACCAAGCTTGCTGCCTGCAAACCCACCAAAATCCAGTTTCTTTTGCCTGGTAGCTCAAAAACCACTCTGGCCCTAACCGGTTTGGCTCAATGGATAGAGCCTCGGCCTGTGGACTCAAGGGTCTCAGGTTTGATTCCGGTCAAGGGCGTGTACCTTGGTTGCGGGCACATCCCCAGTAAAGGGTGTGCTGGAGGCAGCTAATGGATGGTTCTCTCTCATCGATGTTTCTAGCTCTCTATCCCTCTCCCTTCCTCTCTGTAAAAATCAATAAAATATATATATATTTTTTTAAAAAAAAAGAAAACTTTATTTAAAAAATAAAAACCACCCTGGTCTCCTAAACCATCCCAAAGAGACCTCTAGAATTCCAAGGTTCTGACAAACAGGTCTTTTCACCTTTATTTATCTCTGTAAAAAAAAAAAAAAAAAAAAAATTGATAATAATAGCGATTTAAATAAATGTCGGATGCCCTGGCTGCTTTTGCTCAGTGGTTGGAGCATTGGCCCGCAGATGGAAGGGTCTCAGGTTCGATTTCCAGATAAGGGCATGTATCAGAGTCCCCAGCCCTGGTCAAGGTAATGCAGAAGGCAGCCAGTAGATGTGTCTCTCTTACACCTCTCTCTTTCTCTCTCTCTCTCTCTCTCTCTCTCTCTCTCTCTCTCTCTCTCTCTCTCTCACACACACACACACACACACACATATATATCTTTTTTTTTTTCTCTCTCCCTCACACACACACCACCCCCTCCCCCCAGGCCTCATTTATAGTTGATGAACTTATAGAACTAGAGTCATCTGTAGGAAAAGTTGAGCCATGAACGGAAGCTGCCATTCATAGCACCGTCTCTTTAGAAAAATCCAACTTTAATGATATAAGTTCCATTTACACTGAATTCGTTTCTTGGGGCTGCCAGCCCAAAGCACCACAGACTGGGCAGCTTAGAACAACAGAGATTTATTCTCTCACTGCTCTGAGGCCAGAGTTCAAACTGAAGTCCAGGTGTTGGCGGGGCTGTGCTGGCCCTGAAGGCTCCAGGGGGGAATCCGGCCCATGCTTTCCTCTGAGCTTCTCGTGTGGTCAGCAGTTCTTAGCAACCTTTGGTCTGTCCGTGCATCCCTTCAGTCTCTGCCTCGTTTGCCATGTGGACTTCTCCTATGACTTCCTGTGTCTCTTTTCCTCTTACAAGAGGCCCAGTGCACGGATTCATGCACATTGAAAGGAAATTAATTAGAAGGCCAGCAGGGCAGGACTGGGCGATATGGGCCAGGCACACCCTGGAGCCAACCTCCTGTGGTCCCTCCCTGCCCGGCTGCACCTGGGGGGGCACCAGGGCTCAAAAGGCATCTGTGAAATGAGCAGGGTCCCTCTGGCAGGTGGGGTCCCTTGGCCAGGCCTGTGGGGATGGGGCTGAAAACTGTTCTTTGACATCCCCCAAGGGGTCCCAGAGTGCAAAAGGACACTCTGCAAAGTTGCTGTCACTTGGCAGCTCCTGTGTTGAGCATCTGCCCCCTGGTGGTCATTGCACATCACAGCGACCAGCCAGTGGGCCAGTCACTTAGCCTTTTATATATATAGATAAGGACCCTAGTCATTGGATTTAGGGCCCACTCTCATCGAGTCTGACCTCATCTTAACATGATGGCATCTGCAAAAACTCTACTTCCAACCAGATAAGGTCACATTCACAGGTGCCAGGGGTTAGGACGTCAGCACCTTTCTTTGAGGGAAAGTTCAACCCATCACTTGGGCAGCACTGTTTCAATGTGCAGAATTTTCAGGGCAGCGAAATGACCAAAGATCCCCAGATCAAACCTTGCTGGTAACATACTACTGTCCTCGCCACAGAACTTTCCAGATTGGTACTGGCCTCCCCTGGCTCTTGACGTGTCTGAACTGAGATGTGTTTCATAATAACATACCAGATTTTGGAAAACTTAACACCCAAAAGAAAGAGTGTGAAAATCTCTCTTTAATACATTTCTATATGGATTCCATATTGAAATGATATTTTGGAACTATTTGGTTTCATAAAGTAACGTATTAAAATTATTTTTAAAACCTAAGGCTTGCCTACAATTACAATTCAAGACCACAGAGAAAATGTAGAGAGAAGTATAGAAAAGTAGACCGTGGGTCAAAGTGAATATGAAATAAAATAAATATAGGTGACAGAACGCAGCTAGTATGGGACCTGGCACGTAGTAGGTGTTCAGTTAATATTCACTTCCCTCCCCCTTCCTGATGACAGGTATGCCTGTTGTGGGATATGTCTGCAGGCCTGGGCATCAGGAAAGATTTCCTCAGTGAATTGGCATGTGGGCTGTTCGATAGGAGAGTTTAGGCCTAATAATCATTACATGCCTGCATCACATAAGGTGTATTAACCCACTGATTCCTCCCGATGGCCCTCTGAGGTGGGAAATGTGGCTGTGCCCAGTTTACAGATGGAGGCACGAGAGTCCCAAGACGTAGGGTGACTTGACTTGCCCAAGGTCACTCGCCTCGGTGATGGAGCCAGGTTTTCAATGTGGCTCCAATAGGAGGAGAAGTCGGAAGACTCCGGCCCACTGTGAGGTATCTCTCTCTCCACACACACACACACACACACACACACACATGAATATCCCTCCCTGAGTCCTGAGACTTTCAAGAATCTCATTTCCCTTTGCCATGCCTGTGGGTCTGAGCCCATCTTTGGGAGCAGCAGGGACCAGAAATACCCCAGCGGGGCAGGGCCCTGTGGAGCGTCCCTGGGCTCTCGGGTCCAGTGGAGAGAGGCAGGTGAGGGGCACGCGGGGAGAGTGCCATCGGCTGCCAGGTGGGAATGCGGCCCCCTCCCTGGTCATGTGTTCTAGGAGTGAATGCAGTGTGGTGGCCGAGAACACAGGCTCTGAGCCAACTCAGTGCTTCTTAACAGTCGCCAGACCCCTCTCAGCCTCCGCTTCCTTGGCCATAAAGCGGGTTAATGACAGGCCCTACTTCCTGAGGTTGCAGGGAGGAGCGAGCAGGCTCATGCAAAGTGTGCCCCGCCTGCCTGGTGCCTACAAATGTACAGGAAAGTCAGCTGTTGTCTCCTTTCACGAGAGGATCAGTCATTTCAGCTTTCACAAACTCGGGATGAACCAGTATGGATGGCCCCCGGGATGCCAGCTCGCAGCCGCTGTTTAGAATTTTGCTAACAGGAGGCGGCATCCTACAAGAGGGTAGCTGTGTCCATGCCTGGCTGGTGGGCTGGGGTTGATAAGCATGCCTGGTGGATAGACAGGTGAATGAACAAATGAAGGAATGCATGGATGAACACATAATCATGGACAGCTGAATGAGTGAATGAATGAACAAGTGAAAAGATGGGAATGAATGAGCAGAGGTGCACACGAATGAATAAATGCACTGGTAAATGAATGAAGGCATGAATAAATGAACAAATAAGTGCACTAATGAATGAAAAAACCTGACGAATAAGTGAAAGAATGAATGAACCAGTGAAGAACAAATAAGCAAATGAATGTGATTGAAGGTTTTCAAGAAGGGGAATTTTAGAAGATAAAACCAACATCCAACACAGATCTCCGACCCCCCCATACCCACAACCGCAAACCTCCCTCCCTCATTGGACGGTAGCTCTTCCCCTGGGTGCTCAAGTCAAAAACCTGGCTCCTCCCCCCACCACCCACCCACAATGATCCACAGCCCGTTGAAATCTACCTTAAATAATATATCTCAATCTTCCTACTCCTCTTTCTTCTCAGTCATGACAGAGTCCAACCCCCGTCAGCATTTGCTTGGACTAGAGCAGTAGCCTCCGCTGGTCCTATCCATGCTCTCCACAGTCTGTTCCTCCCACAGCAGCCAGAGGGCGCCTGTGAGCACCTATGTCAGGGCACGTCCCTCCTCTGCTCAGAACCCTCCATTGGCGCTCACCTCAGAACAAAAGCCAAAGTTCTCCCTCAGCACACAAGGCCCTTCACAAGCTGCCTTATCACCTACCTGCCCTCACCTCTGCTCCTTTCCTCCACTCTGGCTGTTCTGGCCTCCTTAGGCTGTTTGAGAGGCAGGTACATTGCTGCCTCAGGACCTTTGCACTTGCTGTTAATACAGCCTAAGATACTAAGTGATTTAGGTCAATGCTTTCCCTTTGACCACTTGATTTAATATTGAAGCCTGCCTTGTGGTCCATCCTGGGGCTCCCAACTTCCTTATCCTACTCTGTTTACTTTTCCAAAAAGACTTGTCACCTCCCATTACCCTGTTCACTATTTTGTTATGTTATCTTCACTGTGTATCTTCCCACGGGAGCGTCCCTCCCAGGAAGGTAAAGCTCTGCCTGTTAACTGGAGAATTCAGGGCATCTGGAACAGAGCCTGGCACACAGTAGGCGCTTCGTAAGTGCTTAAGAGCAAAAACATGTGCAGGCAGAGGCACAGCTGGCTCATGACTCAGTGGTGATCATTTCTAACGTGAAATGTCCATGGAAAACCAGGGTCCTAGTCAGGCCTCCTCCTGGAGGCTTTCCGAGCATGCTCCCTGCGGCCCCGCTGTCCACCCCTGCACTGGGACCCTGGGCCGAGGCGCCCGCCCCCTCCTGCCCCAGGGCATGGTACACAGAGTCCTCAGACCCCACCACGATGGAGAGACACAGAAGGTTAGCTCTGGCGGCGAGAGCCAAGAGCCTCCTCCTTGACCCCTGAGTCCTCCTTGGTCATTCCCAATGCCATGGCTTTCAGGGACCTCCCCTCGTAAGCTCCGTGTCTGGGGAGCTCAGGCCTTGGGTCGTGACGGTCCCCCCGGGCCTGGGTGCTTGTTGGGGAGGCTGATGGGCCCCCGGGCACCACCGGGGCCGGAGTCACACAGTTCGTTTCCTCCGCAGGAACGCCCTGACATTCTCCATCCTTTCCCTGGCAGGGTCTCCCTTTGCCCGAGCCAGCATCAAAAGTGCCAAGCTGGAGAACTCGACCTTTTTTCACAAAAAGGAGAGGAGGGTGCGTTTCTACATCCGCCGCATGGTCAAAACTCAGGCCTTCTACTGGACTGTGCTCAGTCTGGTAGCCCTCAACACGCTGTGCGTTGCTATCGTTCACTACAACCAGCCCGAGTGGCTCTCCGACTTCCTCTGTGAGTACCGGGGCCCTGGCCCCCCCGCCCCGCCCCACCCCGCCCCCGCCTCACCCCACTCCCTCCCAGTTCTCTTTCTCCAGCGGTACCGGTCTTCCTTTGGTCCTCGGTGAATCGCCTTTTCCTTTGGCCACGTCTGCAGCGGGGATTGGCACTGACGTGGCTGCCGCCACAGGGACGAGCCCCAGCTTCTTTGGGCCTGAGAGCTGGGAGCTCGAATTCAGGCCACCACCCACTTCTGTGACCCCTTTCTGAGAGAGAGACATGGGGGTGCTGGCGCAGGCTGTATTGGCAGGGAGACAGAGAGGCCGAGACGGCCAGAAAGGCAGATAGAGATAAAAACATGCATGCTGCCGAAACCGGTTTGGCTCAGTGGATAGAGCATCGGCCTGGGGACTGAAAGGTCCCGGGTTCGATTCCGGTCAAGGGCATGTACCTTGGTTGCGGGTACATCCCCAATAGGGGGTGTGAAGAGGCAGCTGATCGATGTCTCTCTCTCATAGATGTTTCTAACTCTCTATCCCTCTCTCTTCCTCTCTGTAAAAAATCAATAAAATATATATTTTTTTAAAAACACACACACATGCATGCACCTCTGGGAATGTTAAAACAATTTGTAGTTGAGAGATGGGGGTGCCTCAGGGCCAAAAAGGGGTCTCATTTTATCCGCTTACAGCTGACTTACGCTTCTCCCCTCTCCTATCAAACCTTCCGCTTCTTCCCCCTTTCCTCTCCTGCTCTGTTTGACCTCCTTATTTTGGGGTTCATCCCTACAAGATCCCCTCCAGCAAATGTAAGAGCATCTTGCTCCCTCAGTGGGCACCAGAACCCCCAAAGCTTTGCCCTTCGGGGCTTATTCCCATATGCCAGGAATTCGCTTGAAATAATAACTAAGTTGATGGCCAGGTAGAGGTTAGGAGAAGCAGTGAAAGGTAGACCTCTGACCAAGATTTTAAAAGTAAAGAGCCTGACCGGTGTGGCTCAGTGGTTGAGCATCGACCTATGAACCAAGAGGTCAGATTTGATTCCCGGTCAGGGCACGTGCCCAGGTTGTGCTCAGTCCCATGTAGGGGATGCGCAAGAGGCAGCCGATCAATGATTCTCGCCTATCACGGATGTTTCTCTCCCTCTCCCTTCCTCTCTGAAATCAATTTAAAAAAAATTAAAGTAAAGAGTTTTGAGGAATCAACAAGAGTAGTGGCAGTGGCTGGGCAGTAAAGAAGGCAAGTGGATGCCCTGGATCTGGCTGTGGCCCCTGAGTGAGGACTGAACCAAAATCATTTTGCCTGCAGATGGTCCTCCTCCTGCATTTGCTGGCTTATCTGATTCAAGTCTGTGGATTCTCTGCCTTCTGACATTGTTCAGAATTGACCCAGACAGCCACTGGAGACAGTCAAATCTTCAGCCTACAGAGGCCTGGGAGCCTGGTCCAGGTCACTGTCTCCTTGTAACCCTCATTGTTTCCAGTCATATTGGCTGACCCTCCCAGGACATCACCCCCGCCCCCTTGGGGCCAGGTCTCCTTCCAAGAGCCCTGACCTAGTTCCAACCTTAGTAATTGCATTTGGTCCCCCTGGAGTCTCTCGCAAATGAGGACTCTCTACTTCTAGCCTTAACCTCCTCTGATAGTCTATTTTTAATCTCCCATAGTCTCCCCACTAATCACTTTGCTCTGCCTGCCCTGGTTCAGGGAAAGAAGGTTGGAACTCTCTGCCCTGGGCCTCTGTGTCTATAGAGGCTCTTTAATTATCCCCAGGTGAGAAAACGGAGACACAGAGAAGCTAAGTCATTTTCTCAGGGTCACACAGCTAGTTCACGATGAAGTCGAGATTGGAATTCTGACTCCAACTGGTGTCTGACGGCAGATATCCCTGTCCTGGCCACCAGGTGCCCTGGGTCCTCAATGCCTACCCCTGCTTTGCCCTGTGACCTTGAATGAGCCATTAACATATCCATTAATTGAAGACATCTCCCATTAGAAGGCACTCTTATTTTATGTGCCACCAAATAAATAAATAAATAAATAAATAAATAAATAAATAAATAAATAAAACTCCTGTTTAAACTAGGACATGCCGATTTTAATATACATTTCAATTCCAGAAATGTCAGAATGTGAACCAAAAAAATGTATGTCTTGGAATCAATGAAGTATAGGTGTTTCTCTGATTTCTCACCTGTACTTGGTGGAAGTTCCTTCCAGACCCACCAATGCCATGGACTGTTCTCTCAGGTTTTGTGCATCCCTGGCTCTCATGTTTCCATGGTAACTGGGGAACAAGCTTCTTGGAAACTCTGATGGTTCTTGGAATGCACCCACTGTTATGGACAGATTTCCCTCCCTGACATTTTGGGCCTGGAGGTCCTGGGGAGCCTACAGTGCCCCTCAGACGTGGGAAGCTCGCTCGCGTCCTGGGAACAAAGGGAATGTTGTGACAGGAATGAGTGGGCAGGACCTTGGTGACAGTGGGTTCAGGCCATCTCTTCAAAGAATATACAGCAAGCATCCTGGCCCTTCAAACAGCATTAGCTGTGTGACCCAGATGGAAATTCTTGGAAGTGTGAGTCCTCTGTCTTCCCTTTCTGTATGCTTTCTGCCCCTCAGAAGTCCTCCTTACCTCTCTCTCCTATCCCTTAGGCAAGTCCCTGTGCCCTTCCTGCCCCACTAACAAGCCCCCCCAGAAACAGACCTCATGTCAGACATTCCTTTGACAGTGCAAAAAGAAAATGCCCAGTGTTATTGCTCCCAGAGGCATTTGCTCTGTTATGCTTTCCCGTGCAAGGACAAAAGGCTTTCTCTTGCTCAAGACCGGACTTCCAGGGGGCATCAGAGAGGTTTTCCGAGTTGACAGGAAAACTGTGCCTTCAATTGGTTCCCTGTGATGCTCCAACTAAATCTCTTAACACAAGAGGCTGAACCGGTTTGGCTCAGTGGACAGAGCGTCAGTCTGCGGACTGAGAGGTCCCAGGTTCAATTTCGGTCAAGGGCATGTACATTGGTTGCGGGCACATCCCTGGTGGGGGGTGTGCAGGAGGCAGGTGGTCTATGTATCTCTCTCATCGATGTTTCTAGTTCTCTATCCCTCTTCCTTCCTCTCTGTGAAAAATCAATAAAATATATTTTTTTTTAATCTCTAACACAAGGGACTTACAAATAGGACACCATTATGATTTCTGTTTCTATTTTTCCTTTGGAGCTCAGGCATATAAAAGTGAATTCATCAGTGCCCTGGGTGGTGGTCTCAGTGGTTAGAGCATTGGCCCGAGCACCGAAGGGGCACTGGCTTGATTCCCAGTCAAGGGCACATACCTGGGTTGCAGGTTCCATCCCTGGCCCTGGCTGGAGCATGTGTGAGAGGCAATGGAGGGGTGTGTCTCTCACATCTCTTTTTCTCTCTCCCTTCCCCCTCTGTCCTTCCCTCCCGTACACTCTCTCTAAAAATCAGTAGAAAAAACATCCTCACATAAGCATTAACAAAGGGGGGGGGTGGATTAATCATAATTTTCAGATTATGATACACTGGCATCATAGGGCCGGCCATTGTTATTTCATTAGTTAGCCAGTTAGTTAGTTGTTAGTTCGTTGATTTGTTTGTTCATTTTTTAAATGTAGTAAGCTCCCAGGAAGCCACCACTCAACACAAAACCTAAGGTTCTTGGCAATAATCTACATCCAACCCTTCTCATCGAACCAAAGTAACAATGGAAAGAGGAAGACCCCTTGAAGTTTATCTCGCACCTTTTAGGATTGGCCTGGCGTTGGTGGGCGGGAGTGGGAATAATTGTCACTCCTCCCCGTTAACAGAGGGGAAACTGAGTTTTGTGGAACCGAAGCCTCGAATAATCTTTAGCCAAGGCCACTGAAGACCATCCTCCTCTCTCTCCCTTTCTGCAGGCCAGGCAAGGGGCAGGATTGCGGTTAACAGGAAAGTCAGACTTTGTAACCCCGTCCACAGCACTGACCTTCTCTCTGTTCCCCCCTCGCCCTTGCAGACTATGCAGAATTCATTTTCTTAGGACTCTTTATGTCCGAAATGTTTATAAAAATGTACGGGCTTGGAACACGGCCTTATTTCCACTCCTCCTTCAACTGCTTTGACTGTGGGGTAAGTGCCCTGGTTTCTGTGGGATTTATTTCTGCAGTTCTTCCTCAGCATGACGCTGGTGGTTGGGGACACCGGGAAGGGAGAGCAGGGTCAGCCTGGGTAGCAGAGGCTCAGCTGAAGGCGATAGGAATGTGAGGACCATCTCAACCGTTGGATGTAGCACCCAGAACGGTCAGCCCCTGCCTGGGGGAGGGGCAGTATGGGGACCCTCTTGGGAAAGTGGGGGTGACCTGGCCATGCCAGGGCTAGGGATTCACTCTGGAGCAACTCATGCCCAGGGGACACATACAAGAATGTTCTGAGCGGCCTTGCTTACAGTAGTCTGACACCACATGACCCAGATATTTCTCTGCGGTAGAAAGGCTAAGGGCGGGGTAGCCAGGTCACGGAATTCTCTGCAGCAATGAGAGGCTGCTCACCTCAGCTACCCCCAGCAGCTTTACCACACGGCGCAAAAGAAGGCAGGCAGTGGCAAAAGCACGCCACGCCGCATGTGTGCTCTGCTCATCAAAGTTCAGGCGGACAGAACGAAGCTGTATTGGTTAGAGGTGATACTCGAAAACTTGAAAAAGTCAAGGCCTCAGACACGTTACAAAGAGCGAAAGACGCTGGTCACAAAAGGTCACGTAGGGCATCTTCCATCTACGTGAAATGTGCAGAAGGGAGGCAAACCCACAGGCCGGAAGCAGATTCGTGGCCGCCAGCGGCAGGGGGAGGGGACGGAGAGCGGCTGCCCACAGGGACGTGGTCTGCTTTGGGGAGGACAGATACGTTCTGGAACTAGATGGAGAAGATGCTCGTACGGCATTGCCAGTGAATGTTGCCGCTGAATTGTGCACTTACCATGGTCAGTTTTGTGTCCTGTGAATTTCACCTTCGCCCTTTTTTAAATCTCGGAAATGATGGTTACAAAATTCAGGGCAGCAGTTCAGTCTGAGGGGTCCCCAGAGGCCTCCAGGGTGCTGACATGTCCCGTTTCTTACACGGGCAGTGGCTACACGGGCACTCGCTCTGTAATTATGTGTTTCTGGAATTCTGTGCTCTCATCAGCTCTTAAAAAATAAAAGTAGGGCCGAAACCGGTTTGGCTCAACAGATAGATCGTCAACCTTCAGACTAAAAGGTCCTGGGTTCGATTCAGATCAAGGGCATGCACCTTAGTTGGGGGCACATCCCCATGAGGGGTGTGCAGGAGGCAGCTGATCAATGTTTCTCTCTCAATGATGTTTCTAACTATCTCTCTTCCTTCCTCTCTGTAAAAAATCAATAAAATATTTTAAAAAATAAATAAATAAAAATTGGGAAGGGGTGAGAAGGGTCTGAGCGCCCTGCTTGGGTTTGAAGGTGGGAATGGGGCTGGGTTCCTGCGAGGTTCGGGCCCAGGCTGTGTTTGCAAGGACTCCGGGCCCCAGAGCAGATCCTGTGTTCCAGGTTATCATCGGGAGCATCTTTGAGGTCATCTGGGCCGTCATAAAGCCTGGTACATCCTTTGGAATCAGCGTGTTACGAGCCCTCAGGTTATTGCGTATTTTCAAAGTCACAAAGTAAGTCTTTGGGGGGGATGAGCACTGGGGCACCTCCCGCATGCTGGGAAGGTGGGCTCAGCAGCCACCGCCATGCCCAGTCTCACCCCCACCCCCACCCCCGGCCTCTGTTGGCAGGTACTGGGCGTCTCTCAGGAATCTGGTCGTCTCTCTTCTCAACTCCATGAAGTCCATCATCAGCCTGTTGTTCCTCCTCTTCCTGTTCATCGTCGTCTTTGCACTTTTAGGAATGCAGCTCTTCGGCGGCCAGTAAGTGCTCAGCAACTTCTCCGGCTCCTGCTTCTCTGGGTTCTGACCCAGGGACCCCTCCAGCCCCCACACACCAAGCTCGGTGCCTCCCGAGTCGCAGGCCCACCGTCACCACGCCGACTGCCCTTCTTGTGGCCCGGGCAGGCAGGGCCCTGGGTACCACTCAGATGTCCCTCTGGGGTGGGCAGGCGGGGACGTGAAGATGTTGCCCTGGAAACAAGATGCTAAACTCCGCCCTTACAGCACCCGGTGGGCAGGGCCAATGGGAAGTGTCTGCCTTTTCCCCACAGGTTTAATTTCGATGAAGGGACTCCTCCTACCAACTTCGACACTTTTCCAGCAGCAATAATGACGGTGTTTCAGGTACGGCCCTAACCCAGCCCCACACCGTGCAGGGCCACAAGAAGGCACCAGAATCCAGAGGCAGAGGGAGGAGGGACGAGGGGAGGAGCCTTCATTGGGATTTCCCAGAGGAGGACTGGGGGAGGATGCGCAGGTTGAGGATGGGCTCGTGTGAATAATTCCAGCGGGCTCTGGGCGTAGATGCTGACCAGCACCTGGCCCTGGAGTGACTCGGGCAGGGAATGCCGGCCTTGGATGTAAGAGCCTGACGGAGGAGGTGGCTGGGGTGTGGGCCCTGGTTTGTATTTGAAAAGTACGTTTGCGGACTCGTTGCTCACTGTCTCTAGGATGTAGCCAGCCTGGCTCCTTCCGGGGTCAGCAAGGCCCCAGGTGTCAAGGCATCAAAACACAGAAAAGACACAGTGGCTACACGCATCCTCTCCCAGAATTGCAAGACAACCCCACTCCTATTCCAGAGCGAAGATATTGGCCCTGAGTGGTCTCCCCAAACTAGCATCTGTACCCCTGTGGGCACGTGATCTGAGGATTGGGGCGGTCCCGCTGGGACCTCCGGAGCCTTTTCAGTGGGTTCTGTCTCTTCGAAGTACAGACAGTTATGGAAAATGAAACTTCCCTCCCCATTCTGGGGGGATGGTTTCTAAGTAAGACCCCAAGATGGACCCCCACCCCACCCCATGAAGCAGAGTGCTGACCCCTCACGTTAATGATTCAATGGTAGCCACCACCACGCACACAGGTCCTCAGCACAGGCCACTTGGAAGTGTCTGGGAACAGTTTGGGCTGTCACCCCAAATGGAATGGGTGTTACTGGCACCTGGTGGGAGGACCCCAGGGCTGCTGCTCAGCACCCCACCCCAGGGAACAGCCCGGTCCCGAAGGTCAGCGGTGCCGAGACTGAGAGAGAAACCCTGTGTGACCAGGTTAGCATTTCTGGAGTTGTTTGACATTTACTTGATCCTCGTGGAAATATCATGGAGGAGGAGAGTGGCATTTTTTAACAGGTATGTGGGCACCACATGCCTGTCCTTCCAGTCACTCCATGAGCATCAGCCCAGTTTCTGTTGCCAGCAACCGCCTGCCTGGGCACAGCAGCCAGAGGGCCAGCGAAGGTGTATTTCGCACACTTCTGGAGGCTGGAGGTCATGGTCAGGGTGTCCACAGGGGTGGTCCAGTGAGGACTCTCTCCTGGCCAGCAGGCAGGCCTTCTCGATGTGTCCTCACGTGTGGGGAGAGAGCGAGTGAGACAGAGAGAGAGAATGCCCAAGCTCTGCGGTGTCTCTTCTTACAAGGGCACTAATCTCATCCTAAGGGCCCCATCCTCATGGCCTCATCCAACCTTAGTTACCTACCTTTGCCAGATTAAATCTCATGAAGGCTTAGCGCTTCAGCGTATTAATTTAGGGGACACGGCTCCATCCCTATCACACCCCCTTATCACACCAGGGAAGACAAGAGGTACAGAGGGCTGGGAGCCCTTCGCTGCAGGGACAGGCAGGTTTGGGGCCCACAGCTGCGTCTCCGAGGGGCCCGTGGCTGAGAGGGGGGTTTGGCTGTGTGTCTCTCCCTCCCTTTCAGATCCTGACGGGCGAGGACTGGAACGAGGTCATGTACGACGGCATCAAATCTCAGGGCGGCGTGCAGGGCGGCATGGTGTTCTCCATCTACTTCATCGTGCTGACGCTCTTCGGGAACTGTATCCTCCTGGGGGCACGTGGGGGGCATGCAGGGTGGGGACACGAGGAGGAGACTGGGAGCCCCGAGGCCCAGGGCCCCAGTGCCGTTGCTTTCCCTGACTCTGGTGCCTGCAGACACCCTCCTGAATGTGTTCTTGGCCATCGCGGTGGATAACTTGGCCAACGCCCAGGAGCTCACCAAGGTGCCGTTGGCGGGAGAACGTTTCTCTGGCAAAGTTGCCGCCCGTGCATGGCAGATCGGGACCGTGCTGGGCGTGTGGGGGCGGGGACGGGGTCAGAGCTTTTGCCCTGGATGCACGGTGCCAGGGAGGAGGCACCTCCTCCCCCCAACTCAAGCCGACTGCCCCTCGTTAAGTGGATTCTACAGCGAGGGAGGCGGGAGGGGGTTGGGCACCGGTGACAGGAAACAGATGGCAGACTCCACCGAGCACCCGTGGACAGGCAGCGGGCCGTGTCAGGGGCCTCCGAGGGATGCTGCGGCCCCAGGTTCGAGGGCATTGTCACTCTAGACTTGAAAGGACAGGCCGGATGGAGAATAACCCACACAGGGTCTCGGGGCTTGATGTCCATTCCTGTGAGCGTGGGAGCTGGCCGGACCTCACCGCTGGTTGGTAACAAGAGAGAATTCTGGCCCTGGATGATGTGGCTCAGTTGGTTGGGCGTTGTCCCAGGCCCCAGCAGGTTACCGGTTCGATTCCTGGTTCAGGGCACCTGCCCAGGCTGCAGGTTGAATCCCCAGGAGGGGGTGTGCAGGAGGCAGCCAGTCAGTGTTCCTCCCATCGATGTTTCTCTCTCTAGCAGTGACGGTGCCAGGCATTGCTGTGACCGCCTTTGTGCAGAGGGAGAAACTGAGGCTCAGAAAGACAAAGTCCCTGGCCCAGCTGGCATGGAAATAGCACCTGCTATTCCTAGCATCACACTGTGTGTGTCAGGGGCTCTGCAATCAAATGCTTTCTATAGGAGGGCAGGAGCCAGTGCTCACTGAATAGACCCAGTCAGGGAAGGCTGGGACTCGAACCGAGACCTGGCAAGCTCCAGAACCCACGATCTGGATTCACATACCCGCTCCTTTCCTTCGAGTCCAGCTGGGCAGGCAGTGATCAGAGTACTAACCACAGAAAAGTGTCATTGCCCTTTGCTGCCGGGCACCAGCAAGCAGAGCAGGTGGGGAGCTGCCGTCATCCCCGTTTCACAGAAGAGGAAAACGAGACCCAGAAAGGCTGAGTGACCTTGCCACTTAGTTAGGAACTGGACAAGCAGAGAAGCGACCCCCTCAAAGAGCAGAAGGTATGAGGTCAGAGGAGCGTGCGGGAGGTTGGGAGTGAGAGCCGCCCAGGTGAGGAGAGGCCGTGTTACTCGCGGTCAGGGATAATGAGTGATCTGGGCCACACCTGGTGCCGGATGCCCCTTTTGGGCAGCCTTGACTCCCAGGGGGTCAGGCCTACCCCACATTGGCCAGAGGAAGCAACGTTGCTCTCACACCCCTAGGAATGCCCACAGCAGGGCCCCTGGGGGTGGCTGTGCCCTCCATGGGGTATGCTGGGTACCTTTCGGCCGTTCGCGAGGGGCCAGCCAGGAGCAGAGGCTTGTGAGGGGCTCAGTGCCCGCCCTGACTTCCCCCGGGCGGCCCCGGCATGTTAAGAGAACGGGGATAGAGCCTCCCTCCCGGCCCAGGAGGGCCAGGCCTGGGGCGCCCCGCAGCCTGGTGGCCCCCGTGCCTCAAGGCATTCTGGATGTGTTCACGGAACGGAGCAGACGTTGCCAACCCTCCATCTGCCGGCCTCGGCGGGAGGGAGGGAGAGTCTCCCAGGCCCAGCTCCGGCTGGCGGGGAAACGGAAGCCTCCACCGCCCGAAACACACGGCCCCGGGCCTGGCCACCGCGGAGCCGGCTGGCAGGACTGCTCTGGGGACCGAGCCAGCCGTGAGCTCATCCGAGTCACTGCGGAGAGGGGGCGCCAGGAGGGGAGGGGAGGGGAGGGGGCGGGAGAGAAAGGCAAGGCCTCACCTGTGCGGTGTGGACATTCTCCTCCAGACCCACCGTCTTCGTTTATCCCATAAGCAGATCTTAGCATTTAACGAAGGTGACGCTTTTGGCAGGACAGTCCTGATTGTTAACAATTTGTCCCTCGTCCCACGGCGTTTTAAAAAGTCCCGATTTTTCCAAAAACGCTGCGGGACGAGGGACAAATAGTTAACAATCGGGACATCTGATCACCTTACTTTTAATCTATGGCAGGCGCCCCACAGGCCCCTGGTATGTGATGAACCCCCCAATCATAAAAGTCATGTGACCCCTAATTAAGGGTTTGGGGGCAGGAATTGGTCCTTGACAGGGTTGAGCTTTAGGTATTTCTGCCCTCCCACTCATTTTTGTACAATATATATTAACTAGAGGCCCAGTGCACAAAATTCGGGCATTCAGGGGTGGGAGGGGGTGTCCCTCAGCCTAGATTGAAAGAGGGTGCAGGCCAGGTGAGGGACCCCACTTCTTGCCCCAGAGATCCCATTTAATCATCACAGAGACCCCGGAGGCGCCTTCTCGCGTCCCCACATTACAGCTTCTGTCGCTCACTCAGCAGCATTTATTGAGAACCTACCGTGAGCAAGGCCCGGTCCAGGAACCAGGGACACAGCCATAGACAAAAGATACAGAAATCCCTGCCCTCGTGGCGCTGGTATTGCATGAGAGAGGCAGACAAGAAATAAAATTGTCAGATAGTGCTAAGTGCCGAGGAAAAAGGTGAAGTAGAGAAAGACAGAGCTAAGATTTTCGATGAGGATTATAAGGCACAGAGAGGTTAAGTGACTTGCCGAAGGTCACACAGCAGTAAGCAGCGGAAACTTGGATGTGAGTCCAAGTAGGTCTCGCATTTGTGCTCATAACCACATGCACTGGGTGCTTAAACATGAGCACGTTTCATACTCAACTGGGAGCTTGTTGAGAATGCAAGTTCTAGACCCAGCCCAGGTTCTGGGGGCCCTGAGAAGCTGTATTTGGAGTGTTTCTGAGGTTGAGGGCCCGCGGTCCTGGCTCTGAGAAATGCTGTGCATGGTGCCAGGAGGCAGGAGGCTCTGTGAGAGCTGGGGGTCTAGCTGGGTCCCTCCTCTGTGCTGTCACCGACAGAGTGTCCTGACCTGGCATTTCTGAGGTGGTAAGGTTGCTTCTTGCCCCAGAGATCCCAGCCTGGGGATCACATGACTTTTCTTATTGGGGGGTTCCTCTCTGGCCACTTCTTTCCTGCTGCTTTTTCTTCGTTGGCTTTTCTATTTTACAAGGGAAGCCCTGCATGAAGACTGAAGATGGATTTAAAGTCCCCAAAACGTATTTTTCTTACGTAATATTAAAACATCTTCCCCCAGCCCTGGCCAGTTTGGCTCAGTGGATTGAGCGTAGGCCTGTGCACTGAAGGGCCCCGGGTTTGATTCTGGTCAAGGCTCCTCCCCAGCCCAGGCCCTGGTCAGGGCGTGTACAAAAGGCAACCAATCAATGTGTTTCTCTCACATCAATACTTCTCTGTCTTTCCCTCTTTCATCCTCTAGAAATCAATGGAAAATATCCTCGGGTGAAGATTTTTAAAAAAACACATAAAAACAACCTTCCCCCATTCTCTTCCTTTTTGAACCTAACCGGTTGAGCACATAAGTTCCTCCCCCGTTTTCCCTCCGGAGGCTGTTGTCAGCGAATGGCCTGGGCCCTGGGAGGCCAGATTTTTCTGCACGTGGGGACTAGTCAGTGTTGTGACGTGTGTTTTTCCAGTCTTGTTTCAGAAAGCTTAAATGGCCTAAAAGTTAGAGTGAGAGGGAAATCTTTGCATTAATTACAGCTCCTTGAGACAGGGTGCAGAGAAATCTCCGTTGTGAAAAGGGCAGGGCATTTTTTTTCTTTTTCTTCTGGCTGTGTGCTAACATAGGGTGAATAATGACTGGGTATCTGGCAGGTACCTGTAGGGGACAGCAGTACACTGAACTGGCATCAGGCCTTGGCTCTGATTGGCGGAAGCAAGGCCAAACCTGTTGGTAAATATTTCCAGAGTTGCCTGTGACTAGCAATAGGGTCGGAGAGGAGGCCCCAGGGCCCATTCGTGTTTTGCAAACAGGGATCCCTGTGCCTTTCAGGATGAACAAGAAGAAGAAGAGGCGGCCAACCAGAAGCTCGCCCTCCAGAAAGCCAAGGAGGTGGCAGAAGTGAGTCCTCTGTCCGCAGCCAACTTGTCCATAGCTATGTAAGTGCCCCCAGCTCTGGCTGGCATGCCTCTGCACCCTCCCAGTCAAGGGTTTTGGGGACAGGAATTGGTCTTAACAGGGTTGAGCTTTAGGAAGAGGTATTTCTGCCCTCCCATTCACTTTTGCACAATATATATTAACTAGAGGCCCGGTGCACGAAATTCGGGCATTGGCGGGGGGGGGGGGTCCCTCAGCCCAGATTGTGAGAGGGTGCAGGCCTGGTGAGGGAACCCACTGGTGCACGATCGGGACTGAAGAGAGACACGGGAGGTTGGCCAGTCGGGAAGGGATGGCAGGAGGGCTCCAGGATGGATCAAACCCAACTCGCTCAGTCCTGATTGGCTGGACTCCAGCAGCATGCTAACCTACCAATGAAAGCATCTCCCCCTGGTGGTCAGTGCACATCATAGCGACTGGCCAACTGGTCAGCTGTCTGCCCCTTGGTGGTCAGTGCACCTCGCAACAAGCACAGTGGAGCAGCCTTAGCATATCATTAGCATAGTGTGCTTTGATTGGTTGAACGGACGACAGGATATATATTATCCTATATAATAAAAACATTAGGTTTTTTTTATATAGGATAAAAAGCACCTACTCACTACATGCCAGGAACTGTTCTAGCTGCCGGAGATAGAGCATTAACAAGGCATTACCTGAATAGCGAGTGCTAGGAGTGGAGAGAGTTGGGATTTTTAAATATGATTGCCAGGAAAGGCTTCACAGAAAAGTGACGAGGGCCAGAGGAGGGAGGCATCATGGGGGACCTGAGGGCAGAGCATCCAGGCAGTGGGGACAGCATATACAAAGGTCCTGGAGCAGGAGCGAGACCCGTGTGACGGGAGGAGAGTGCACCAGGGAGAAGAGTGGGAGGCGATGAGGGCGAGGAGGTGAAGGGGGCAGGTCATCAGGACCCTGTGAACTGTGGGGAAGACTTAAACTTTTAGGTGGGAGCCGTGGAAGGTTCTTGAGCAGAAGGACAAGATCTGACTCAGGAGCTCACAGGCGCCATCTGGCTGCCGTCAGGGGAACAGACGGGGTGAAGGCAGGAACCAGGAGACCAGGTTGGAGATGAGGGCACGGTTCCAGGCAGGAGACACTGGTGGACCCGAGTGGTGGCTGAGGAGGCGGCGGGTACAGCTGAACTCTGGATAGATCGTGACACCAGAGAGAGTGGACAGTTTACTGGTGGATCACAGGTGGTGTGAATTAAGGTGTCTTCATGGAAGGGCCATTTGTTGACACCAGTATTCTTAATGGCGCCTTTGTGGGGTGTCCTGGGATGCTGCACCCTGTGGGGCAATGCATCATGGGAACCACGGGAAGGAGGCTTTCCTTCCCAGAGTAGAAGGAAGTGGCGTGGAATGGGGAGCCCGGGAGATGCATGCTCAGGCAGCCTAGGGAAGGCCAGGGTCTGCATAAAGCTCTCCTGCTGGCTGCTTTGCCCCTGGGCATACATAGTAAGGTGACCAGACGTCCCACTTTTGGCGGGACAGTCGCGATTTTTAACAATTTGTCCCACGTCCCGCTGCGTTTTAAAAAAATCACGGCGTTTTTAAAAAGTCCTGATTTTTTTAAAACGCCGCGGGACAGATTATTAAAAATCGGGGCGTCTGGTCACCTCAGTAAATAGGCACTTCCCATGGACTCCTGAGTGCCCATTCTGGCCCTCCCAGGGTTCCTAAACCCCCTGCGACCCAGAACTGCAGGGTGGCAGGCAGGGCGGGGCCTCCAGACCTGCTCCAGGACAGGGCCCTTATGACTGGAACATCCAGGCTACCTCCAGGGCGTTGTGGGCTATCATACAAGGAGGACTGTGGGGGCAGCCACCTGGGCTGAGACCCTCATCACCCAGAATGCCCAGCGAGGTGGAGAATGCCCCTGTGCGATGCCCACCTGGGCCAAGATCCCCGTGAAGCCAAGATGTCCGGCCAGGTTGAATTCTCCACACAGCCAAAACCGGTTTGGCTCAGTGGATAGAGCGTCGGCCTGCAGATTGAAAGGTCCCAGGTTCGATTCCAGTCAAGGGCATGTACCTTGGTTGCGGGCACGTCCCCAGTAGGGAGTGTACAGGAGGCAGCTGATCCATGTTTCTCTCTCATCGATGTTTCTAGCTTTCTATCCCTTCCCCTTCTTCTCTGTAAAAAATCAATAAAAAGCCGAAACCAGTTTGGTTCAGTGGATAGAGCGTCGGTCTGCGGACTGAAAGGTCCCAGGTTCGATTCCGGTCAAGGGCATGTACTTTAATTGCGGGCACATCCCCAGTAGGGGGTGTGCAAGAGGCAGCTGATCGACGTTTCTCTATCATCGATGTTTCTAACTCTCTGTACCTCTCTCTTCCTCTCTATAAACAATCAATAAAATATATTTTTTAAATCAATAAAAATACATTAAAAAAAAAAAAAAAGAATTCTCCACACAGCTGAGACTAAACCTTCTTGGGCTGAGATGCCCACCTTGGTCAAGTCTGCCGTACGCCCGGTGTTCCGTGCAGGCACGGTGGTCTAACCAGCACGCCCTTCCCTTGCAGGAAGGAGCAGCAGAAGAACCAGAAGCCGGTGAAGTCCGTGTGGGAGCAGCGGACCAGCGAGATGCGCAAGCAGAACCTGCTGGCCAGCCGGGAGGCCCTATACAACGAGATGGACCCCGACGAGCGCTGGAAAGCCACCTTCGCCCGGCACCTGCGGCCCGACATGAAGACCCACCTGGACCGGCCGCTGGTGGTGGACCCCCAGGAGAACCGCAACAACAACACCAACAAGAGCCGGGCCGCCGAGCCCACGGTGGACCAGCGCCTGGGCCAGCAGCGGGCGGAGGACTTCCTCCGCAAACAGGCGCGCTACCACGACCGGGCCCGGGACCCCAGCGGCTCCGTGGGCCCCGACGCCCGGCGGCCCTGGGCCGGCAGCCAGGAGGCCGAGCTGAGCCGGGAGGGTCCCTACGGCAGAGAGTCGGACCCTCACCCCCGGGAAGGCAGCCTGGAGCCGCCGGGCTTCTGGGAGGGGGAGGCCGAGCGGGCCAAGCCCGGGGACCCCCACCGGAGGCACGCGCACCGGCCGGGGGCCAGCCGGGAGAGCCGCAGCGGGTCCCCGCGCACCGGAGCCGACGGGGAGCCCCGCCGGCACCGCGCCCACCGCAGGCCGGGCGAGGAGGCCCCGGAGGACAAGGCCGAGCGGAGGTCCCGGCACCGGGAGGGCGGCCGGCCGGCGGGCGGCGAGGGCGAGGCGCCCGACGGCGGCGAGCGGAGGCGGCGGCACCGGCACGGCCCTCCGGCCACGTATGACATGGACACGCGGAGGGAGGACAAGGAGCGCAGGCACCGGAGGAGGAAGTAAGTGGGAGCCGCCGAAGAAACGGTAATAATAACAGTCTGCTGAGCAGCTCCGTCTTCTCAGCCATCCCCTGAGGTCCATCCCATAGACGGAGGGGGAGCGACTTGCCCAAGGTCACCCATCTACTAAGTGGCCTCGAACCCAGGCCCCCTGACACCAGAGGCTGCAGGCAGTGTCATGCCCTTAGGCATCGCAAGGAAAACACAAAAACACTCCCTCGGTTATAGGGCTCTTCCGTGGGCTTAGTGTGTGGCCTTGGGTAAGTGGCTTCCCAATGGGGGGCCTCTGTTTTCCCAATCTGTAAAATGGCACAGTGAGATGTACAGCGGCAGAGTGTGAGTTCCTGCTGGAATGAAATGAGGGGATCCACGCACAGGGCTGAGCGGGCCCCTGGTACCGAGCTCGGTCCGTGTTAGCGGTTGCTGAGTCCGCCGTGTCTTGCCTGGCGCTATTCCTGGGAGGGTTTGAAAGGCCACGCTGAGCCCTCATCACGGAAGGGGGAGTCGGGCTCGAGGCTTTGGAAAGCATCTTCCAGGCCAGCACTTGACCCGGAAGTCAGAAGCAGCAGCCTCTTTTTCATAGCAGTGTTTTGTAACACTCCTTAGAGGAGGTCCTATACAGATTCTTCACCTAGCAGCCCAACCACTCACATGTCAAAACAGACATTGTTCTCTTATTAATGAAGGTCCTGTAAGTCTTTTGTGTCACCACTATGGCATCAGACTGATGTTTTAACGTTGAGTTGAAGCAGAGTCTATTACAAGACGCACACAGCGGGCCGACACTGCTCCCCATCGGGGGTGTGCCCGGGTCCCCGAGGCTCTTGCTGAAACACAGGTCCTGGTTTGGGAGGTTTCAAGTGCAGCCTGGAAGCCTGCCTTTCCACAGAGCTCCCGGCCCGGGGACCACCCTTGAAGTAAGAGAGTCTAGAGCAGTGGTTGCCAACCTTTCGGACCTCACGGGCCACCCCTGTCCACGGGCCACCGGGGGCGACCGCTGGTCTGGAGGCCAGAGTGACGTGACTCCGAGGCAGGCAACTGTGCAAGTCACCAGGAATGTTTCAGGCACGAATGCGGACGACTTACATAACAGAGTGTTGCGGTCGGTGTGGGGGTGTTCCACACGGGGGCCTCCGGGCCAGTGTCTGCGACGGTTGGCAGCTCAGAGTGAAGCTCCTTCGAGTCAGGCCTTCCCCGAGGCGTCCAATAGTTGCATTCAGGGAAAATGCAAGGTATAAAACACGCAAAAGTACTTCATGCTCTCATAGAAAGCGGAGGCCGGCTAAAACTAAAGGCACAGGTTATTGCGAGCGGCGTTTCCACCTGTGAGGGACCTATGAAAGTCGTGAAGGAGACGGCCTAATGCTTCCCCAGGTGGGACTGCCCTGTACATCCTATCTAATAAAGAGGGAATATGCTAATTGGCTGTCACTCCATCACAAAGATGGCTGCACCCACAGCTGAGTCCAAGTTCCCTTAAGGAGCCTTAATGAGCAATCAGCAGGGACCTGAAGCTACACCCTCTCCCACCTCCATGGGGCTTGACAGGGGACCTTGGGCCTTGCTCCCTGCCCTGGTGTCAGACTGGGGGACCTCAGGCTGAGCCTCCTGCCTTGGCACCAGGCCAGGGGACCTGAGGCCATGCCCACCACCACCCCACCCCTTGGGACTTGACAGGGAACCTCAAGGTGCACTTCCTGTCCTGGTGCTGGGCTAGGGGACCTCAGGCTGCTCCCCTGCCCCAGTGCCAGGCATGGGGACCTCAGGCTGCACCCCACTAGGTGGGGTTTGACGGGGGACCTCAGGCTGTGCGCCCAACCCAGAGGGGCTTGACAGGGAACCTCAAGGTGAACCCCCAGTTCTGGGTTGGGGGAACTCAGGCCGAGCCTCCCGCCCAGTGGGGCTTGACTGGGAACCTGAGGCTCCGCCTCCCTCTCCCCCCAACCTGGCAGGGCTTGATGGGGGACCTCAAGGCAAGCCCCCCGCCCCATTCTGGCACCAAGCCAGGGGACCTGAGGCTAAAGCTCCTGCCTGGTGGGGCTTGACAAGGGTGGGACTGGCTGAGTCTGAATCTAGCCCAATGGTGTGTGTGTGGGGTGGGGGGGTCTGAGTCTCAGGGATTTTGAGGCACATGTGGGTGGGCGGGGACTTGACTCCGGGTCCCCCCTTTTAATGTGTGTGAATTTCGTGCACCGGGCCACTAGCAGTAAGCGTCACCAGGAACGTGACTCTTGATTGGTTGCCTGCTTCCCACTTCCTAAATGTCCACAGTTGCCCTCCTACCCACCCCCATTAGTATATCATTAGGTCTCCACACATCTCCACCACAGCCCCCTGGACTTGTTCCAAGTCATTCCTGCTGGATTTAGGGTTTTCTCTTGTGGGTTCATTCATTCTTCCTTCGGTGTTTCCTAAGTGCCTACGGCACACTAAGCTGTTGGTTCAGCCAGGTCATTGCAGGGGACGGGACGGGCGTGCAGGAGGAGGAAGGGAAGTGTTCCACACCGAAGCACCAGGAGGAGGCCAGTCGGCAGTTTGCCGTTTGGAGGGTGAGGAGAGACAAAGGATCTGAAGGGACAGTGGTGGCTGGGTCAGCAGGGCCTGCGTCCCCTCGGGGCAGTGGGAGGCCGCTCGAGTAAATGTAGGCGGAACGAAGCGTTTAGCACAGGACTGCACAGTTAAGGACCAATGCCTTGCTGTTTTGTTATTGTTGTTACTGCTGATGTCACTGTCAATATCCTTCGTATCACCCCTGCTCCCATTACTGAGAGAGGCGGGGTGGCAGGGGCAGAGGGCAGCTCAGCCCGGTGGCAGGGAGGGCCAGGACTCCGGTGCTGGAAGCCGCTCTCCTGCCCCATCACTCCCTGGCTGCGATTGGCAGGATGTCACCTCCCTCTCTGGGTTTCTATTTCCCCATCTGCAAAGAGGAATCATACGGCACCTATATACATCCTAGACACAAGGTTCAAATGAGTTAGTGCATGTAAAATGCTTCAAATGCTGCCTGGCTCATAGTATGTGTTCAGTGTTTCCTAGGTTAATATGAATATTTTAAGCACTCAATAGATGTTAACTTTGTTGTTACTGTTAATCCTTAACCCAAGGATATTTTTTTTTTCATTGATTTTTAGAAACAGTAGAAGAGAGAGAGAGGGAAGGAACACGGGAGGCAGGGAGGGAGAAAAGGGGAGAGGTGGGGAGAGAAGCATCATTGCAAGAGAGAGACACATCCGTTGGTTGCCTGCTACACCCCCCAGACGGGGCCAGAGACTGAACCTGCAACCCAGGCTCACAATCTTGACTGGGAATCAAACCTGAGACCCTTCAGTGCTCCGGCTGACACTCCAACCACTGAGCAACACCGGCCAGGACTAGATGTTAACTATTTTTACTAATAGTAGCAAATACTCGATAAGTTTTAGCTATTATTATTATTAAGATGTGCAGACATAAAATTAAAATTTAAATTAAAAAAAAAAACACCAACGTTAGCCCTAGCCAGTTTGGATCAGTCAGCCAGGCGGACTGAAGGGTCTTGGGTTTGATTTCGGTCAAGGACATATACCTCAGTTTCAGGCTTAATCCCCCGCTCCAGTCCAGGCTTGTGTGGGAGGCAACCAATCCATGTGTCTCTCTTATACAGATGTTTCTCTCTCTCCCCCTCCTTTCCACTCTCTAAAAAAAATATTGGAAAAATATCCTCGGGTAATGATTAACAAACAACACTTTAGGTCCATAGTCTTTAGATTTCTCACTCAGACCCTTTTTGCAGGTGGGGGAACTGAGGCCCAGGGAGAAAAGGGGCTTCCCTCAGGGCAACCACCAGCAGCAGCAGAACAATAGCCCCCCTTCCTGAATTCCACCACCGGCCCATCCCCCTCCTCTCCAGAGGAAGGAAGTGCCTCCCTCACAAAGATGTCCAGCCGATGGGGTGGGGCGGTGGGGCACGGCTCCTAAACCCACCGGGCGCTGCTCGCCACCTTACCCACAGAGGTGGCAGCCGCCCTGGCCACGAGAGGCGTTTTTCACTCGGCTTGTGAAAAGGTCCTCAGGCTCGAGGGAAATAAAACGCTACGAAGACCCAGGCGCTTCCAGGGAGATTGAGCCATTCATCCGCTTCAAGAAAAATAAGGATGACAAAGTCAAACCTTTATTCGAGAACAGAATACAGTAAGAAGGCGTTTGGGTTCCATATTCCTAAGAGGTCTGCCTCCTGCATTTTTCCTCTGATTTCTTGGGCCTTTTCCCAGACGCTGTGTTTTCCATTCTCCGGAATACTGGTGATATATATGATTTTTTTTCTTTCTGTCCCCTCTGCTTCCTCCTGCCCCCAATTTCTACTTCATTTCCTCTCCAGTTTCCCCAGCTTTAACGCCCACTGGCAGCTGAGCCCAGTGGCACCCAGGTGGCCAAAGTGAGGATGGAGCTCACCCTGGCTCCAGTAAAATCCTGGGTCACAGATCACCCACCACTACCCCCTGCCCCAATAATGGGGAGATTCTGCCAGATCTGACTGAGCAGAGGGGACTCTGCTAAGACCTGTGCCCTCCCACCCCCCACAACTGCCTGAATTAACATCTCAGCTCTTTGCCTTAGTTCCACCTGCTCTCATCACTGTGATAACCCACTGCCCAAAAGGAGCAAGAAGGGAGATACTGGACTGCTGAGCCTCGCAGCTTATCCTACAGCTTATCCTCCAATACCCTGATTCTTACAGCACCCCTGCTGGGCCTTAGCCATTCCCTTCAGCAACCCCATTCCATGAACCCCAAGTTATCCATTGCCCCCATTTCCTTCACTAGCATTGAACCTTAAAATCTCTAGGAGTAAAGTCCAGCCCAACCCTTTCCCAGCTGGATGATGCTGAACAAAATACCTTTGCCTCTCTAGGCCTCAGTTTCCTCATCTCTAAAATGGGCCTGATCCTGATACCACCTCCAATGGGTTCAGTGAGGGTTCAGTAAGTTAATGCACGTAGGTCCTTAGGAGATTAGGGTCACAAGGAAGCAGGACCAACCTCTGGCTCCGGGGCCTGAGTATGCCCCGGGCACGGTGCCCATGGCCCTCAGCAGAGGGATGCGGAAGTGATTCGCTGGCAAAGGGATGCGGTGCAACCAGCTGCCCGTTCAGGGCCGATGATGGCAAATCCCCAAGAGGGGACAGGGAAGGGGCCTGACTTCAGAGCTTTCTAGCCCTTTTAGGTTCTCCTTGGAGACATTCAGAAAGGAAGCCTCCGAGGCTGATGCTAGTCCGCTGCCAGCTGAGCTTGTTAAAACTCCACTACACACAGAGCCAACAGAGGAGCAAAAACAAGACAGCAAAGCCTGCCGGTCCCTTTGCATCTGAATGGGGGCTCGTGGTCCCGGGCATGAGGCTGTCCCTCTACCTGCTGTGTTATTTAGGACGGCTTCACTGGGTAGTGGCCAAAGCTCAGCCTGCTTTTTCATAGGGATATCTATTTTAACATACATACATATACATATATATATATATATATATATATATATATATATATATAAATAAAATATGCTAAGTGTCCATCCAGGTACTGACGTCACATAGTAACGCCTGGCTTCCTCTCCCTAGCGATGACTAGCTTCCTAGCAGTTTCTTCAGCCCAAGAACACAACTCACTTTATAGCCAGGTGGAAACATTTTACACTATAACCAAATGTCTGTGAAGCCTTTTCCCATGCCTCATCTCATTTGATCCTCACAGAAGTCCTGGAGTAGGTAGATAGGAGACTCGGTGGAATCCTGTTTTGTTTTTGTTTTTTTTCATTAGCCAGAAAATGGATAGTTAGAAAGCTTAGAAACTTGACCCAACAGAAAAGTAAGTAAGTAATGGTGGACTTTGAAAGTGACTTCAGGTTTTCTCACTCGAAGAATATAGTCAAACACTGCTACAGTTAAATATCTCACCCTTTGTACTCCCTGTGTGATCTACAATAATAATCTGCTTCGTGTTGATATTTACTGCTGTGTTGCTGACAATTACCTGAAAGAGAAGTTGGGGTGCTTCACTGGGCTGGAAAAAGTTTAGCTACAGCAGGTCTAATTAAGCAAGTCTGTTCTATATATATATTAGATATATATAAAAGACTAAGTTGACTCGTGCATGTGCAATACATATAAAGCTCTTGCTAGCACCAATCACATGCATGTATTTCGATCGGTCATTGTCAATCATGAATTTGGTTGACACTTCTATTATAGAGAAAGGGCAAATAACGATATTAAAATATTCCTAATTAATTTTCTTCCAGTGTGCACGAATTCATGCACCAGGCCACTAGTGTGTGAGTGTGTGTGTGTGTGTGTGTGCGTGTATGAATATTCCCAGCCAGGTTTTCATGGACAACTTCTACAAAAGCATCAGCGGTGGGTTGGAATTAGAAACCCATTTGTGGGCTGTGCAAGACGTTGGAGAAATATTGGTTTCAGATTTATTTCACTTAACCCACACATCACAGCTGATGCCCACCGTCCAGGTGCAGGGTCCCGTGTCCTTGGCTATAGACACAACCTCCGATCCCTACCCCGTCTTCACAGGGCCCTCTCTGCATTTCTTCTCCTCTTTTAAGGACACTTGTCATTGGATTTAGGGCCCACCCTAATCCAGGACCATCTCATCTCGTGATCTTAATTATATCTGCAGAGACCTTTTTTCCAATTATGGTCATATTCTCAGGTTCCAGGTGGACATTCATTGTTGTTATTTTTTATTTTGTCGTTGACAGTATTAGGGATGTCTCCCTTTTGTTCCCCTCCACCTAACCCCCACTCCCTCCCCACCCCTCCCTAGGCCTTCAACATCCTATTGTCTGTGACCATGGGTTATGCATGTATATTCTTTGGTCACTCTCTTCCCCATTCAACCCACTGTAACCCAGCCTCTAACTCCACCCCAAAATTCACGCCAGTCCCATGTGCAAAATACATTCTCCCCCATCCCAGCACCCCCAAAAGTCTTAATCTATTGCAACATCAGCTTGAAAATCCCAAATGTAACCATCTAAGCCGGGAATGAGTGAGGCTTTGAATATGACCGTTTTGGAGCAAAATTCCCCTCCGTTTGTGAACCTGGAAACAGGAAACAAGTTGTCTGCTTCCAAAATATAATGTTGAGGCAGGCACAGCATAGACATTCTTAGTCCAAAGGGGAGACATTGACAGGAATGAAGGGTCGCTGGTCCCAAGCAAGTTCTAAACCCATCGGGGCAAATTCCACTGGATGTCAAGGCCCGGGTGGAATCCTGTGGCCCTCAGCTCACTCACATTTTTTTTAATATATTTTATTGATTTTTTTCAGAGAGAAAGGGAGAGGAATATAGAGTTAGAAACATCGATGAGAGAGAAACATCAATCAGCTGCCTCTTGCACACCTCCCACTGGGGATGTGCCCACAACCAAGGTACTTGCCCTTGACCGGAATCGAACCTAGGACCCTTCAGTCCGCAGGCCAATGTTCTGTCCACTGAGCCAAACTGGTCAGGGCAGCTCACTCACATTTGTTCCTCCCAGTAACTCAGTGAGTTTCCCGAGCCCATGTTATGGGTGAGAAACAGGCCAACTCGCCCATGGTTACAGAGCAAATCAGTACCAGGGCCTTCGCTTCCATCTCCAAGTTACAGGGAAGGCCCTGCCAGCACTGTTCCCAGTTCAGAGATGAGAGGCCTGAGGCTGAGAGAGGCCAATCGAACTACAGAGAGTCACGTAGCCGGTAAGCGGCATCGCTGAGACCTAAACCAGGTCAGTCTGTCTCCTAAGGTGTCAATCCGTGACCTACTCACGTGCCAGAGAAGCGAGACACTCTCCTGGGCCTGCCTCTTCCTGTGTGCCCTCAGAAAGACAGACCTAAAAATAAAGCACCTTGTCTCTCCTCTGCCCACGGAGCACCACCAAGGCCTTTTACAAGTAAATAGACAAAAACAAAGTGAGGAAGAGAGTGCTAGTGGCCTAGCCAGTGGGAGGCCTCCAGGAAGCCAGCTTCTTTTTTTTTTTTTAAGTGTTGGGTGGGTTCAGGCTTCGACACTCTATCCACTGAGCCAAACTAGTCAGGGCTGCCCCATTCATTTAACGTCAGATTCGATGCAGATGCAGGAATCAAAGCTGCCTGGACAGCACAGGCCTAGCTCCCCGTGTTGTCTGGGCTTGGGGAGGGGCCTGGGAACCAGGTCCACCTGGATCCACGGGCAGGCAAGCAGAGCAGGGGCCACAGCGATAGACATGCAGTGAGAGGGCCTGAGGCCTGGGCGGCACCCGAAGGACCACTGCCCTGAGCCGCCCTCCCCGGGGCCTTTGCCAAGGTTGGGGGGGGGGGTCCCATGCAGATGGGAGGACACAGGAGCTGAAGGGAGGTTTAGACCTGCAGGACCCCTGGGCCTCAGTGTCCTCCTTTGAGACATGGGGACACTCATTCATCATTTGACATGAAGTCACAAACGTTTGCCCGTCGCTCATCCCCTCCCCTCACTCTCCACCTCCTGATACTCTCCGAGCCGTCCCCATGGCGGTGCCCTCCGCCTCGGACATGCTGCCCACTACCCTTGTGTCCACGTGAGAGGGCATCTCATTTCCCATCTCTGCTGCCTCGGGCAAGACCCTTCACCTCTCTGAGCTTCCGTTCTCTCGTCGGTAAACAGTGCTGGTCCTTGTCCCTCTGAGGGCTGAGGACGGGGGTTGTGACCATCACTCTGTGCTCCGGGCGTGTCTGCTGTAATTATTGCTGCCATCACTGTGTAATACGTGCGCGTGCGAATGCTTACTGCCTGCTCCTCCTGAGTGGGATGATGGAAGGGGACAGACATGCTACAGGCATTTAAGGTAAGGTGAGCAGACGTCCCGCTTTTGGCGGGACAGTCCCGATTTTTAACAATTTGTCCCGCGTCCTGCGGTGTTTTAAAAAAGTTCAGTTCCTGCCGGCACCGGTTTGGCTCAGTGGTAGAGCATCGGTCTGCGGACTGAAAGGTCCCAGGTTCGATTCCGGTCAAGGGCATGTACCTTGGTTGCGGGCACATCCCCAGTAGGGGGTGTGCAAGAGGCAGCTGGTCGATGATTCTCTCTCATCGACGTTTCTAGCTCTCTATCCCTCTCTCTTCCTCTCTGTGAAAAATCAGTAAAAATATTTTTTTTTTAAATAAATAAATAAATAAATAAATAAATAAATAAATAAGTTCAGTCCCGTCAAAACCGGTTTGACTCAATTGGATAGAGCGTCAGTCTGCGGACTGAAAGGTCTCAGGTTCAATTCCCGTCAAGGGCATGTACCTTGGTTGTGGGCACATCCCCGGTGGGAGGTGTGCAGGAGGCAGCTGGTCGATGTTTCTCTCTCATCGATATTTCTAGCTCTCTATCCCTCTCCCTTCCTCTCTGTAAAAAATCAATAAAATGTGTTTAAAAAAAAAAAAAAGAAAGTTCAGTCCCGATTTTTAACAATTTGTCCTGCGTCCCACGGTTTTTAATTGTTAAAAATCGTCCTGCGGTTTCAAATTGTTAAAAATCGGGACATCTGGTCCCCTTACCCTTGAGGGACGGCCTCTCAGGCAGGACCTAGGAACGTCCTCTCTGTTCTTCTAACTCAGTCACGGCTCTTTCTCGTTGGCCTGCCTCCCGCAGAGACACCCCGGGCGCCGGGGTCCCCGTGTCGGGCCCCCACCTGTCGACCACCCGGCCGATCCAGCAGGACCTGGGCCGCCAGGACCCGCCGCCGCCGCCGGCCGAGGCCATCGACAACATGAAGAACAACAAGCTGGCCACCGCGGAGTCGGCCGGCCCCCGCGACGGCCTCGGCCACGCCGGCCCGCCCCCGAGCCCCGCCAAGATGGGCAACAGCACCACCCCCGGCCCGGCCACGGCCGCCCACCCCCAGAACGCCGCCGCCGCCGCCGCCGGCCGCCAGATGCCCAACAACCCGGGAAACCCGTCCAACCCCGGCCCCCCCAAGACCCCCGAGAACAGCCTTATTGTCACCAACCCCAGCAGCACCCAGCCTAACTCAGCGAAGACTGCCAGGAAACCTGACCACACCGCAGTGGACATCCCCCCCGCCTGCCCGCCCCTCAACCACACCGTCGTCCAAGGTGAGGCGCCCCCGCCCTCCGAGGGCACTGGGGGGACCGGGCATCCCTGGGCTCGGTCCCTAGAGGCTCAGCAGTATGACCCCAGACAAGGCTCCCACCTCCCTGGCCTCAATTTCTCCCTCTGGAAAATGGGTGTCTATGCAGTTTCTGCCCCGCGGGGCTGCTGGGAGCATTTACATGAGATGATACGCACAGAGTGGCTGGCCCGCACATGCTCAGTAGGGTTCGTGATATTCCCTGCATTCGGAATCCCCACAAGAGAGCCAGGGAGCCACCGTACCTGAGGAGCAGTGGATTCTGCTGGTGGAAATTTGGGAAAGTCGTGCGTTTCTCTAAGCCAGAAATGTGACACAGACCACATACGTAATTTTATGTGTTTTTTTTTTTAAATATGTTTTTATTGATTTCCAAGAGGAAGGGAGATGGAGAGGGAGAGATGCAAACATCAGTGATGAGAGAGAACCATGGATCGGCTGCCTCCTGCACTCCCCCCGCACTGTGAATCGACCCCATAACCCCTGCATGTGCCCTGACCGGGAATCGAACCATGATCTCCTGGTTCGTGGGTCGGTGCTCAACCACTGAGCCACACCAGCCAGGCCACATATAATTTTAAACTTTCTGGTAGCCATATTAACAGACAGAAAGGAGGATGCTCTAACAGGCTTGGCTCAGTGGATAGAGAGTGTCAGCCTGCGGACTGAAGGGTCCCAGGTTCAATTCCTGACAAGGGCACATGCCTGGTTGTGGTCTTGATCCCCGGTAGGGGGAGTGCAGGAGGCAGCCGATCAATGATTCTCATCATTGATGTTTCTATCTCTCTCTCCTTTTCCCTTCCCCTCTGAAATCAATAAAGAATTATATTTTTAATTCATAAATAAAATAAAAGACAGAAAGGAGGAAGGGAGGTGAGTAAAGAAGGAAGGAAGGAAGGAAATGAATGAAAAATATAAAGGAAATACAAGTAGGTAAAATAAACTACTAAGTTATATTTAACCCAAAATGTTAATTATGTCCAAAATGTTACCATTGCAACATAAAATCAGTATTTTAGAACTTATTAACGAGCTACCTGACATTCTCTTCCTCACATTCAGACTTCGACATCGGTGTGCTTTGCGCCTACAGCACTTCCCCATTGAGACCAGCCCGTCTCCATGTTGGACAGTCAGTGCAGGCCTAGGCTCCCAGGGGATGGCCGTTCTCACCCCTCGCTCCGTCCCCCATTTAAGATTGGGTCTTGAGAAGCACTAGGTGTTTGGAGATGACCCCGTGAGCTTATTATTCTCTAAGGTGATAATAGTAGCCCAGATCTTCTGGCCTCAGTTTCTTCCTCTGGAAAATGGGAGTCAGTTCTTGGATCTTGTCATTGTGTCCATTTCACAGATGGAAAAACTGAGGCTCAGAGAGGCTCAGCCCGCCCGTGGACATATAATGAGGTGAAGCCGCAGAATCAGTGTTGGGAGGGTGGTGGCGCCTGGCCCTGGTCAGGAGACATGTGTTGATGGGCAGAAACCCTGCATTTGGATGGTGGGTGAGCTCAGTATTCCCACCTGTAAAGTGGAGGTATTTGGACCCCACCCGCCTGTCTTCAAGTGACCACCATGAGATGGGGACAGGTCTGTGTTACTATCCTGTGAGGGTCCCAGCAGAATCAAAGCTGTAGAGTAGTTGAGAGCACACGCTCTGGGGCCAGACTGCCCAGGTTCAAATCCCAGCTCTACCCAGCCCCATCTGTGTGACCGCAGGCAGGTCACTTCACCTCTCTGTGCCTCCGTTTTCTCACCTGTGAAATGGGGATCCTAAAGTCCCAACCCCATAGGGGTACGTGAGGATCAAACGACATAATACGGTGCCCTGCACGTAGGATCAGTGTCAGCAGCTCACTGCCTACGCTGGGAAGCGAGCAGGAGCCCAGAGGCTTGTGGGAAGCTGTGGCAGGAGCCCTGTGTTGGATCCTGACTAAGGGGACCAGACGTCCCGCTTTTGGCGGGACAGTCCCGATTTTTAACAATTTGTCCCACCGAGTTTTAAAAACGCCGCGGGACAGCCAAAACCAGTTTGGCTCAGTGGACAGAGCGTTGGCCTGCAGACTGAGAAGTCCCAGGTTCAGTTCCGGTCAAGGGCATGTACCCTGGTTGCGGGCACATCCCCGGTGGAGGGTGTGTAAGAGGCAGCTAATCGATGTCTCTCTCTCATCAATGTTTCTAGCTCTCTATTCCTCTCCCTTCCTCTCTGTAAAAAATCAATAAAATATATATTTAAAAATAAAAATTAATCAATTAATTAATTAAAAATAAAACGCCATGGGACAGATTGTTAAAAATCGGACGTCCGGTCACCTTAATCTTGTCCCCACAGTGAACAAAAACGCCAACCCAGACCCACTGCCAAAAAAGGAGGAAGAGAAGAAGGAGGAGGAGGACGACCCCGGGGAAGACGGCCCCAAGCCCATGCCCCCCTACAGCTCCATGTTCATCCTCTCCACCACCAACCCGTGAGTATGGCCTGCAGCTGGGGGACCGGGCGGGGTGACGGGGGAGAGGGACCCCCAAGGCCGTAAGGGACCACGGAGCACAGTTGTATAGGACACCCTTTTCTCGAGTCCCGTGAGACAGACGTCTGTCCTAAAGCACTGATGTCGTTGGTAGAGACCCGCTCCTGCCATCCCTGGGAAATCATGGTCGTGAACACCCACGTCTGCTCTGTCTGTAAAGAGGGGTGCCTCCCAGACACGGCCCTGGGCAGCGCACCCCGAACCCGGCTCCTCGCGAGTCGGCATGGTGGGCGGGTGTCCTGTGCCCGAGCCCCCTGGTCCTCATCTCGGGCATCCTCAGGACAGGCTCCTTAGGAGAGAAATCCATCACGCGTATAGGACATCAGGTGGTTCAGTGTCCTGTTAGGATTGCGTTTCTGAAGGGACACTCCGAGGGCGGCGTGTTCTGGACAAAGAAAACCCGTCACGTGAGCTGTGGGGGTGGAGGCAGGCCGCCTCTGTCACCTGCCTCTTTGGGCCTCGCCCTGTGCGTGGACTTCGTTATCCAGTTGGCATTACCTGTTTTACCAGAGAAACACTTACGGGGCCCTGGCTCTGTGCCTGGCACGCTTCTGAGTGCTTTACAATTGTGTTTTATTTTAATCCTCCTAATGGTCCTGTGGGGAGGGTACTGCGCTGAGTCCTGTTGGACAGATGAAGAAACAGAGGCTCAGAGACGTGAAACCACCTGCCCAGAGTCAGACAGGAAGCACCTGGGGGAACCCAGACAGGAATGACTCCGGCGTCCCGTTCTGAACCTCTCATTCCCGCGGCCGTTCACACGGCCCATGTGTATTTTTAAAAATATACCTTATTGATTTTCCGCCGAAGCCGGTTTGGCTCAGTGGTAGAGCGTCGGTCTGCGGACTGAAAGGTCCCAGGTTCGATTCCGGTCAAGGGCATGTACATTGGTTGCGGGCACATCCCCGGTAGGGGGTGTGCAAGAGGCAGCTGGTCGATGTTTCTCTCTCATTGATGTTTCTAGCTCTCTCTCTCCCTTCCTCTCTGTAAAAAATCAATAAAAGTATATTAAAAATATACCTTATTGATTTTAGAGAGGAAGGAAGAGGGAGAGAGTGATAGAAACATCAATGATGAGAATCATTGATTGGTTGCCTCCTGCACGCCCCCTACTGGGAGATCAAGCCTGCAACCCAGGCATGTGCCTGCCCTTGGGCGGAATAGAACCTGGGGCCCTTCAGTCCGCAGGCTGACGCCCCATCCACTGAGCCAAACCAGGGCCCGTGTGTATTATTTCTAGCGCCACCTAAGAAGTTCAGTTCCTAAGTATCATTCCGTGAGCATATGAAAGGCTCTAATGAGGCTTGTGATTCATAATTTAAAGTAAGTTAATTTTTCGGAGCCCTTACCACTAACTCTTAGATCCCCACCTTCTTGTGGGTTAAGCCCAATGGTTATGGCCACTTCACCAATGAGGGCACCGAGGGCCGGAGTAGTTTGCCTGTGATCACTCGACTCTTTTTTTTTTTAAGAAATCTATTTGACCCAGAGTTCCCCAGTTTTATTTAACCATCGGACATTTTATGCATGACAGACCTTTTCATCTCCCACAAAATCAAGGACAGCCCCGCCTGGGAACCAGTTGTGCCAGGAGGGTTGTTTGGGAGGAATAAAAACGTACAAGCAGGCCACGGGAAGATCCCCCCCCACCCCCGGCTGAGGGCCCCCTGCCTCCCTGGGGTCTCAGGATCCTGTACACCCCGAGACTAGGAGCTTGACGGTTCGGTTCGTTGGCCCTGAGTTGGGGAGGGAGCGGACTCGGCCAGTGTCAGATGGCACAAGGAGAGACAGAAGGAAGGGGCTTTGCGAGCCCGTGGTCTCAGTGGGCGCCCGCTCGCCCCCGTCCCCACAGCCTTCGCCGCCTGTGCCATTACATCCTGAACCTGCGCTACTTCGAGATGTGCATCCTCATGGTCATCGCCATGAGCAGCATCGCCCTGGCGGCCGAGGACCCCGTGCAGCCCAACGCGCCGCGGAACAACGTGAGTCCTCCGTCCCCCCCCCCCCCGCCCCTCCGGCTCCCCCGCACCCCTCCCCGGCCCGGCCCCTCCACCCCCTCCCCGGCCCCTCCACCCCCTCCCCGCCCCCTCCGGCTCCCCCCCGTACCCCTCCCCGGCCCCTCCGGCTCCCCCCGCACTTCTCCCCAGCCCCTCTGCGCCCTCCCCGGCCCGGCCCCTCCGCCCCCTCCCCGGCCCCCTCCACGCCCTCCCCGGCCCCTCCGGCACCCCTCCCCCCCCCCGCCCCTCCGGAGCCTCCCCAGCCCGGCTCCTCCGTCCAGGGCCCCTTCCTCTCTCCCGCACCCCAAAGCTCACGGCCGGAAAAGCATGCTGCTCAGGAGGGGATGCTCTGGAGAGCACGGTCCTCGAGGAGAGGGTGGCTCCGTGCCAGAGGCCATGGCCCCAGTGGCTGGGCTGGAAACGGCCCAGTCCCCGGCGGGGGCGTGAGGCGGGGGCGTGAGGCCGAGAGAAGTGGAGCTGTGCTTTCTCTGTGTGGCATGAGGGTGGGGCGGAGGGGTGGTCTCCGGCAGGGGGTGCACCAGAGGCGATCCCCTCAACCCACTAGCAGCCAGGTCTCACCCAGCAGACATTTGGACACGAAGTTTTGAAAGAGGATCGTTTTCACTCAGAAACACAGCCTAAACGTTTAGCCGTGTGTGTGTGTGTGTGTGTGTGTGTGTGTGTGTGTGTGTTTAATCCTCCCCTGAGGATATTTTCCCATTGATTTTAGAGAGTAAAAGAGAGAGGAGAAAGAGAAAAACATCGATGGGAGAGAAACACATCAATTGGTTGCCTCCCTGCACCGGGCCGGAAAGGAACCGGCAACCAAGTATATGTATGCCCTTGACCAAAATCGAACCCAGGACCCTTTAGTCCAGTGGTCGGCAAACTCATTAGTCAACAGAGCCAAATATCAACGGTACAACCATTGAAGATTCTTTTGAGAGCCAAATTTTTTAAACTTAAACTTACTCTGTTTATTTTTTTAAATATATTTTATTAATTTTTTACAGAGAGGAAGGGAGAGAGAGAGCTAGAAACTGAGCCAAACCGGTTTCGGCTATTTTTTATTTTTTATATTTGATTGATTTTTTTACAGGGTGGAAGAGAGAGGGATAGAAAGTCAGAAACATCAATGAGAGGGAAACATCGACCAGCTGCCTCTTGCACACCCCCTACTGGGGATGTGCCCCCAACCCAGGTACTACATGCCCTTGACTGGTATCGAACCTGAGACCTTACAGTCCAAAGGCTGATGCTCTATCCACTGAGCCAAACCAGTTTCAGCTAAAACTTAAACAACTTGTAACGCCACTTCTTCAAAATAGATGTGCCCAGGCCATGGTATTCTGTGGAATTTGCTCAAGGGGCCAAAGAGCCACATGTAGCTCGCAAGCCGCAGTTTGCCAACCACTGCTCTAGTCTGTAGGCCAACACTCTATCCACCGAGCCAAACCGGCTATAGGGCAACTGCTAGCCTTTCTGGAGACCTAAAAGCTCCCGGTCAGTCTGCAAACAGCCCCTGTTAGTTGAGCTCTTGCTGTGTTCCCGGCATCACCCCGGGCGTTTGGCAGACAAGCCCTCCCAGGATCCACTTGTGTAGATGGTTAGGGAAACTGAGGCTAAGGGACTGCTCCAGGGTCACAGAGCACCTGCCCTGGACGCCAAATGGCTGTTTGGATTTTTTTCAACCACCTCCATTCATTGAACACCTCCTCTGTGTCCGGCCCCCACCCCCACCATCCCTACCCCCGGGGCAGCCCGCCCATTGGGAATGAGTGTGTGCCAGTGGTTGAGAGGGGAAACTGAGGTAACAGCAGGGAAGGGTGTGGCAGAGGCGGGGCTGGCAGGGCTGCCTCCTTCCCCAGCTCCTGTCCCATGCCCCCTCCCCACCACCACCACCACCACCACCCCCTCCACCCCAGCCCAGCACCAGAGGTACACGTCCCCCGGGGAGTGCTGCCGGCCCTGCTGTCCTCACTAAATAGGTTAGGAGCCTGGCTGGGCTGGACGGCCCCATAAATCACGGCCTCCTGTTGGCAGCTTACGTTGCACTTTACCTTCCTTGGCAAGCGGGGCAGGCCTCCTGGGGACCCTCCTGCAGGGGCCTGGGTGGGGGAGCAAAGTGGGAGGAAATAATTAGAACTGACTCCTCCCAGAGGAAAGCAGCTCCAGGGCAGGGCTGAGCCACACTCAGTTATCTGCCCAGCTCCCTGGCCACAGGAGGGGACTCCAGAGGGCTCAGCAGAGGCCCTGCCTAGTCCAGGAGGCCAGAGAAGGTGCTCTCCTGCAGGCAGGGGAGGGGCCTGGAGGGGCCCGCCGCTCCCAGCACTGTGGGGACCCAGCCCAGCTGCCTCCTGCACACCTCCCACCGGGGATGTGCCCGCAACCCAGTCACATGCCCTTGATGGGAATCAAGCCTGGGATCTTTCCGTCTGCAGGTGGACACTCTGTGCACTGAGCCAAACCAGTTAGGGCTGGAGTGTCTCCACGTTTGCATCACCACACTCCCCACACCTGGGCATGACTGTCCCCAGGTGTAAAGCCAGACACGCAGTGTTTGGATCGTAGAGTGTGCACTGGCTGGGCTCCCTAGGTGTGGCCGGGTGGTGGCTGGATGATGCTGCGATGGTTGTACCAGCAGCAGATGCTTCGTGGTCTTGTCAGCACTTGATGCCGGCGGCTCTTTCATTTGGCCGACCTGTTGGGTGTGGAGTGGAATCCCATGGGGACTTCGCTTTACATTACTCCTGTGATTAATGAAACTGAGAACCTTTGGGGACTAGACTGAGCCACAGAAAGTTGTCATTTATGTAAGTCAAAAGGATCTAAATATTAGATATTAGATTCCCAATGCATGAAGATTCGTGCAAAAATGGGCCTTCCTTCCCCTGGCTGCCGGCACTGCCTTCACTCAGGCCGAAGCCGCCTTTCCACCTTCCCATGCTGCCCAGAGTCCCAGAGAGGCTGGGGGCGCTGGGCGCCTATGTATGCAAATTAACTGGCCATCTTTGTTGGGTTAATTTGCATACTCACTCCTGATTGGCTGGTGGTCATCACGAAGTTACCGTCCATTTGCATCTTACTCTTTTATTAGTGTAGATAGTTGAATCTGACTTGCTAGATTGTTGATTTCTTCTTATCCAACTTCCTCAGCTCTCCAGAATTTGATTCACCTGACCATCTGGCCTGCTCCTTCCCCATTTCCTTTCCTTCCTTTCTCCCTTCCATTCATAGCTTTACTTAGTTGTCATTTAATGAGCAACAATTATGTGCCAGGCACAGAGTCAGCATCAAGGCTTGACAGTGTGAGCTGCCTTCCCAGAGCTCAGAGAGCGCCAGGCCCGTGGCCATGCTGTGCCCTCGGCTTGGTGCACCTGCAATGCTCTCCCTCCACCATCTCCTCTGCCTGCCAGCTCCTTCTGGTCCCTGGTGCCCGCCGCCCACTCCAGGGAGTCAGTGCCCGGCCACACTGGTCCCTGATGGCCCTTCGAAAGCCACACATAATGAGGATGGGAGCTGTGACCACAGAGCACAGAGGCCAGTCCCACAGGACCCAGTGCAGCTCAGCTACTCACGCCTTCATTAGCAGACACTTCCTGAGCCCACCCTATGCCTGAACCGTACTGGGAGTTGGAAATGCCACAGGGACCATCGTTCCTGTCCTCAAGGGGCTCACACATGGACGTGGGGGACGTGGACAGTGAGATTATTAATAACTGAAACCAGGGGTTTGTCAAGTAGTGAAAACGGGGGGGCGGGGGGGGACTAGGTAAGGGCCATCACAGGTACCGGGGTGGGGGGAGGACTAGGTAAGGGCCATCACAGGTACCAGGAAAGGGCATTTTTTTATTATTAATTATTGATTTTTTACAGGGAGGAAGGGAGAGGGATAGAGAGTTAGAAACATCAACCAGCTGCCTCCTGCACACTCTCCACTGGGTATGTGCCCGCAACTAAGGTACATGCCCTTGATCAAAATTGAACCTGGGACCCTTCAGTCCGCAGGCTGACGTTCTATCCACTGAGCCAAACCGGTTAGGGTGAGGAAGGGGCATTTTATAATAAACAGATGGTCAGGGCATCAGGAAAGTGACATATGAACCAAGCCACAACGGAGAAGAGAGAGGGAATCAGGTGGGACATGGGGAAGAGCATTTCAGGCAGCGGGAATGGCCCGTGCAAAGGCCCTGAGGTGAGGACATCCAAGGCGGCAGGATGCACACAGTGAGGGGGAGAGTGAGAGAAGGTGAGGGCAGGGGGGTGACTAGGCAGATCCATCGTGCAGGCCTTTGGGGCATTTGGGGTGGACTTCAGTTTCTACCTGCAGTGAGGTGGGAGCCACAGAGGGTTCTGAGCAGAGAAGGTCCCGGACCTGACTCCAGTGCTCACAGTCACCCTCTGGTGGCGGTCCTCTGTAATTATCAGCCCTTTCAACTAGAATCTGACGGGAGTTCCCCCTGCACTTAACTGTGCCTACACGGTCACAATCCTCCCAGCAGCGGCACAGCAGAGACGTGCTGACGTGGGGCCTGAAGAGGACCCAGGAGGCTGCAGGACATTGTCCAGGCAGACACCACCTGGCCTTGGCAAATTAAAACGGGGTGCCCTTCCCATTGGTCAGCAAACCAGCCTAATAGAGTGATTTTGTTAGGGCTTTGCTGCCACCTGCTGGGCAGTTTCTTCCACGGCATACAAATCTACACCCGGACAAGGTGGGAGGGGCCCTTGTCAGGCTGCACGGGGCACCTGGGTTGCTTCCTGTGGGTGGAGACTTTTCCTTGGGGGCTTTTCGGGAGCAAGCCGTGACCTCTGGCCCCTCCCCTTTACCCCCTGCAGGTGCTGCGATATTTCGACTACGTGTTCACAGGCGTCTTTACCTTTGAGATGGTGATCAAGGTGAGTGCCCAGGGATTCGGCTCCCTCAGGAATAGCGCCCTGGCACAGGCAGGGGTTCGAAATGCCCTTGAGATTGAGGAGCAGCAAGGCCGGTGTGACAGGAAAGACTGAACGAGCAGAGAAGAGAAAACCAGGGCAGGGAGGAGACGGGGACAGGCCTGCAGGGGTTTGGTGGCCACAGGGAGGACTTTGGCGTTTGCCCCAAGTGAGTGGGAGCCATAGAGGGTTCGGGGCAGAGGGTCGTGACTGGACCCGGGAGCTCACGGACGCCCTCTGCTCTCTGTGGGAAGGACAGGCGTGGGGGAACGTAGAGGGTGGATGGGAGCCATAGAGGGTTCAGGGCAGAGGCGGAGGGTGGGAGGGAGCCAGGAGAACTAGGATCCGGTGATGGCACTGGCCCAGATGGTGATGATGGGGCCAGGGAAGGGTGGAAGCGGATGCGGTAACAAGACGTGGGCAGGTGTTTGGAAGGCAGAACCCACAAGGATGGCGGTGGGTCCGATGTGGGGGGTGTACAACAAAGAGGAGTCCAGGGCGACCCTGAGGTTTGGGCCTAAGAACCAGCCGAGTGGACGCTACCTCTTGGGAGGGGCCCGCTCTCCTGGGCTGGGGGCTTCTCACTCCTCGCTGAGGCCCCCTGGCCTCTGCCCCTTCCCTCCAGGAGGAAGTGACCCCCCTGGCGGCCGCGCCCCTGGGAGGGCGGGGAGGAGGGGCCTGAGCACCGTCTCTTCTGCCCCCAGATGATCGACCTGGGGCTCGTCCTGCACCAGGGTGCCTACTTCCGCGACCTCTGGAACATCCTGGACTTCATAGTGGTCAGTGGGGCCCTGGTGGCCTTCGCCTTCACGTAAGTCCCTTCTCAGGCCTCACCCGCCTCTCCGGGCCCCTCCCCGGCCCCGGCCGCGCGGTGGGTCAGGGGACGTGGTCTCATGGTGCAGAGACGGGCGCGCGGGCTCTGGGCCGTGGGCGCCGCCGCATGCCCCTGGGGAGCGCTTCGGTTGGCTTCTGCATGCCGTCCGCCGTGGCGGAAGGAGAAGAGGGGACCCCCGGCACCCCTCCTGCTCCTCAGTCACGGCCCCCGCTCCGCTGCTTTCCGTAGACTAGCCCCGCCCGGACATCTCATCCTCCTCCTGCTCCGTGAACTCCCCCCAAGCCTCTGTCTCTGTGGGGAGCCCCGGGAAGGCAATGGGGAAGCAGATAGATGTGCACGAGGGTTCGGGCCCCACCCTGTCCGAAGGCCCCCCGAGCTGTAGACCTGGCGACTCCCCTTGTGTGTCTGTCCCGTCTCCGGGAAGGGCCATGCCTCATCGGGCAGCTCCCGACAGCACCCACGGGCTGAGCCACTGGCTCCGGGGCCCTGGCAGCGATCTTGGCAGCGCGTTCCTCAGGCTGTAGGCTGTGGGTCGGGGTGAAGAGGCCTCACCGACCCCCAATCCAGAACGGAATCTTCTTGGGAGTCCCCGTCTGTGCCCATCACAGTGGATTGTGCCCAGAAAGGAGAGGCTCGGGGCCCTGCCTCCCCCACAGGGGCCCATCGGGAGCTGCCTTCGGGCTCCCCTCCCAGCGGAGCTGCAGAGGGAGCCCCAATGGCCCCTGGACAAAGGGAGGGCCAGAGGGAGGACCCACTTCCAACTTAAGGACTGAAGGGTCCGCTCTCAGGTTCTCCCTGGGAAACAAGGTCACGTGTGGAAGAGCGAGCTGGCCCCAGAGCTGCCGAGGCCTCTGAGCTGGTGCAGGTGCTTCCTGAGGGCCAGGAGGCTGAGTGCACTCCTGGCTCTGGCCAGGCCTCCCCACCCCCTTTCCTCTTTATCTTCTTCTGCTTTCTCCTCATCTTTCTATCTGCTCTCTCTATTTCCACACTCGTTCCTTTCCCCCCCTCTTTCTCTCCTCCCTCCTCCCCTCCCTCCTTCTCTTCTTCCCTCTTCTTTAAATAATTCTTCGAGTATTAGAGCCATGGAAGAGAGTTATTTTAAAATCAAGAAGTTTGGCCACACGATTAAGGTGTTCTGTAGGTAATGATGATAGTGATGATGATGGTGATGATGATGATAAAAAAAAGTAAAATGCACGGCGAATGGGGGAATGAGCACAAATAAGACAAGTCGATGGCCTTAATATGCATAAAGCAATTGCAAATTGCAAATAAGAAACACTGACCCTTGACAGATAGATGGGCAAAGGATTCAAACGGGAATTAGTACAAATCAGATACAGTTTGTTTCCCATGGTTAGTTTCTTGGGGGACGGGGGGGGGGGGGGGGGTGTTAAAGATAATACGCAGGATATGTGAGTGCAGTGAGATACCCTCCTCTCTCCCTCCCTCCATCAGCTATTCCAGAGGCTCCGGTGAGGTGTCAGGCAGGCCCTGAAAACGTCTACATTCTGAAGGATTTAAGCCTATCCATTTGACTGCCCTCAACCTGGAAAGAATCCTTCTCAAGTCCCCTTCCCCCTTTCCCTCTCTCTGGCTCCCTCTCTTGCTTCCTCTCTCTCTGTTTCTTTCCCTCCCTCTCTCTGTCTCTTTTTCTGTCTCTCCCCTCCCTCCCTCCCTCTAACTCTCTCTCTCCTTTGTATTCCCTTTTCTCCATTTTCTATCTTTTCCCTCTGTTTATTGCTCTCTCAATCTCTCTCCCCGGCCCCCGTCTATCCCTCCTCCCTCTCCTTCTCCTCCCACCTCTCTTCCTCCGTCTCTTCCTCCTCTTCCTCCCCCCACCCTGGCCTAACCACCTGCTGAGCCTGGGTGTGGCCAGAGAAGGCAGACGCCCCTCCACATGCTCTGGCCTCGGGAGACCCTCCCCCCCTTGTCCTGACTGGGAAGTGTTCTTCCTGGTGCTGGAGGCCGCTCAGGCAGGCGCCCGTCCCCCTCCTCACGCCCCCAGCGTGCCCTGCCCAGCAGCTCCAGGCTCCATTCTGTGTCAAGAAGGGGTGGGGGACCCTGTCAGTCACACCCATCTGTTCACACACAACCCTGGTTGCCAGCTGTGCCCCGGGTAGTAGGCTCTGCCCTGCGTGGCCCCCCCTGGGTTGTGGGCAGAGCAGAAGTGACGTCTGGTCAGCTCACCGGGCACTTCCTCCCGGGCCTCCGGGGAAGCTGGCATGTTTCCTCTGAGGAGGAAGCCTCCGTCCCCCTCCGTCCCTGAGGGGGGACCCTCACCAGCCGGGGAAGGGGCGCCTCCCACAGACCCGGAAACAGACCTCTCGGCCATGGAGCCTGCGCCGGGACGGGCTGTCGTTTGCAATATGCAGTTTCGGGGTCCCCGGCCCATACAGAGGCTCCCCTCTCAGCCAGCCTCCTCTGCCAAAACCAAGTTCTTTTCCCACCAAAAGCCAGCGTGGGATGAGTCTTTGTGCTGCAGAGGAGTCTGCCACAGGGAGGGGAGTGGGTTTTACTGTTTGAGTTTTCTTTCCCGGTGTGGTCCGACAAAGACATTCTACGTGAGCCTGCAGACATTTGGCAACACATTTGTAGAGTCGACCTGCTAGTTTATGACCTTGAAAATACCCTTTTAAAAAAAGAAAATAATAATCCCTCTGCAAGGAAGGGGTCCAGACTGAGCCGAGGCCATCCTGTCAGCCTCGGTGGGCTCGTTGCTTCTCAAGAACTGACGGGGCCAGGGGGGCAGGGGGCAGCAGGGGTGTTAAGGTTTTGCCAGAGGAATCCTGACAGAGGCCAGGGACTCTCGGGGGTGCTGAGGGAGCGGACAGTTACGGAAGCACCTGTACGGGATGGGCATAGGGATGGGAGAGCTAGTCCCTGAGACCCCGACCCAGACCTGCCCGCCCACCTCACTGCCAGAAACCCATCTGCTGCTGCCACTCCTCCACATCAGGGCTGCAGGCCTGGCACAGCTTGACCAAGCCACTCCTGCACGCCCCTGGGGCCAGATTGTCAGGAAGCTAGCGAAGGAGCCCTCAAGGGGCTTCTTTTTACCCCAGAAAAGCTTTAGAATCCTCCCACTGGCTGCAGGTTCCCGCCGTTTCCTGCCCAAGAAGGTCTCTCGCTCTGTGGGACTTAGTTTACTGTCTCTCTTCTTTCCGGATAGATCACGCCCTTTTGGCAGGAGTGGGGTCTGCTCCGAGGACCTCAGCCCAGTACCCAACCCCAGAGTCCTTGCTTCTTTTCTTCCTGGTCTTTTTACTTGCTTCCTTTGTCCTAGATGCCTCTCTCCTCAGAGAGAGGCTGAGACCCGCCCTGCCCCCAACCCCACCCCACCCACCCACCCCCACCCCCACCCCCCCCCCCCCGCCACCCCACCTCAAGTATTCGATGAACCTTATTGTTTTAGAAAAAGGTTCCTGCAGGTGTCTGCTTGCTCTCCAGATGTTCAAGTCCCTTAGCCTCTTTGTTAAGGCGGCCAGACAGACGTCCAGCTTTTGGCGGGACAGTCCCCATTTGTAACAATCTGCCCCAGGTCCCGCGGGGTTTAAATCGGGACTTTTTTTAAAAACGCCGCGGGACAAATTGTTACAAATTGGGACATCTGGTCACCTTACTCTTTGTGCCTCAGTTCCCCCATAAAACCAAGAATCTCGACTTGGCAATAACGACAGCAGTCCACCTCCCTGTGTGTCATCTTCATCGCCCCGCCCTGTGGAAGCTCTCCCTGCTCCCATTTTGTAGAGGAGGAAACGGAGGCCCAGAAGGAAATGAGTCTCACAAGATCGCTAGTTGGGGTTTACTGTCCGATTCGGGACTGCTGGCCGCCTCCCAGCCCTGATCGCAGAGGCTTTCAGAGGTTGGCACGATCCGTGGGTGGCCCAGCCCGCCGGGGTCCCCGGAGGCCCCCACAGGCCCGGAATCCCAGGGTGGAGGCGGGAGGCTGCCCCCTCCTTGTGGAAAGGAACCTTGCTGCTCCGGCGCTCAGGGTGGAAGCAAGGATTCCGCTCGGTGCTGTGACCCTGGCCCCGTCTCTGTGTGAACACCGTACCGTCCCTGTGGCCCTCCCAGGGGCGTGCCGAAGCTCCCTGACAGTCCCTACCCTCTGCAGCCTGCCCGGACATCCTCGTGTGCGACCTGCTCCATCCATGACCATGTGCCATGTCCATGCGACCACGTTAACGCTCCATCTCATGAGCCATCACGCTCTGTAACATCATGCTCTGTGCCCATGCATCGAGGCGGGCCACTGACATTTCTCAGCAGCTGGCAGATCATGGCCCCGCCCTCACTGCCAAGAGTCCCGTCTGGTGCTGCCACTCCCCGCTTGGGGCAGCCCGGCACAACTTGCAGAGCACCTTGATCAAGCCGCTCCTGCATGCCGAGGCGCCGACCTGCCAGGAAGCCAAAGAAGGAGCACTCAGACTGCCACTCTTTTAATCCTCCTCCTCCAAACAGCCTCCTTCCCCCGCCTTAAAGGCGTTATTTTTCTTGCGTACGATGAAACAGAAAGAAGGTCAGGGGGCAAGATGTACGCACCTGGGTTTAAATCTCAGTCTGCTGCTTCCCACCTGGAGGGCTGGGGGCAAGTCACGCTCCCTCCCGGGGCCTCAGCTTCCTCGTCTGGAAAATGGGCGTGGCGGTGCCAGCTCCCTGCAGGTGGACGCAGAGGCATTTAGGAGAGTCACAGGTCACACTCACAGCCGGCGGGTTTAGTAAAAATCTCCGCCAATGCGTGGCCCCTTCCTGGTCTGTAAAGGAGTCTGCAGGGTTCTGAGGGCGCAGTCATTCCCAGATACTTTGAGATTTGAGAACCTCTGAGCTCGTGGGGCCTGGTGAGGGGAGAAGAAACCCAGCGGGAGCACTTGTAGGCATTTAACCCTTTTTTTTCTTTTTTCTTTTTTCTTTTCTTTTTTTAATATATATTTTATTGATTTTTTTACAAAGAGGAAGAGAGAGGGATAGAGGAAGGAAGAAGGATAGTTAGAAACATCTATGAAAGAGAAACATCGACCAGTTGCCTCCTGCACACCCCCTACTGGGGATGTGTCCACAACAAATGTACATGCCGCTGACCGGAATCGAACCTGGGACCTTTCAGTCCTCAGACCGATGCTCTCTCCACTGAGCCAAACCGGTTTCGGCTTTTTTTTCTTTTTAATAGCACTCAGTTCCAAAGGGGTTATGGGTGGGAAGTTCTGTGGAGGATCTGGTTGGCCGTGGGGTCCCCACGCCCCGTTCTGTGGTGGCCGGGTTTCTCTCAGCCTGCTCTGCAGTCCCGGCGGGCGGGCTGCAGGAGACCGGGCTGCTGAGTTGTACCAGGGCTCAGCTCCAGGCCCACGTTTCCTCAGAGGACTGAGTGGCCCTCCATGTCATCCCATGACGTGGGGATAAAGCACCAGGGTCCCCAACGCCCACTTTACAGACGAGGATGCTAATGAGAGCAGAGCTGGGATCTACACCCAGGACACACACACACACACTCACACATTCACACATTCACACATTCACACACACACGCTGGGATCTAAACCCAGGACACACACACATTCACATACACACACACACACACACACACACACACTCACTCACACATTCACACACACACACGCTGGGATCTAAACCCAAGACACTCTCTCTCTCTCTCTCTCTCTCTCTCTCTCTCTCACACACACACACACACACACACACACACACACACACACACTGGAATCTAAACCCAAGACTCACTCACTCTCTCTCTCTCTCTCTCTCTCTCACACACACACACGCTGGGATCTAAACCCAGGACACACACACACACACACACACACACACACACGCTGGGATTTAAACCCAGGACACACATTCACACACACACACACACACACACACACACACCCCACTGCTCCGACGATGGCGACCTGGAAGGCATTCTGAGGCCTCCCGGCACCAGAGCCTCTGGAGAAAGGCTGCTTCTCCGGCTCTTGGCAGTGACCTCCGGTGGCAAACTGGCCTCCGGTCACCAACGACCTCCGGCTGCCCTGCTCCTTGGAAATGTGGCTTCTGGGTGCCCTCGGGCGGTGCCGGGGCCCCCCAGGCACAGGGGCCGGGCGGGGGCTCCCTGATGGAAGGACGGACATCAGCCAGAGCCGCTGGGCCGGGGTCTCAGGCGTGTGTGCGTGTATGTGCGTGTTCTGTGTTCTCTCTTCTGAGGCCGCTTACGATCTGTCTCTCCCTCTGACGCCACCTCACCAGGAGCAGTACACGGTAAAGTGTCTCTCTCTCTCTCTCTCTCTCTCTCTCTCTCTCTCTCTCTCTCCTCTCTCTCATCTGCCTCTCGTTCTCCGTGCTCTGGTGCAGCCGTTGGTTCTGGGCCGGCTCCCGTGGCCTGTGTCCGTGCTGCTGTCCTGTCGCTTGCAGGGCCAGAGACCCCTCAGCCTGCTCCCCCAGAGGAGGGAACTGAGGGGTCTTGGCCGCTGCCTCCCACCATGACCACCGTTAGCCCCGCTCCCGGTGGGGGCCAGGAAGCGGGTGGGGGGACCCCCGGGGTCCGATGGTGACATGGCATCTGGCCCGGGCAGGAGTTCCCAGGGGACAGAGCGTCCGCCCCCCAGGGGAGAAGGGGGAGCAGCCCGGACAGCCGGGCCGGGCTCTGAGAGCAGCGAGCCCCTCCCCCGGCGTGTCTTCACGTCCGGCACAGTGGCCCCAAGCCTGCCGCGCTCCGTGAGAACGCCTTGCTCAGCCGCCCCAGGTCCCCGCGGCCAGGGACACGCCCCTCGGCGCCTCGGCCACAGGACGGTTCTCAGCCTGACCAGGGACGGAGCCCTTTCCGATGAGCGGGTGTGCCCCAGCCTGAACCACTCAGCACGGGCTGCGGGCCACGGCCCCGAGGCAGTAACGGGGACTTTGGTTTTAAGGGAGAAAACGCGTGGTCCGGCCGATGTGGCTCCGTGGCTGAGCGTGGACCCAAGAACCAGGAGGTCACTGGTCTGGCTCCATCAAGGGCACATGCCCAGGTGGCGGGCTCGATCCCCAGTAGGGGGCGTGCAGGAGGCAGCCGATCGATGGTTCTCTCTCATCAGTAATGTTTCTATCTGTCTCCCTCTGTAAAATCAATAAGAACATTAGAGAGAGAGAGAGAGAGGAACGCATGTCCAGGCTGCTGGATGCTGGGCATGAGAGATGCCCAGTTCTCTTTATTCCCCGAAAAACAAGGGAGGGAGCTCTCAACACGCCAGCGGTGTGAAGAGTGACGTTCTGCAGCCGGACGCTCGGGCGCCCCGTGGTGGGGGTCTTTGGGGAAGCTCCACGAGAGGGAGATGGTTGCTAGGAGACTGACACCGAGGAGCTCTGATCGGGATCCATATGTGTCCCAAGAACACAGGCCAGATGTATGCTGGGCGCGGAGACAAAAAAAAAAAAAAAACGGACACAGAGGAGGATAAATTGCAGCTCACGCCTTTGAGGCGCGTTCCCCTACCGCCAAAAGCGGGGAGGGAAAGATGGCTCTGAGACAGCCCTGGGGCCTGGCCAAACCCAGAGGTGGCGGCGGGGGAGGGGCATTGACCCTGACCTCCAGGGCTCCCTGGCCCGGTGGCTTGAGAAGTGCAGGGAGGGGTTCCCAGCGGCGGGAACAGCGTGTGCAAAAGCAGACAGAGGCGGGAGTGTGGCAGGGGGTGGGGCATGCAGCACTGGGAATGCCGAGGGTGAGGTAAGTGGGACTAGACTTCAGAGAGCCTCGAACCCCACACTTGTAGGAATTCGGAGGCTCGGGGGGGGATTCTGAGCAGGAGAGGGAGGTGGTCATTGGCTTGGACCACTGAGTGCGGGGAAGATGGCAGAAGAGAGAGACGGGGAGTGGGGGGGAAGGTGGGAGATGGGTAACGGGGGCCAGGGACAGATGGTGGGGATGTGGAGGAGGGCGGCCCCCTGGGGTGGGGATGGAGGACAGGAAGTGGGCCGTGGCCCGCAGGCTTCTGGCTCGGGCGACTGGGTGGTGATGTGCACCATTCACAAGCCTTTGATGGCCGCACCCGGCGTCCTCCGTGGGGACCCCTGCTGAGACTCCCACCCAGTGCACCCGACCCTGGACTCGGGGAATATCGGGGGTAGGGGTGTGGGTTTAAGGGCCGCCTTAAGCATTTCCTAAGTCCTGTTGGGAGGGTGAAAAAAATCTTATTTTTTGAGAGCTCGCCAAGGCCACCTCCCAAGAGAGCCCGGGGCAGCCGGCTCCCCTGGGCGGGGTCTGAGGGCCACCCCAGGCAGCTGCTCAGGCCCGAGCAGATGGAGAAGGGGCTTCAGCAAGCCTGACCCAGAACCACAAAGGCCATCTGCTCACCGGCCCCCCAGCTCCCCACCGCGGCAGGCAGCTGGGCCCCTCTTCCCGCCCGGCCTGACCTCCCCGCCTCTCTCCCCTCCCCGCCCTCGCCTCCCTCCACAGTGGCAACAGCAAAGGAAAGGACATCAACACGATCAAATCTCTCCGGGTGCTGCGGGTGCTCCGGCCGCTCAAAACCATCAAGCGGCTGCCAAAGCTCAAGGTGAGATGGGCGTGGGGGGGCTGGCAGGGTGCCCGTGCAGGTGGGCAGGCCCGCTGCTGACCTAGGGCCGAGGTGGATGGAGAGTCCTATTACCACAACTTCCCAGCAGGGGGCAGTCAAGGGGATGGATCTGACGCAATCTATGACCAGAACCGTGACCATTTCCCATTGGATGAAACCTCTCCCTGTGGGGGGGTCGGAACCCCCTTTTTTCTAACTCACATGAGTGAAGGCATCCCGTGGATGACACGGGGTATACCCCATACCCTTCAACTTGTCACCTACCTGTCCTAGGCTGCAGTATCTCTTGTCCCAAAATTTCGTGACCCAGCATCATCTGCCCCCCCCCCCCCCCCCCCCCCCGCCAAAGCTTACGGTTCCAAAAAGAAGAAAAGAAACAAAACGAGCCGAAACCGGTTTGGCTCAGCGGATAGAGCCTCTGCCTGCGGACATAAGGGTCCCGGGTTCGATTCCGGTCAGGGGCATGTGCATTGGTTGCGGGCACATCCCCGGTGAGGGGTGTGCAGGAGGCGGCTGGTCAATGTTTCTCTCTCATCGATGTTTCTGGCTCTCTATCCTTCTCCCTTCCTCTCTGTAAAAAATCAGTGAAATATACTTTTAAAAAGAAGAAGAGGAAGAAAGGAAAGGAAACGAACCCTAGCCGCCTGAGCAGTCTTTGCGATCGATGTCAGGCTCCGGGCGCCTGAGGGCATTTTATCTCTTAGTGTTTCTTCACGCCCAGTCACGTTGTCTTTGACTAAGTGGGTTTATTTTAAAAGGAAGTGCTACGCCCAGTTTCTCAAATGGGAAAGCCAGAACCCCCTGTTAACAGGAGGTAAAACTTAGGGTGCCCAGACGTCCCGCTTTTGGCGGGACAGTCCCGATTTTTACCAATTTGTCCCACGGCGTGTTTTTTTTTAAAAAGTCCCGATTTTTGAAATCCGGACTTTTTTTTTAAAGGGACGTGGGACAAATTGGTAAAAATTGGGACATCTGGTCACCTTAAGTATCTGCTCAATAGGCGTCCGATGCTTCTGTGAAAATCTCGCCGAGGCTTTAAACGCGGATGCTGCTCTTTCTTGCTTAAAAGGAAAAGTGGCAACATTAGGAGCCAACATAATAGCAACTAAGGAAGACTCTCTCCCCCCCCTCCCCTCCCCTCCCTTTCCCTGTTGCCATGCAATTCAGTGGCACCTTAGTGCTGGGCTCCTGATGGGGCGTCTGACGTCACCAGGGGTGCCCTCGTGGGTTCTGACACGAACACCAGTATGTGGAGGAATGGTGCAGAGATGACATGGAGCTTGCGGGGAATCCCGGCCGCCGTGTCCCCCGGGGAGAGCTGGCCGCTCCAGCCTGTAATTCCAGCCGGTCCAGCCGCCCTCGGTGCCCACTCCCGGTTAGGAGCGGGTGGGGGGCACCCAGGCCAGGGCCCCCACCTTGTCCGGGAGTAGATGGGGGGTTCCGTCGTGCTCAGGGCGGCGTCTCTGGGGCATGGGGAGTCCTCCCTCCGACCCATAGCTGCAGCTGATGGGGACGGGGAGCGGCGTGAGGCAGGGACACAGAATGGACAGGAAGTGGTCTCTCCATTGAGGACCTGCCCCTCTAGCCCCGAAGGCCGGGCAGTAACCCGAAGGGGCTCAGAGGGCTCTTTCCATGGCCCCGGAGCGGGGGGGGGTGGGGGGGCGGCGTTGTGGGTGCATAGGAACTCAGGATTGGTTCCAGCCCTGCACGTACTAATCAGAACTGTGTGGCCTTCGCTTGGCTAGTGTCCTGGTCTGTAAAATGGGAGCAATGACAGTACTCTGGGGCCCCTCACGCCCTCACCCTCTCCCCACCCGCCCGCAGGCCGTGTTCGACTGCGTGGTGAACTCTCTCAAGAACGTCTTCAACATCCTCATCGTGTACATGCTGTTCATGTTCATCTTCGCCGTGGTGGCCGTGCAGCTGTTCAAGGGCAAGTTCTTCCACTGCACCGACGAGTCCAAGGAGTTCGAGAAGGACTGCCGGTGGGTCTGGGCTCCAGGCGTCCCCACGGGGCCGGCGGCGGCGGAGGGACGGGGCAGCAGGGCAGCGCTCTCAGTCTCGGCCTGGGAGCTGCAGGGTGGGGCGTGGGGAGTGGCCTGATTGAAGCCCTGGGCTCTGGGTAGAGAAGAACAGTCCTGGGATTTAAGTCTCTGCCTGTCCCTCTGGGCTGCGCCATAAAGCAGTGGCTTAACTTCCCAGTCCCCGGCTTTGTCAGGCGGGGACATGAACACACACACGGCCACGGTCCCTTATCTGAAGCCCTGACAGGCAAATGTGCTTCGAATCGGAATGTTGTGATGGGAGGTCTCAGGAAGGCCGTCTGGTGCTGACGCCCTCAGCTGGCCCAGAGCAGTCCTCTCACTCAGTGTTTCTGTGCGGAGACACGTGCCCGTTTGCACCGAACGGGATAAATGACAAGTACCGAGAGCCTCGCATCCGCTTGGGTCAAAGAAGTGAGCTCTGAGGCGAGCCGCCTCTGTCAGGGGCAGACGGGGGCGCTGCTGGGTCCCAGTCTCCCTCTGGACGGCTCCGTGCAGGCCAGAGGCAGGCGGAGATGGAGATGGCAGGTCAACGAATGGCTGTTATGATAAAACTTTATCTCTGGAAACTAACATTTGAATTCTTTTTTTAAAATGGTTTTCTTTGTATTGATTTTAGAGAGGAAGGGAGAGGGAGAGAGAGATAGAAACATCAATGATGGGAGAGAATCACTGATCAGCTGCCTCCTGTGTGCCCCCCACACTGGGGATCAAGCCAGCAATCTGGGCATCAAACCCAGGACCCTTCAGTCTGCAGGCCGACGCTCTATCCACTGAGCCAAACCGGCTAGGGCACTACAATTTGAATTTTGTATAATTTTTACGTGTCAAGAATGATTTATTTTCAACCATTTAAAAATGTTTTTTTAAAAATCACTATTTTTAGCTTGTGGGCTGTGCAGAAACTGGTCCAGATTTGGTCTCAGGGCCAAAGTAACATGCCCACCCCTGAGTTTGGGGCAGAGGGTTTGGTTTCCAGAACTTCCTGGAGGAGGGACCGTGGAGGAGGGACCGGGGAGGAGGGACCGTGGGGGAGGGACCGTGGGGGAGGGACTGTGGAGGAGGGACTGTGGAGGAAGGGGTGTGGGGGAGGGACTGTGGAGGAGGGACTGTGGGGGAGGGGCTGTGGGAGGATGGAACATGGAGGAGGGAAAGTGGAGGAGGGAGTGTGGAGGAGGGAGTGTGGAGGAGGGACGGTGGGGGAGGGACTGTGGAGGAGGGGCTGTGGGAGGAGGGAACATGGAGGAGGGGCCATGGAGGAGGGACAGTGGAGGAGGGTGTGTGTAGGAGGGACTGTGGGGGAGGGGTGTGGGAGGAGGGACTGTGGGAGGAGGGACCGGGGAGGAGGGACTGTGGGGGAAGGACCGTGGGGGAGGGAGTGTGGAGGAGGGCATGTTGGGGAGAGGGGTGGGCCTCACGGTGGGAAGGGTGCTCAGGAAAGTGGAAGCACCCTGAGCAGCCGCTGTTGCTGGCGGGCAGACGCAGCTGCTGTTATTTGGTGGCTGTTCCTGGAGCTGGAAGGGTCCCGGCCTGGAGCTCAGCCCTGACTCCTCCCTGAAAAGGAGCAGCCACCACCCCTGGCCTGATGGACCAGGAACGTCCTGTCTGTCTCCCTGCTCTTAACGCCCCCCACCCTGAGACTAGTGTCCGCGCTGGAAGAGAGCGGACTCGGCCGGCTCCCCGCAGGGCGCAGGGTCATCGTGGCCTCACCGTGGGCTTGTCTCCAAGGACTCAGCCCCCAGGGAGCCCGAGGGGGTGTCGCTGCCTCCTGAGGGAGAGGCAGTGTGGGCAGGGCCCCGCTCCCCTCCTCCGTCCCCAGGAGCCAAAGACAAGGGCCGCGCCCCTTCCTCTCGCTGACGGCCGTTCTCTGTGTCAGGGGCAAGTACCTCCTGTATGAGAAGAACGAGGTGAAGGCCCGGGACCGCGAGTGGAAGAAGTACGAGTTCCACTACGACAACGTGCTCTGGGCGCTGCTGACCCTCTTCACCGTGTCCACGGGGGAGGGCTGGCCGCAGTAAGCGGGGCGCTCGGCCCGGGGGCAGGAGGGGAGAGGGGCTGGGAGCCGGGGCTGAGGAAGATCGGGGAGGGGGTGGTCTGCTCCTGACTCCCCGAGATGGGGGCCCTGCTGGATGCTGGGGGGCGGAGGGGGGGACCTGCCACCAGCACATGGACTCCACGTGTGGTTGGGCTTCTAGGGACAGAAGTCCAGCCCTCGCTTAGCTCGCCAGGCCCTGAGCGTAGAGACTTCACCCCCAAACCGCCCAGGACGGGCACGGGTTCTAGTTTATAGAAAGGCTCCTGCACGCAGGCAGTCTCGTCCCTTCACCCTCTCTGAGCTGGTGAGTTCGAACCTCCGAGACGGGCTGTGGACCGGGCACGGCCCAGGCCTGACCGCGGGGCCTTCTCTCCGAGGGGCCAGGCGGGGTGCCAAACACACACGTGCAGGCTACAGCCTGTCTGCGTACAATTCGGACGTCCATCGTGGGCTTTGGAGCGTTCATTGGGATGTATTTTTTTTAATATATTTTATTGATTTTTTACAGAGAGGAAGGGAGAGGGATAGAGTTAGAAACATAAATGAGAGAAACATTGACCAGCTGCCTCCTGCACACCTCTACTGGGGATGTGCCCGCGACCAAGGTACATGCCCTTGACCGGAATCAAACCTGGGACCTCTGAGTCTGCAGGCCGACGCGCTATCCACTGAGCCAAACCAGCTAGGGCGTTGAGATGTATTAAAATATCGGAGTCAAATACCACTTACCTGGTTAGGGAGGTGTTGGCGCTCCCTTATTGGTGCCCAAGACAAGCGCCCTGCTGTCCTCACCCTCATCCAGCTTCTCCCCCGAGATCCCGGAAGCGCCAGGTGGGGCTGTGGATGCCAGCCTCTGCCCTCGGCATCCTCCCTCCCTCCTCTCAGCACCACGCCCACCCGCACGTCTGCTCCCCCACGTGGGCCAGTGCCGGCCCGGGAGGCACCTGGGGGTGAAACATTTAAAGGGACCCCTTCCTCCACAGACTGCGCCTCCATCTGTCAGAGAACTGTTCGCATGCCTCGTGGCTTCGCTCAGTGAGGCCCTGATGGCTCCCTGCCAAAGGGCTGTCATCGCGAACACACAAATCTCTCCGTCTGCGGTGCGAGCGGCACCCGACGCGGCCCAGAGCAGTGCTCGGCCTCCGCACCGTGCGGAGCAGCTGTGCACACGCTCCCACACACCCCTCTGCACCCCACCGTCCCTCGCCGCCTGAGCTTCATGCACACACACACACACACACACACACACACAGAGATACATACACACACATATACACACATATGTACACACATGTACACACATACACACACAGAGAGAGATATACACACATACACAGATACATACACAGATACACAGACACAGAGATACAGATACATACACACACATACGTACACACATGTACACACATACACACAGAGAGAGATACACACATACACAGATACACATATACACAAACACAGACACAGAGATACAGATACATACACACACAGATACATACACATGTACACACACGTACATACACAGAGATACAGACACACATGTACACGTATATACACCCGTGCACACATACACATATATACATGCTTATATGTGTGCACATATACACACCCATATACACGTGTGTGTGTGTGCACATATATACACACATACGCACGCACACACACCTGCCTCCATGGCCCCTACTCACTCCGGTTTCAAATCCCACATCTGAGCGGGTGGCCTTCGTTTCCTCGCGTGCAGAGTGGAGCCAGTGGGAACCTCCCTGAGAGGGCTGCTGGGAAAATAACAAACTGATGAGCATCTCTCTGGCACATAACGGGCTCGAAACGCATGGTGGTTAACGCTCCCCACAGACAAAGGAGGTGGGGCGCCTACGGCTCCATAAAGCCACCATGGTAACTGGAGTTGGAAAACGGTGATTATTTTTTCTTTCCTGTCCACTTTCTCTTAATATTTCTCTCCATCCCCGTCCCCTCGTCCCACCCGCCCCCGCCCCGCCCCCCAGGGTGCTGAAGCACTCGGTGGACGCCACCTTCGAGAACCAGGGCCCCAGCCCCGGGTACCGCATGGAGATGTCCATCTTCTACGTCGTCTACTTCGTCGTGTTCCCCTTCTTCTTCGTCAACATCTTCGTGGCCTTGATCATCATCACCTTCCAGGAGCAGGGAGACAAGATGATGGAGGAGTACAGCCTGGAGAAAAACGAGGTGCCGCTCTCCAGCCCCATCCCCCATTTGAAAACGGACGTTCCCACACCCCAACCGCCCCACGCACATAAGTACACACAGAAACCGGCTCCCGGGGGCATGTGGGGAGGGAACCTTCCAGCAGAACCCCGCCTGCGGGGCAGCCCTTCGTGAGGTTTTCAGAGGAAAATACATCATCAGGCAGAAGGTGTATGTGTCAGTCAGTTCAGTAACAAGCATCCCTGAGATCTCAGGGCCAGATAGCCATACGGGGGTGATTTCTTGCTTACTTTGCAAGTCCAAACGGCTCTGCTCTGTGTCGCCATTATCCATCTTCCCTCCGAGATGCTTCAGATAAAAAAGAGTCTGTATAGCAAACCAGCGTCCCACTCGTGAGGCGTGAGCCCAAACGTGACACAGGCCACCTCTGTTCACATTTCATTAGCCCGAGTGAGTCACACATCCACGTGTGATGTCAGGGGGGCGGGGCTTGTTTTCCGGGGAGAGGTGGTGAATATTTATGAATGGAAGTCCGGCACACCAGAGAGGATAGACATGGCCCTTTGTTCTCCTCGCATCGTCCACGCCAGGTGGAGGATTTAGAATGTACCCCTCCTCCACTCTGTTGACACCTAAGACGTCATGACCATGACTCCCCTCTCCACACCCCCGTCTGAGAGGAGGAGGAGCCAAGTGTTCTGTAGGAAAGAACGGGTGTGAGCTTCAGAGTGAAACATTAGTTTAAATGTGGGGCTGGCCCAGTTTGCAGCTGTGCCGCCTCAGGCAAGTGGCTTAACCTCTCTGAGCCTCTGCTTCCCTTGCCTGCAAAGTGAGGCGACGAATAGTACCCACGAGATAACGGGGCAGACATGTCAATGCCAGGTCTGGCAGACGGCGACGTCTAAGAGAGCCATCGCGGGAGCTGACGGGGGCCCAGGGGTGCCAGCCGGGGGCAGGCGTACCCGAGAGCTGTGCTGCGTTAGGCGGAGGGTGCTCGGTGTCCGGCGCTGCCCTCTGCCTGCTCTCACGCCGCCCGCCTCTCTCCTGCAGAGAGCCTGCATCGACTTCGCCATCAGCGCCAAGCCCCTGACCCGGCACATGCCCCAGAACAAGCAGAGCTTCCAATACCGCATGTGGCAGTTCGTGGTGTCCCCGCCCTTCGAGTACACCATCATGGCCATGATCGCCCTCAACACCATCGTGCTCATGATGAAGGTGAGCCCCCGGCATCCCTGCCCTCAGACCCGCCCTCCTCCGGCAAAACGGAACCCTCTGCCGTGAGTCCCCCAGGCCGACCGCACTGCTACCTCCCAGCCTGGGCCCCGGCTGTGCCCTCCGCCTGGCACGCACTTCCACCCCACCCCCACCCCGTCTGTCTGGTCGGCTCCTTCCAGGGCCACCTGCACAGCCCCTCCTCCAGGAAGCCTTCCCTGACCTCCCAAGACATACCAGGTGCCCATCTTTGCAAGCGCCCTCCCGTTACGTCCCACGCCCTAATATCAGTGTGGTTTGCCCGACAATCTCCCTCCCAGCCTCTGAGCTCCGAGAGACCAGACAAGTCCTGGTCAGCCCTGAACTCCTGGGGCTCAGCGAGGTCCGGCTCAGAGGGAACAAGAGGCCCTTGCTAAATGTCTGAGCGGGCCCTCACCAGTTTGGCTCAGTGGATAGAGCGTCAGCCTGCAGACTGAAGGGTCCCAGGTTCGATTCTGGTCAGGGGCATGTACCTTGGTTGCGGGCACATACCCCATGGGGGGTGTGCAGGAAGCAGCTGATCGATATTTCCCTCTCATTGATGTTTCTAGCTCTCTATCCCTCTCCCTTCCTCTCTGTAAAAAATTCATATATTTTTTTTAAATAAATAAAATAAATGTTTGAGTGGCCTGAGGAAGGAGGGACAGGTAAGGGCCTTGCCACGCTTGGGGCCACAGAGCCTCTTTAGAGTGAAAAGTCAGCATCTTTCTATGTGTGCCTTGGAGACCAAAGGTCTGGGTTTGAGTCCAGTGCTGCCATTTAACTCATTGTTTAACCTTGCACAGGGACCCGTGACACCTCAGGGCCTCAGTTTCCCTGTCAATACAATGGGGCTGTTAATACCAGTGCCTTCCTCCTTCCTCTCCCCCCTCTCCTCCTACCCGAACCCGGGAGAGGAGGAGTGAATGAGAAAGTTCAGGCAAAGACATTAGCACATTTCTCGACACTTCAAAAACACCCAATAAATTGAGCTGCAAGTTATTGAGCCGGTGAAAACTCAGTGCCTGTTTTCACTCAGAAACCCTCTCCGGAAGCAGCTCCTTTGCCTTTCCATTGTTAAAGGGATGAACAGGTTTAAGCAAACAGAAGAGAGGTGGGGAGTGGAGAAGGCGTTCCTCAGATGGCATGTGCTCACGGGTCATGGGGGCCTTGTGAACGGCGATGCTGGTTCGGCGGGTCTGTGGTGGGCCTGGGCTCTGCATTTCCCCCGCCCCCCTGGCCACGCCCTGAGTGCCCAGGCCCTCACGGACATCCAGTTGCCACCCCCATTGTTCCACGTCTGAAACACTGGACTCTGTCACCATCTATTTATTTTCCTAATTTTTTTGGTTGAGGTGATATACACATAATATTCACCCTGTCAAAGAGTTTAATCCAGTGACATTTAGTATATTCACTATGTTGTTCAGCCGCCACCTCCATTAACGTCCAAAACATTTTCATCCCCCTAGAGAAAACCCATCCCCATTGGCAGTCACTCCCCATGCCCCGCCCCCAGCACCTGGCAACCACCAATCTGCTTTCTGTCTCTGGATTTGCCTGTTATGGACACTTCTATTTTTTAAAAAATATATTTTATTGATTTTTTTTACAGAGAGGAAGGGAGAGGGAGAGAGTAAGAAATATTGTTGAGAGAAAGAGAGAGAGAGAGAGAGAGAGAGAGAGAGAGAGAGAGAGAGAGAGAGAGAGAGAGAAACAGAAACATCAATCAGCTGCCTCCTGCACACTCCCTACTGGGGATGTGCCTGCAACCAAGGTACATGCCCTTGACCAGAATCAAACCTGGGACCCTTCAGTCCTTAGGCTGATGCTCTATCCGCTGAGCCAAACCAGTCAGGGCTTAAGTATTTTAAGTTATAAACACCACACCCACAGGCATTGCTCAGTGGTTGAGCAGCGACTTATGAACCAGGAGATCCCAGTTCAATTCCCAATCGGGGCGCAGGCTTGAGTTGTGGGCTGCCATCAGTGATTCTGTTTCTCACGTTTTTTCCCTTCCTCTCTGAAATCAGTTAAAAAAAATTATTATAAACACCACATTATTTTACCCTTAAGTTTTCCAATTTCATTTCTTTAAAAAGGAGATTTTTCTGACATATCCTTATGTTTTAGAAGATGAGTGATAATTCTCTGAGAGCCATATTAAATTGTCCCCAAAATGTCTTTTACAAAAAAAAAAAAAAGTCTTTTATGGTGAGTTGTTTTTTGAGTCAAGATCTAAATGACTGCACACGGCCTCCAGTTTTTGTCTTTTAAACCTCTGTGCTCCCCGTTTACACCTTCCCACACACACACACACACTCTCTTGACTTTTTGGAGAAACAGATGAGCCGAATGAAAAGGGTTCCAGCTCTAGATGAGGTGGCTGGTGGGGGGAAGGGGGGGTTAGTCTGTAACTTCTTCCTCCATCTGCTGTATGTCCTGTAAGCTGGTAGTTAGTTCTAAAGGTTATAGACTCAAGTCTGACTAAATAGTCAAGAATATTTCCTGCCCTAACCGGTTTGGCTCAGTGGATAGAGCGTCGGCCTGCGGACTGAAAAGTCCCAGGTTCAATTCCGGTCAAGGGCATGTACCTTGGTTGTGGGCACATCCCCAGTAGGGAGTGTGCAAGAGGCAGCTGATTGATATTTCTCTCTCACCGATATTTCTAACTCTCTACCCCTCTCCCTTCCTCTCTGTAAAAAATCAATAATATATATATATATATATATATATATATATATATATATATATATATTTGTTTATTTTTATTTTTTTTAAGAATATCTCCCAAGGAGTCAGAAGAACTGTCACCCCTGGGGCTACAATCACCTGGGAGGGAACAGGGAACGCAGGGAAACTCTTTGGGGCTGGAAATGTTGTAAAACTTGGTGTGGGAGTGGCCTCAGGGGAGCGTGCATTAAAGGGGGGATGGGAAAACAAAGGTCCCTGCAGAGAGCCTGCTTTAGACATCCAGCCCCGCCCGACCGGGCTGTCCCAGGGTCTCAGGAGTTTTTTTTGTTTTTTTGTTAATATATTTTATTGATTTTATACAGAGAGGAAGAGAGAGAGATAGAGAGTTAGAAACATCGATGAGAGAGAATCATCAATCAGCTGCCCCTTGCACACCCCCTACTGGAGATGTGCCCGCGACCAAGGTACATGCCCTTGACCGGAATCGAACCCGGGACCTTTCAGTCCCCAAGCCGATGCTCTATCCATTGAGCCAAACCGGTTTCGGCAGGAGTTTTTGTTTTCTTGTGAAGAGCTCGCCTGGAGTTGGCTCCACAGGGGTCAACAGGGGCCCCAAGTGTGAGTCCTGCCTGGCCCCGGGTAGGACAGCCACTGAGCCGCCTCCCCAGACCCTGCCACCCGCTGACCCCGGCCCCCTTCCCTCTTCCCCCTCTAGTTCTACGGGGCCTCGCTTGCTTATGAAAATGCTCTGAGGGTGTTCAACATCGTCTTCACCTCCCTCTTCTCTCTGGAATGTCTGCTCAAAGTCATGGCTTTTGGGATTCTGGTAAGTACAGCTTCAGGGCTAGAGTTGTGTGTTGGGGTGGAAGCCCCGAGGGCCACTGGGTGCTGGGTGACGGCCCACCCACCTGGCACCAAGACCCCACCCCAGGGGTGGCCGGAGCATCCTTCCAAGGCCCACAGACTCTACTGAGACGTTCTTGGTGCTTGCCAAGTAACACCCATGACGCCTGGCACGTGTGGACCTACTATGTGCAAGGCGGGCACTTATTCGGTCATTCCTGGGAATGGCCCATTTTAGAGCAAGGAAACTGATCTCCGACAGCGTTCCAGCTGCTGAAGCTGCGACGTACAGTGAGAGACGCATTTGACAGTGGAGCCCAGCACTCAGGCGTGCATATGGACACCCGGAGGGAAATGAGTGTCAGCCCCCATCACATGCCCTGCCCTTCTCCTGGACTCCGTTTCCTTTTTCTTTTCTTTTTTTTTTTTCCAAATGCAGTTTAGAACCCATTCACTGGACATCATTCCCCAGTCATGCAACTGATTGCATCATTACCTTTTACCAGCTACTGGGCTTGAGCATGGCCTTCCATCGGGCAAGCAGACAGCAAACTCCTGCAGCCTTAGCAATACAAACCACATGCTTTCCTCGTGTATTGTAGAGGTGGCAGGGGCCTTACAGTCTCATTTGCACTCATCACTGCTTCAGAATGCTGGTGGTTATTAAACCTTCAACTACTCCGTGTTTAACACGTTAATGAGGACGTGCATTCATCATTACATCACCATTTTAAAAATATGTTGATCCCCGTATCCCAATATAGCAGCTGTTCTTGCCATCCTGGGTATCTGATCTTAAGCATTTAGAGCTTCCTCTGAGAAGGTCTTCCCAGGTGGCCCAGGAGGGTCACAGCACACAGAAACGCTGAGGAAAGCCCGAGCTGATGGGTTCTAACTTGGAGTGACTTCCAGGAGGTTCCCCAGGAATGACCCAGCTGAGACTTCCCCAATGACCTGTTAGCCTGTTTCTCTGCAGAAAATGACCCACAGCACCGGGGGTCAGCCTGGGTCTCGCCTGGGCTGCTCGAAGTGGCAGGGGGCAGCGGTCGCCAGCCGGTGGTCCGCGGACCGCTGGTGGTCCGTGAGGTCCGAAAGGTACAGGGCATCAGCTTTAACACCAGAGAGATCGCCATTCCCATGGTACCCGGGCTCTGTCACCTCACCTCTCTTCTGTCACTGACTCTCAGGAGAACTCTTGCCAACCCTCAACACAAAGAGTGTGTGTCTGGAGACTGAGAGGGAAGCCTGGCAGTGAAGGGTTCCTGCCGGGGCTTCCAACTCTGCTCCCTCTCAGAAGTACTTTGGGAGATTTTTTTTTTTTTAATATATTTTATTGATATTTTACAGAGAGGAGGAAGGGAGAGAGATAGAGAGCTAGAAACGTCGATGAGAGAGAAACATCGACCAGCTGCCTCTTGCACACACCCCCACCAGGGTTGTGCCCGCAACCAATGCACATGCCCTTGACCGGAATCGAACCTGGGACCCTTCAGTCTGCAGACCGATGCTCTACCACTGAGCCAAACCGGCCTCGGCTGGGAGATTTTTTTTTTTTTAAATGGGATCCTGCCCCAGACCCATCCCCAGAGATTCTGATCCACTTGGTCAGGTAGGGGCCTCAAATCTGTTTTTACTTTTCTTCCTTTCTTTCTTTTTAATTTTTTAAAATATATATATTTTTTTATTTCAGAGAGGAAGAGAGAGGGAGAGAGAGAGAGAGAGAAACATCAATGAGAGAGAATCATTGATCGGCTGCCTCCTGCACGCCCTACACGGGATGGAGCCCACAACCTGCGCATGTGCCCTGACTAGGAATTGGATCCTGACCTCCTAGTTCATAGGTTGACCATGCTCAACCACTGAGCCACACCGACTGGGCAAATCTGTATTTTTTAAAAAATATATTTTATTGATTTTCCACAGAGAGGAAGGGAGAGGGATAGAGAGCTAGAAACATCGATGAGAGAAACATCGACCAGCTGCCTCCTGCACACCCCCCACTGGGGATGCGCCCGAAACCAAGGTACATGCCCCTGACTGGAATCGAACCCGGGACCTCTCAGTCCGCAGACCGACACTCTATCCACTGAGCCAAACCGGTTTCGGTCAGATCTGTATTTTTTTTAATTTGATTTTATTGCTTTATTTGTTTAGGGAGAGAGGGAGAGAAACAGTGCCCAGGATAGTGGTCCAACCAGCTGAGCCAAACCAGCCAGGGCCTGAATCTGTGTTTTTAATGACCCCCCCCGCCCCTCCGGGGGGTGTCTAGGGCGCTGCCCAGGCTTTCAGACCCCAAGCTGAGCACCAGCCAGGCAGGGGGAGCACCCTGCAGCCAGGCAGTGGCACCAGCTCAGCATCCTCGTCCTGGGAGTGCCACCAGGACAGGTCACAGCCTGCGTGTGGGCAAGGGCGTGGGCTCCGATGTTCCCATACCTGGGTGCGAATCCTGGCTCTGCCCCTCTCTGGCTGGGTGGCCACAAGCAGGGCACTGGCCTCTGGGCTCCTGTGTCCACACCTCCAAAATGGAGAGCCCTGTGGGCCCCGCCCAGTGCAGCTGTCAGGCGATTCTTCCTCCTCATCAGTCTCCTGGTGATGATTTCCCCCAGGAGCTGGGCTCCATCTCCCAGCCAAGGGCAGTCCCCGCACCAACCTTCTCCCTGCAGGTTAGAGGAAGCCCCAGGATGCCCAGGTGAAATTTAGGTCGAAGAGCAGAGCCCTGTACTCTAGGGATTGGAGGCCTGTCACTCCGCACCTACGAAGTTTTCTTCCTTTGGGCTCCCCCAAAAGCAGAACCTGAGACGGAGATTGAGTGAAAAGAATTTATCAGCCGAAACCGGTTTGGCTCAATGGATAGAGCGTCGGCTTGCGGACTGAAAGGTCCCGGGTTCGATTCCGGTCAAGGGCATGAATCCTTGGTTGCGGGCATATCCTCAGTGGGGGGTGTGCAAGAGGCAGCTAATCGATGATTCTCTCTCATCGATGTTTATAACTCTCTATCCCTCTCTCTTCCTCTCTGTAAAAAAAAATCAATAAAATATATATATATTTTTTAAAAAGAATTTATCGGAGAGGTGACCCCCAAGAAACACACTAGGGGAAACAGACTGGGAGTGAAGGGGAGGGGAATCTTGCGTAGGTTGCAATCCTGCTGAGGCCCTCCAGGGGGCAGCAGAGGGTCACCAGCATCATTCCATTGACGGGGAAGGGAGCTGGAGTCTTTACCCTCCAGTGCCCATCGGCCATGGTGAAGGGCTGCTCCCAGGGGAGCTGTTAATTCCCCAGCAAATATGCAGCCTGAGAAAGCCTCTGGGCAGAGTAACGAAGGTGCGCAGTCACGTTATACGAAGGAAGATGAGCGGGGCCCAAGGGCCATGGGGACCTGCATTGCTTTTCGATAACCGTAAAACAACCATGTCCATCTATTGAGCACCTACTGTACACCAAATCCCACTCAGACTCCATTAGGGGATGGTTGTTACACCCTATCGTCCAGAAGAGGGCGCCAAGACCCACAGAGTCCAACTGGGGGCGTTTCCCTCAGCCTTGCGGAAAGAACTGATCCTGGGAAGCACAGCTCTAAAGCCTGGGCCCTTCTGGGGGGGCAGAGGGTGCTGCAGGTCAGACACTCGGTGGGGGGGGGGGGGAGCTGAGCACTTAAAACGCCCCGGCCTCGGCCTTGTGAGGATGCTGGGAAGGCCTGTGTTTGGCTTGAGTCTCAACGAGCCGCGGGGGAGCGGGGGCCGGGGCGGGGGGGGGGGGGGGCATTTCGGCCAGACCTGTAGATCCAGGCAGGGGTACTGCTTGGTGTGGGCTCAAGTCACGTGGAATAGTTCAGTGTTTTAACAACCACGCGCTGCACCTGTGTGCCCCGTGGTTGAGCCGGCACCAGCCCAGGGATGTACCAATCAGGACCTATCAAATCAGCTGCAGGAGCCAACAGCCCTCACATCTCAGCTGCTTAAGTCAACCAAAGTTCTGTTGATACCCAGTAGGGGGCTAGGAGGAGGGGCTCTCTTTGCCTGTAGATACTCAGGGACCCAGGCTCCTGGGGCAGCCCCATCTGGCACATCGCACGTTGCCAGGGTTAAGAGAGTTCTGACAGTCCAGACTGGCGGGAAGTGACCCACGTGGCCTCTGCTCACAGCCCATCGGCTAGAACTAGACGCCGGGCCCCATCTATCGACTGAGGAGCCAGGACAGGCAGCCTGGCAGGTGCCCAGGAGGCCTCTGTACCCTCGTTACTGTTCCCTTTCCCCAGATCAGAAAGTGGAGGCCCAGAGAGGTTAAGTCACTAGCCCACAGCCACACAGCGGGGAGGTGAACCCAGTGGCCACTCTCCTTGGGAGTGTGCTGTGAACACAGTCCTGATTCCGTAGGCTCCTCAACATGAACTCCAGACTCCAAGTCCCAGCCTGGGGTCAAACCTGGCCCTTCACTTCTATGCTGCTCCCCGGCCAGCCCAGGGCTGACTTCACTCACTGAGCTTATCGCCTTGTGTATAACGAGGGATAGTCCTTGTTTTTGAGGTCTTCTCCCCAGCAGAGCTGACGAGGGCCCTGGAGGCCCCCTCTGGGGTCAGGCAAGCCAGCGGCAGGCCTGGGTTCTGCGAAGGGGCAGCTCAGAGGAGTCCGCTCCGTAGCGTTTTGCTACTCAAATGGCCAAGACCATGCCAGCACTCGGGTTGATGGGAGCTGTGGCCCCGGCTGGCCTTGGAGGACCCAGCATGAGCCCTGAGTTGGCGTCTCTGTCTTGTGGGTCCCCATTCTAGAATTATTTCCGCGATGCCTGGAACATCTTCGATTTTGTGACTGTTCTGGGCAGCATCACCGACATCCTCGTGACTGAGTTTGGGGTAAGTTTCCCGCTGGCTTCTTTCTGGGCAGCTCCTGGCTGGGAGGGAGCGGGGGCGGGGGGCGGGGGAGATGGGGAAGAGGTCCCGACAGCCCCAGCTGGCCCTTGCCAGCACTCGGCTGTGAGCGGAGAGGGCAAAACAGGGCCCCCAGAGGCAGGGTGCCCTCCCCCTCCCCTCCAGGAGAGCAGCTCAAGAAGACAGGATCTCCCAAAGCCGCAGCCAGGGGCCAGTGCTGCAGCGCAGACCCCCCCTACCCTGTTGACTTACGAATAAATGTGAGCTGAGTGCACTGAGAGAACCGAGGCCCTTAAAGGATCTAAGGCTGAGCCCCACCCCAAACTCCACAGAGTGTTGGGGGCCCAGAGGGAACCAGCTTCAGATCCATCCTGCCTGAATAACACCTCCTGGTTCATGGGCAGGAGGGAGCCGTGGCCCGTGGGCCAACAAAGGGACACCACTCCCAGGACATCCACCCTGCTCTGCCCCCAGACCTGGGGGATCCCACACACACACGTGGGGGGTCTCTGGACCGGCCCCACATTGTCCTTGTATCTTGTCTAGAAGACTTGCGGCCCCAGATCTTCTGTTCAAGATCCCTCCTTGGCCATTTGCCATTGAGCCCAGGCCGGAGGGCCCTCAGGAGGTTGCGGGGAGAGCAGGATCCTCAAAGCGGGGGAGGGGGCAGAAGCCGAATGTGTCAGAGCCAAGGGCCGGGGTGGTATCCGCCTCACCATAACAGCAATAAAAATAATGATGGCCGCGAGAACGGAGCACTCGTCTGCCGGGTATTGTGCCAAGCATTTCACGTGGATTCGCTCACAGCATAGGTGTAGGGCTCGGCATAGAAGTGAATTCCCTTGGACAGTTAAATTATGGCTTGGAAAGCAAAGACTTCATGGAGAAGGAGGGAAGGCATCCAAAACCCAGCCACTGTGAGGAGCTGTCACCTGCTCAGGTGCTGAAGGGGGGGGGGGGGAGGCCTGGCCTGGATTGGTGAGGGGCTGAGGTCTAGGAGGAGAGGACCCCTAACAGAGGCGAAGGGCCAAAAGCAGGAAGCATTTGGGAGAAGCACCCAGCCTTTCTCTCCTGGTGCTGACTCCTGCCAGCACCTTCCATTGGCCAAGCCCAGCCAGCACCTCCCATTGGCCAAGCCCAGCCAGCACCTCCCATTGGCCAAGCCCAGCCAGCACCTCCCATTGGCCAAGCCCTGCCAGCACCTCCCATTGGCCAAGCCCTGCCAGAAGGGAGCAGGAAGGCCCGGGAGGCAGAGAGGAGCAGAGGATAGTTCTGAGCGGGGTGCTGCCCAAGAAAGAGGGTGTTGTACCATTTCACAGATGAGGAAACGGAGGCCCGGCTCTCAGGGGAGAGAGGCAGCCACCTAAGTTGATCCAGCCTGGCCTGCTGACTCCTGAGGGGACATCGGTGTTTCCTGGGGTGTCCCCACATGCCCACTCTCCGTCCTGGAGACTGGCAGGGCTGGGGAGCTCACCGGAGGGGGCCGTTCACCTCCCAGCACTCGCACCCAAGTGGTCTCTTGGCCACAACTCTGCCTTCAGCTCCAGGGTTCCAGAAGTTTCCCTTCCCCCCATCCCACTCGATACTTTCCTCAAGAGAGGGTGTTCCCACCGGGGTCTTTCCTTGTTGGGGTGCCCTCACCTGGCCATTGTTCCCTGGCAGAGAGCCAGCGCCGAGACCTAAGTTTCTTTTTTTCTTTTTCTTTTTTTTAAAATATATTTTGATTTTTTTACAGAGAGGAAGAGAGAGGGATAGAGAGACAGAAACATCAATGAGAGAGAATCATCGATCAGCTGCCTCTTGCACACCCCCTACCGGGGCTGTGTCCGCAACCAAGGTACATGCCCTTAACCGGAATTGAACCCGGGACCTTTCAGTCTGCAGGCCGACGCTCTATCCACTGAGCCAAACCAGGAGACCTAAGTTTCTAAGAAGTCTGCGCCCCAACTGGCTTCTTGCGCTCCGCCTGAGCTCTAGGCGGCCTTGAGCCAACGTCCCTCTGGGGCAGGAGGTTGGGACGTGTGGCCTACCACCCAGTAAGGCAGGTGGAGAAAGTGGGTATCACCTCCAGTTGCCATAAGAGATCCATAGGGCTGAACCCCAACAGTAGGTACGTCCTCCTGGCTGCAAGACATGGGGGGGGGGGGTCAGGAGGATGAGGCACAGGATTCAAGGGCATCAGTTTGATGTTGAGCAGTAGTGTTCCTTTTCTATACTTCAACCTGTATATAGGGATCATCCTGACTAAGCCCATCAGACCTTCCATTCATTCCTGCACTCAGGAAGCATGCATTGAGTGCTCACTGTATGCCAGGCATTGTTATAGGTGCTGGAGACAGAGCAGTGAACAAATCAAAATATACAAGAATGCTGCCTCGCCCTAGCTGGTTTGGCTTGATGGATAGAGCATCCACCTGCAGACTGAGGGGTCCTGGATTTCATTAGCATCAAGGGCACATGCCTGGGTTGCAGGCTCGATCCCCAGTTAAGGGGCATGCAGGAGGATCCCCAGTAGGGGGCATGCAGGAGGCAGCCGATCAATGATTCTTATAATTGATGTTTCTCTCTCCCCCTCCCTTTCTCTCTGAAATCAATCAATCATCAATAGGAAGAATGCTGCCCCCATAGGGCTGACATTCATAGGAGAAAGATGGCAACTTTTAATAAGTCAGAGCCATCAATGCGAAATGCTTGGCACAGAACCTACCAGAAAATATAGTTCACCAATGGCGGTGGCTTTGTTATCGCCGTTATTACCGTGGATACACTTGAGTTTTCCTTGGTGCGCCGGCCCCTGGCTCTCAGAATCGTTTGGAGGGAAAGCTAGAGGGAGGGTGGGTGTTTGGACCCTTTAAGAAGGATAAACTCCCAACCTGGAATGGGGGAGGGACCTGCCCTGCCAGGCAAGGAGCCACAGTCTCCCCTTCCTGCCCCCCAGGTAAGCCCGCTAGGTCTGAGGAAGGAGGAACCAGACCCTTGGAGGGCAGGTCCCGGGGAGGGGGGGGTGGCAGGGGCCTGAGACCCATGGGCCTCAGCGGCTGCCCCTAAGTGGCCAGGGTGACGAGGGTTTGCCCTGCGTGCGATGGATAATGACTGTGTTTCTTGTCTTGTCTCTTTTCATGCCTGCTCTTTAAACTGTATATTGGCACAACGCCGTCTGAAAAACTCATCCAATCAAAATGCACTATGAAATCCATTTGTTCATCCATGACGTGGTCTGTGTATTCATACACCAATGACTATCTCCCAACCCACCACCACCCCCACTCCCCGCCCGGGAACCGAAACCCATTGGTTTTTTGGCACTGGTTACAAATCAACCTAAAAAACGCTGAACACGCCTCCCCAACTGTCCCCGCCCGCTGGCTCCCCCTCCATCTTCAACATCTGCATCTAGAATTCGGTTGGTGTTACTTCTTTCTGAAGTCTAAATGCCTTACATTAACTGTGAACGCATCTTCTCGCATCAGCGCTGCATGTCATGCCCTGGGCTTTCTGACTGGGAATGCCTGACACCCCCTCTTATTTCCTGCCCCCCCCCCCCGTTTGCCCCTCTTCCCTCCCCATCTGTCTGTCCCTCTTCCCTCCCCTTATCTGTCCCCTCTCCATCCCCCAGCCCCTCCCTCTTCATTTCTACAAAGCCTCTCTCTCTCTCTCTCTCTCTCTCTCTCTCTCTCTCTCTCTCTCTCTCTCTCTCTCTTCCCTCTCTCTCCTTGTTTTCATTGGGTTCTGAATTGGGGTTTTCTGTTTGGCTTGATTTGCATCTTTTGCAGAGAAAAGGATGGGTTTGCCAGGACAAGGCGGCTGGCTGGGCCTCCCACCCCACTGCTTACACACATCTGACCCTCGGGACCCTCAGCTGCCCTCCAATCACGGAGTGCCAGGAAAGGTCCCCCATCCCTGACCCCGTTCTCAGCCCTGGCATTCTCTGGGCTTGATCACCAGAGACGAATCTCTAAGCCTGATGGCAGAAGGGGGAGGAGGGGTCTGCAGGGTGGGCCGCATGCAAACAGAGACTCTCAGGCGAGGGAAACTCAGAACTGCTAAGGCTGGGGTCCCAGCTGCTTCCAGATGGGCCAGCCCGCCAAGGCCATGAGTCACAAACGCGCACACACACACACACACACACACACACACAGACTGCACATAAACACAGATTGCACACACACAGAGAGACTGCACACACACACACACACACACACACACAGAGACTGCACACACAAACACACAGACTGCACACACACACACACACACACACACACAGACTGCACATAAACACAGATTGCACACACACAGAGAGACTGCACACACACACACACACAGAGACTGCACACACAAACACACAGACTGCACACACACACACACACACACACACAGAGACTGCACATAAACACAGATTGCACACACACAGAGAGACTGCGCACACACACACACACACAGAGACTGCACACACAAACACACAGACTGCACACACACACACACACACACACACACACACAGAGACTGCACACACGTGCCCTCTCCTCTTTCTGGCTCTGTCTCTGACCCCTCACTGTCTCTCTCCCGCCCTACATATACACAGATGCACACACTATCCCTCCTCTCTCACATCCATCCACCCTACAGGCCCATACCACCACCACCACCCCCCAGCATACACTGTCTCTCTCCTCACTCACTCAGCTCCTCACACACCTGCGCCCTCTCACTCTGTTACATCTGGCCTGCCTCTTCCCCTCCCAGCCCTGAGCGCATCTTTACACCAGCATTCCTCCCCTAGGGTACACGTGTGCTCGTTTACCAAACATTTAATGAGTGGGGTGGGCAAAAGCAAACACCACCTCCGCCCCCCTCACCTGGTCAAACCACTCAGCAAACCCACTTGAAATTGTAACTGTGCCACAAGCGGAAGGACGAGCAGTGCTGACCAGGCAGAGAGGGGGGAAAGGGCACATGAGGTCTAGCGCACAGGCGAAGGGACAGCACACAGGGGTCAGGGCTGCAAGTGAGGGGTGTGGCTGGAGCAAAGAGCTGCGGAAGGCTGGCCCACAGGAAGTAAAGAGGGCAGAGGGACCAGGCCCTGGGGCATGGTTGTGGGGGCGTGGGAGGATTTGGAGCAGGGGGGAGCCATCAGAAGTGTGATTAGACAAGGTCGCTGTGGCTGCAGAGCCCGAACAGTTTGGTGGGGCCTGGGCTGCAGGAAGCCAGCAGAGGACTAGCCGTCTGAGTACGGGCCTCCCCAGAACCCGGGGGTGGGTCCCTCTGGGCTGTGGGCGAGAGGGGTACCTGGAATAAGATGACCAGACGTCCCGCTTTGGGCGGGACAGTCCCGGATTTTTAACAATTTGTTCCACGTCCCATGGCGGGGTTTTTTTGTTTGTTTGTTTTTGTTTTTAATATATTTTATTGATTTTCCACAGAGAGGAAGGAACAGGGATAGAGAGCTAGAAATGTCGATGAGAGAGAAACATCGGCCAGCTGCCTCCTGCACACCCCCTACCTGGGATGTGCCCTCAACCAATGTACATGTCCTTGACCAGCATCGAACCTGGGACCTTTCAGTCCGCAGACCGATGCTCCACCACTGAGCCAAACCGGTTTCGGCCCCACGGCATTTTTAAAAAGCTGTGGGACGTGGGACAAATCGTTAAAAATCGGGACATCTGGTCACCTTAACCTGGAGGGACGCGAGTCTGGCTGGACCCGGAGGTGGTTAGGGGACGCCCGGAGGCGGGGTTGGGGAAGAGCGTGAGTGTGTGAGGCGCCTTAAGGACATCCTGGAAGGAGGCGATAGGCAGGTGGCTCTGGGGCTGGAGCTCAGAGGCGGGTTCTGGGCTGGAGGGGCCCGGATTTCTCCGGAGCCATCGGTGGGTGGCTCCCCGGTCCTGAGCCCTGGCACCCCTGAGCACAGAAGCCTTCGGGACCGGCGCCTGAATGCTCAGGGCAGGGTTGGAGGAGAGGACAGCTGCTCCTTGTGGCCTGTGGACGGGAAGATGGAAGCTAGAAAGAGGGAAGTTGCCCGGAGTTCTGTGAGCACCTGAAGGACTGGATGCAGACCTGGGAAGAGGGGGAAGGGGGGACGAGGGCAGACTAGTTCCTTCCCTGCCCCATCACCTGGGCCTCTCTCATCTCCGCCCCTCCTTCCCACGTGTCTCCTCCCCCTCGGCTCCGCACGTCCTGCACGCGTCTCCCCGCGAGGCCCCGGCTTCTCCCGCATGGTGGCAGGCTCCCTGCTCGCTCGGAGCCCCCGAGGCTGCTTCCAGGGCCCGCCTGCCTCTGCATGCCGAGCGAGTCCACACGCGCGTCCCGCCCCATGAAGGGATGGCTTGTTCTCTGGGGACGGATGGGAGAAGCTGGGGACAGCTGGTGGAGCTAGGTGGCCAGGCAAGGCCCCGTGGGAGGCAGGTCTGTGGGGCTCGTTCAGGGAGCTTGAGACGTTGTCACCGCACTTAGCCCACTGGGTTCAGAGTAGGATCTTCCCATCCCCATTCCCATCCTAGGGACACGGGGGCCAACTAGTGTCCTAGGCTTTGCCAGCAAATCCAGAGGCGTCTCGTCCGCCCCAGAAATTCCTTGAGCCCCATCACTGCCCTGGCACCCTGGGCCGGGAAGCCCTGGGGAACCCACCACGTAAGACGCCCGTGGAATCTGTCATCCAAGCTTTTGAGGCCTAAAGGGGAGCTGTGACTGTCAGGGCGACCTGTGTGGTCACCCCTGTGCCACTTGGGGGTGAGGGCTGAGCCCCTTTAAATCTGGCTCCACTGGGTTTCCCAAGCTCCAGTGAAGGCCTCTCTAGCGCAGCCCACCGGCTGAGTGAAAGCAGGGGTGGTCATGTCTGCAGAGACGGGGCTGAAATGCAGGTGCCACTTCCAGAACGGGGACCTCTGGCACACCGGAGGACGCGGGCCTGCTCCGAGGCGGGCACCCGAGCCCCAGCTAACTGCTGTCAGGACGGAAGCAGGTCCAGGGTTGCCAGAAAGCCAGCCTTGGGGGGATTCTGATTGTTAAAACAGTGCCAATTGCTTTTCGGTACAAAACCGCTCAGGCCCCACAAAATAACTTTATCAGCCAGGCAATGAGATTGGGTCCGTTTGTGACTTCTAGTGCCTGGTCCCCCACCAGTGCCCCCTGAGGCCCCAGGTGACAGTTACATGACCAGGGCCCCAACCCACCAAGCTGGCCGGCTGCCTCCCGCCTCCCCCTCCCCCTGTCGTCTGGCCCCAGGTTCTGGCTTGGGTGGGAGGAGGTGAAGGCAGCAACCAGGTAGGGGTCTTTAAGCAGAGGCAGGGGCCACCCAGGGAGGTCCTGGGGGCAGGGACGGCCCACCTCCCCGCCCCCAGCACCGCCCCTGGTGGGCCTGGGCCGATGGCCAGCTCACCCACCCACGGGCGCTGCGTACTTCCTGCTTCCCGCAGGCCCGGTCCCGTGCTACTCCACCCAGCCCCAGGAGCTGAGAAGCCATCCCTGAGAGGGGGGAAAAGGGCCCCAAATGCATCTTCTCCGACTCAGCGGGCAGCGAGGACTCGCCCTGCAGCCGAACAGCCCCAGCTCCCTCCTGTCCTCCCCATGCCCGCTCGCCAAGGGGGTAAGAAAAGATGCTCTTCAACTTTTCCAATTGGCTCGAGAGTCCTCTTGGCCGTGGGGTGAGGTGAGGGCGGGCAGGAGCGGGTGGGCAGCTCGGCAGGGCAGGGCAGGGTGCCCGGTGAGTCCCACGACAGATGCATTTCTGGCCTAGAGCGTCACATGCCCTGGAACCCGCCCCCGTCCACTCAGGCCCGAGTGCGCTGCCCCCCCCACCCCCGCACCCTGCCCGGTGTTTGTGCATCGTATGTGTGATGGGTTTGGCAACTTGACCCGCTTGTGTCCTACTGTCTCAGTGCATTTGGTTGTTGGGAGAAACAAAAACCATCTCGATTTTTTTCCTGATTGGATGATTCGGATATATTTTCTTTTCCTTGTTCTTTTGTTATTTCTTCCCCCACCTGCCCCCTACCCCTTTCCTCCCTCTCCTTTTTTTTTCCTTTCCTTTCCCCTTTGCGGATGGGCTGGCAGGGAGGGCTGACGCTTTCTGAGTTGATGCCTTTTCCTCCTTCTCCCCCCACCCCCCCCCACCCTACTTTGCCCCTTTTTCCAAGTTTTTTCCTCTGCACCATTGCATTAATAGTGCTTTCTCTCCTCTCCCTCCTTATTTGGGGTCTGGCTTGCTTTCTCCTGTTGGTTGGCTTCATGTAGGGTCCTCTGTGAGTGGTGATGGCTCTAAGCCCCTGGGGGTGGGTGGATGGTCACCCCGCTCTCTCCATCTCCCCAGAATAACTTCATCAACCTGAGCTTCCTCCGCCTCTTCCGAGCAGCCCGGCTCATCAAGCTCCTCCGGCAGGGTTACACCATCCGCATTCTCCTCTGGACTTTTGTGCAGTCGTTCAAGGTGAGCCACGAGGGCTGAGAGGGAAAGCAGACCCCCACCCACACCCCCCACCCCCCTACCGCTGTAGCTGAATCTGGAACGTTGGCGATGCTCACACGGTGCGTCTTGCTGAGAATGTGGTCTGCAGGGCTCTTGTCTAACTTCCTTCCCACCAGGCCCTGCCTTATGTCTGTCTGCTGATTGCCATGCTTTTCTTCATCTATGCCATCATCGGGATGCAGGTGAGTGCTGGTCCCCCGTGATGCTCCCAGAGCCACCCCAGGAGGGCCGCTGGCCTTAGGCAGAGGGGGGTCGGGGGCCCAGTTCAGAGACGCAAACATGGGCACTGAGTTGGGGGGGGGGTCCCTGGAGCCACTGAGGGGGGCACGTCGGCCCCTGGTCATCGCCTTCCGGTCCCCCAGGTGTTTGGCAACATTGGCATCGATGTGGAGGAAGAGGACAGTGATGAGGACGACTTCCAGATCACTGAGCACAACAACTTCCGGACCTTCTTCCAGGCCCTTATGCTTCTCTTCCGGTGAGAGGCGGGCGCTTTCATTCTCCATTTCCGGTGGGGGCGTGTCCTTTTCCTTCTCTTCCGGTAGGGGAGGTGGGTGCCCTCCATCTTCTGTGCCCAGGAGGCATGGGATGGGCGTGGGGGACCCAGGAGCCCCGGTGGGGTAGGAGCTCAAGGCCCTGGAGCTCGAACATGAAAGGCATTTTCAAGGCATCGTCTCACTGACGACTCCTGCCCATGCTGAGGCGGGGGTTCTCGGCAGCCCCGTGTGACAAGATGAGGAAACCAAGGCTTATAGACTCTGAGGCCTGGTTCTTCATCCCGCCTGCACGTTAAGAGTTCCTTCTTTCACCCGCGGGAGCTTTATTGAGCACCTACTGTGTGCCAGGCACTGCTGTAGGTACTGGGAGCCAGCAGGAAGGGACAACATTCTCTCTGCCTTCTGGAAACGTGTTATTCCTGTGGGGGAGACAGTCAGTAATAAACGGTAGAGGATACTAGAAGGAGGTAACGTTTAAGATTAAGAGGGAAATGAAGGTACAAAAGAACAAATAATGTAGGATTGTCCTTAAATGGGCAAACTCAAAGAGAGAAGAAGAAAAAAAAGTGGAGCAGAGATTGCCAGGGACCGGCGAGAGGAGAATGGGGAGTTGTTATTTAATGAGCACACATTTCCGGTTTGGAAAGAGGAAAAGGTGTTGGAGGGGGATCGTGGTGATGGTTACACGGCATTGTGAATGTGCTTAATGCCATTGAATTATACATTTTTTAAATGCTTAAAATGATCAGTTTTGTGTTATGTACATTTTGGCGCAATAAAATTTTTTCTTTTCTCATTTTTTAACAACAAAAAAGGAATGGAGGGCTGTTTTGTCTTGCTCCCTGAGTGGGGTGGTATTTGAGAGAGATAGGTAAAGAAGGGAGCCCTATGGATATCCCAGGAAGGGCAGTCCAGGCGAGGGTGTAGCACGTGCAAAGGTCCTGAGGCCGAAGCATGGCCGGCATGTTGGAGAAGCTGGAGGAGCCCAGTGTGCCTGGAGCAGAGTTACCGAGGGAGAAAGTAGTAAAAGATGACACTCGCCTGGACAGAGGGAAGTCTTTTAAATGCACCTGTGTCGTTAGCTGAATCCACGTCCGTGATAGTGAGGCATTGGCCTTAGCATGTTTTTACTTCCCACCCCCCCCCTCCCCCCAAGAGCTTTACTGCACAACCAAGAATGAGAGTCCCCCCCCACTGAGTTCCCAGAGAAAAGAGTTGCTTACCCGGGGCTCAACCCTGTGCTGGTCTGGCTCCAGAGCCCAAGTGCTTAACCACAGTGCTCTGCCTCCCTGGGAGGCACTTGTGTCCGGGGCTGGGTGCCCAGGTCCCTGATCCCCTCTCTGTCCTTAGGAGTGCCACCGGGGAGGCTTGGCACAACATCATGCTTTCCTGCCTCAGTGGGAAGCCGTGTGATAAAAACTCTGGCATCCTGACTCCCGAGTGTGGCAATGAATTTGCTTATTTTTACTTCGTTTCCTTCATCTTCCTCTGCTCCTTTCTGGTGAGTCTGTGGACATGTGGGGGTGGGCTCCCTCCTAGGGGTGTGGATCTCTCTAGAATGTGACTGTGTTACAGACTTGCTCCCTTGAAGGCTTCTGAGCCAGCCTGGGGTCAGGCTCGCCAGGGTTTCTCACCCTCAGCACGTTGGCAGGTGGGGCTGGGTCATCCTCTGTGGTGGGAGCCGTTCAGTGCATAGCAGGTGGTTGGACAGCATCCCTGGGCTCGACCCACTAGATGCCAGAGGCATGTGCCCCACTGTCCTTCCACAGCGACAACCAAAAATGTCTCCAGACATTGTCAAGCGTCCCCTGGGGAAGGGAGGCAGAGTCTCCCCCTTTTGAAACTCGCTGGTATCTTGCGGGTAAACCTAGTGGTGCTGAGAGCTTCCCATTTCATGGAGGTGTAGGAGTCTTCCACCTTCTCGCTCAGAACTGGGAGACTTCCTGTGTACGATCAGGAGGCAAGAAAGTCAGCCACTTAAACATCCTCTGGGGGCTTGGAGCTTTGCAAAGGATTGCGTGGGTTCTCAATAGTAAGAGATAAATTTGCTGGAAGGAGGAATCTCATAGGACCCAAGGATAAGAAACACTGCAAGAACCAGTAAATAAAATAAAATGGATGGATAGATAAATGAAAAAAGATGATAGGTAGGTAGGTAGGTAGATGGATAGATAGATAGATAGATAGACAGATAGATAGATAGATAGATAAGTAGATAGATAGATAGATAGATAGATAGATAGATGATAAATAGATCACGAACCACAGCAGTTGCCTGCTCCATCCTGATTTCTCTTTCTCACTCTTTCTGGGGCCTCATCACTGTACCCCCTTTTGATTTCTGCTCTCCCTAGAGTAGTCACAGCACAGTCAGAACAGACACTATCCAGGTATTTCAAGCAGAGGGTATTGAATACAGGGATTGGCTACACAGGTTGGAAAATGAGACATACAATGTAGAAAGCACCAGGGATTCCTGACTGTGGGAATGCCAGGGATGGAGTATTAAATGGGAAAGAGCCCTAACTGGTTTGGCTCGGTGGATAGAGCGTCGGCCTATGGACTGAAGGATCCCGGGTTCAATTCCAGTCAAGGGCATGTGCCTGGGTTGCAGGCTCGATCCCCAGGAGCAGGAGCTCAATCCGAAGGTGTGCAGGAGGCAGCCGATCAGTGATTCTCTCTCATCATTGATGTTTCTCTCTATCCCTCTCCCTTCCTCGCTGAAGTTAATAAAATATATAAAAGAAAAATATTAACAAGGAAAAGAGGGTATTACTAACCAACCCAGCTGCCCCAGGCACCTTCAGGGAGTGCTAACACCCTAGCTGTCTGCTGCAGATGCTACTTGTCTCCTGTGACTGCTGTGACAGTTTCACAAACTTGGTGGCTTAACACAACAGGGATGTGTCCTCCCACAGTTCTGGAAGCTAGAAGTCCAATCAATGTGTTGTCGGGGCTGTGCTCCCTCCAGAGCGTCTAGGAGGGATCCTTCCTGGTCTCCTCCAGCTTCTGGTGGCCCCAGGCATTCCTCGGCTTGTGGCAGCATCCCCCAGTCTCTGCCTTCAACCTCTCATGGCCTTCTCTGTGTGCGTTGGTGTCCAGATTTCCCTCTAATGAGGACAGTAGTCACGTTGGATTTAGGGCCCACCCTAAATTTAGTATGACTTCCTCTTAACTTGATGACGTGCACAAAGATCCTTTTTCCAAATTAAGGCCACATTCACAGGGACCAAGGTTTAGGATGTGAACGTGTCTTTTGGGGGAAGATACAATTCAACCTACAACACAGACCCTTGCGTGAAGGAGTCTCCTCATCCCTTCCTCTCCTCCCAAGACTAGTTTCCTGTATGTGAGAGATGTTGTTTGCAGACCTCGGCCCAAGCACCAGCATCTGTCAGCAAAAGCCCGTCACACCACCTTCTTTCAAACTAGTAACCTCAACGGGGAGACCTACACCCTCAGGCTCACAGCCGCTGACCCCGGAAGGTCCATTGCCCCCATTCCCAGAAGAGAGAGTCTGCGTGGGCCAGCGCAGCCCCTGGCCAGAGTCACCATTGTCCAGCAGCTGTGTGTGCATCAGGGGACAAGATGTTACATCGCAGCCCATCTGCGAAGGGCAGGGACCTAGAAAATACCGACAACACTTGACCACTCGCCCCCGAGGGCAGGAATTTTGTTCACTGCTGTGTAACCAGTACCTAGGAGAGTGACTGGCACACAGCAAGTGCTCAATCAATATCATGAAATGATTCATTCAAGATAGAATCACTAAAGTTAGGGGCATCTAGAATTACATGGCATTTATTAAACACCTGTTATGTTCCCATCTAAACATTTGTGTAGTGCCTACTATGTGCCAGACTTTATGCGAGGTACTGGGGATAATAGGAGAGAACACAGTTCTCTCACTTTGTTGGGGGGATGATGAGCAGACAAGTCAGCACAGAGAGCAGCACAATCCGATCTGTGCTTTGATGGGGGAAATTCAGACCAAAGGAAGATTTCAAAGAGTGGCCCACAAGGATGGTGAGCAGGAGTTAGACTACATATTCATCAAGTTGGTTGCAAGTAACATAAACTGACTTAAGTAAAATATGCAGGTCACTAGTGTAACTAAAAAGTCCAGATGAGGCTAGAACCAACAAGTGGACACCATCACCTTTGCTGTCCTCATACTTTCTCCTTAGAGAAGCAAGATGGCTGCCAAACTGCCAGCAAAAATCCCAGGGAAGGCTCTCATTGGCTACCGTGGGTCATGTGCTCTTCCCTAACCAATGACATCTAAGGAGCCATGAGATGGGGGTCAGCCACACCCAGTCACAGTATCCCAAGTGTCAAGGGGAAGGTACCCAGGTTGCCACTAAAGAAGCAACTTTTGCAGAGGCCTGGAGGCAAACCTATTGCAAGCTCCCCGTGTGTTAAGGGCCAGAAGGACATCTAAAAAGGCGGGAAAATCCATCCATCCATCCATCCATCCTAGAAACACAGGGTGGGACAAAAGTAGGTTTACAGTTGTGTATATGGAAAAGCATACAGTAATTAATAAGTAATTACTAGTAAATTATAAAACCCACAAATAACCTGTTTCTTACACTTACTACTGTAAGTGCTTTTGTCCCAGCCTGTATTTGCTGAGTGCTTGCTTTGTGCTGGGGCTGAGAACACAGGTTCTTGCCCACATAGGGCCTTGTTGGAGGCCAGATAGGGGAGGGTTTAGGGTGATGCAGTTCCTTTGCTTTTGACCACCATCTCACAACAGCCTCTATTCCCCTCTCTCCCCAACTTCCTGTCTCCACCTTCCTCTGTCTCCCTCCCACATCGTTTCTCCATCTCTCTGTCTGGGCTCCTTGTGTGAGCATGTGCTTTCCCTCACGATCCCTATCCCCCTTCTCTCTCTCTGTCTCCATCTCATCTTCCTCCCTCTCTCCCTCTGGTCCTCTGTGTAAATATGTTTGGATGGGTTTTCACTCTCCCCCACTCCGTCTTGACCCCTGGGGTTCCCACAGATGCTGAACCTCTTTGTTGCTGTCATCATGGACAACTTTGAGTACCTCACCCGAGACTCCTCCATCCTGGGGCCTCACCATCTGGATGAGTACGTGCGTGTCTGGGCTGAGTACGACCCCGCAGCGTGGTAAGGAGTCACCCCAAATCCTGCAGCCACACTGCCCACCTTTCTCTGGCACTGAAGCATAAGCGAGGGCAGGCTCCAGATCTGGGGGCATCTGAGGGGCCAGCGGGAATATCAGGGGAATCAGTCTAGAGGAAGGAAATGAGAAACAGCACCCTCACAGACCCCGGGTTCAAAGCTTTGGGTACCGGCCCTGCCCAAGCCCCAGGCTTTCTGGGAGCTGAGGGAGGGAGTCGGCCATGAGGAGTTGGTCTCCTCTGAGCCTCCCCTGCCCCTCACTGGGAGGCCTCCAGATAGTGAGGACACGACACGTTTGCCGGGCCCCAGGGAGGAAGCCAGAGGCCTCTCAGCCTCAGTTCTCCCGGGAGAGTGGGGGTGGGATCTGGCCTCGCTCCCTTGGCACAGGAGATTGGCTGCAAGGTCAGAGGGGCAGAAGGCAGCTTCTGCTGGGGCCCCCGGACCCTGGAGCGGCTGGTCCCACAGCCAGGGGAGAGGACACAGGGTCTCGGGGCCCTTTGCACCTTCATGGTCACAAAGTGCCAACCCTGCGGGCGCCCGGGTGCCTCTCCTGGCTGCCAGGCAGCAGTTTCGGAGGGTGAGCTCCATTCTGCGCGCGGGTACTGAGTGCCGGCTCAACACCAAGCACTCGCAGGACATGCAGAGGCCCCGTCCTGAGGCTCAGAGCCCATCAGCCACCGACGGGAGATGCTGGTTCGGGCTGAGCGTGGGGCCTGAGAAGGCATGAATGGGCACCCTTCTGGGCCTGAGAGCAGGAGGGAAGGCCCTCCAGGGAGGGTGGGGGGAGTCACCCTTGCCATCCCTGCAGCTCGCAAGTCCTCCGTGACCCCCCGAGAGGCCGGGTGAGCCGCAGGGCCTGGGACGTGATTTCCAGCTGGTTCCTAACTCTTCCTGTTTTGATTTTAGGTCACAGCAGTGGGATGCTGTCCCCCTGTCCTCTAGTCTACGAGCCCCCTGATCCCAGTGTAGCTCCCGTGTAGATTGTGGAGGAGGGAGGTTCAAGGAGAGCCCTAGAGCAGGTGCCCGGAGCCCGGCGCTCTGGGCACACCCCCAGCTGAAAGACCTCTGCCCCCTGGGGTCTGTGAGTGACTGATCCCAAGCCTCCCCGACTCCTTCAGGCCAGGGGCCCCCAGCCCCTGACATTGTGACCTCACTGCATGCACAGGAAGTCAGCGTGAAGGCCGCTTGACCCTTGTGCCTCCACTAATCCCCTCTCTTCTCCTTTCAGTGGTCGGATTCATTATAAGGATATGTACAGTTTATTGCGCGTAATATCTCCCCCTCTCGGCTTAGGCAAGAAATGTCCTCATAGGGTTGCTTGCAAGGTTTGATTTCCACTAAAACCTGCTAGCATCCATGGAATGAGTGTGGCTTGGGTTCTTCAATATATATATTTCACATATATATATATATCTCTCTCTCCAAAAAAAAGAGCCATCTCTCTTTCTCTTGCATTAAAACTAGAGAACTCTCTCAGCCAACAGAATGCAGTCACTAGACTTGATGAAGCATGGAACATACCTCTCTGTTCCCTTCAGCCATTCTGCTTGCTCTTAGCTGAAGCTGCCCATCCTAGGGTCTCAACGGCACCCCAAATCAGACATCCAGGGGGAATCGTAACTTTGCTCTCCTCCCCTCCACTCTCTCCCCCTTCACCCTTTGCCTCCCGGAGCCCCCAGTCCTCCCACCACCCCCGGCCCCTCCTCCCCATCTAGGTCCCCTCAGAGACCAGCCTCAGCCAAACCAGAGAACTTGACCCAGTTTTCAAAAATAACATCAAACGAAAGCATTGTTTCAGGCCTTCCAAAATGAGGGGACCCCCCCCCACCCCGCCCCAAGTCCCGGTTCCCTCCACTTTCCACCAGAACTATAGCTCAGAGTCAAACTGAATCTGACCTTTCTCTTTTTTCTCTCTCTCTCTCCCTGCTTGGAAGCAGTGAAATAATATTTTTTTAATTACCTTTTCTTCCATTTTTTCCCCCCTCCTCTTTTCCATTTATTTGAAACGCCTATTTTATCGTTCTCTGCATCTTTCTATATTTTTTCGGCTCCTGTGGTTTTGGTTTTGGTTTTTTTTTTGGTTTTGTTTTTTTTTTTTTCTCTTCTGTTTCCTCCCCTCCCTCTCTCCACCCCCCTTCCTTTGGTTCTCCGTCCCGCCCCCGTTTTTGTTCTCGGTGCTGCCAGGGGCCGCATGCCTTACCCGGACATGTATCAGATGCTGAGACACATGTCTCCGCCCCTGGGTCTGGGGAAGAAGTGTCCGGCCAGAGTGGCTTACAAGGTAGATTACCTTTGCTGACCACCGCCGTCCGGCACCGGGGCCTTCTCCGTGCTGGCCAGGAACACCAGCCAGTCTCTTTTTCCAGCGTTCCTCTTCTTTCTTTTTTTGTTTTTTCTCTTTTTTCTTTTTTCTTTTCCTTTCCTCCTCGAGTCAATGGACCATGACCATTCCTTGATCTAAGGAGCACACCGTGTCCGTCCTTCTGATGAGTGTGTTTGGTGTTTTGAGACTCCATTATGGCCGACATGCGGGGGGGAGGGGGGCGCCCCCAGTCCCCTGTATTTGGTCTCCTGGGAACCAAATTGGACACAAACACACGTCAGGGGAGATCCCCACCGTGCCTCCTTTCTGCCCACCCAGAGCGGCCCCCACTCCCAGGCCAGGGCAGGTGCCATTTGGCAGGGGTCTTTGGCCCCCAAAAAGGCACGACCCTGGCCCCACCTTTTATGTCTGGAACCCCCAGGTCCAGCAGCGCCCCAACCCCCACACACACCTGAAGCTGATCTCTGACCTAGGGCCTTGGGGATACACGATCCCGAGGAACACCCACAGCCTCTCCCCCCCACTCCTCCCACCCCTGGAGCTGTTCCCCAGCTCCCATCCCTATGCCACCTGCTACCCCCCAAGACCCCCCAACATGCCTCTCCATTGTTCCAGAGTGGGCAGGCAGGCCGCAGCCGGACCCCTGGACCGTGGCACCCTGACGCAGGCCATGCACGCTGCCTTGGCGGGAGCCTGGGGCGGGCAGGCACCGTGGCCGACGGGGCTGGGTGGGGGCGGTGCATGCTGGCTGAAGGAGCGGGGGTCCTGCTGCCAGGCGGCGGGGCCCGCCCCCCCTCCAGGACCCCATCCCAGAATCCACTCTGGCACCCAAGGACTGGTGCTCTGTCTCCTCCAGCTCATCCACGAAAAGCTCAGGGATGATCTTTAACGTCCCCCCCTCATCCCATTCTCCCACCCACCGTGGTCCACCCTGTGTCTGCAAGAGTCCTCCCTCCCATTCCGCCAACAACACCGTCCCCTCCTGCCTCCTATAGCTGCCTCTTCGCAGCCTCGTTCCTCCTCCTCCCTCTATGCACCCCTCCTCCTCAGCCACGGCCTGGAAGAGACCACCCACCAGCACCTCAGAGACCCCTGCACCTGTGCCCCCCTCTCTGTGGTCGTCCTCTCTCCTTTCTCTTGGTCTCTGCTTGTCTAAGTGTGTGTGTGTGTGTGGGTGTGTGTGTGTGTGCGCGCGCACACGCATGCACATGCCCTCCCAGGAGGCCCCCCCTCTGGCCTCTGGGCCATAAGACACGTTTGTGCAAAATCGAAAAGAGCACCCTTCCCAGAGAACACCGTCTGCTGGGGAACTGTAACCCAGAGACGTGGTGAGAACCAGACGCTTTTCCGAGGGAAAGCTGTCGTTTCGATGCACAAATCCACGGTTTCTGAGACGGGGACCCACTCTGCGCGGGGCCTGTCTGTGTGCCTCCACCTGCCGCCTCCCTCCCCACTCTGCCCCCGCCCACTTCCTGTGTCTACTCCGGGTCTGTCCCCCATTCCCCCTCGTCCAACTCTGTGTCTCCTGCTGACGTGTCTGAGCCCCCATGTGAACCCCAAACTCACCCTGGACCCCCACCTCCATGCCACCCCAGCCTGGGCTGGCACACCCCAGCCCCAGCATTCTCCCCACTTCGCCAAGCAAGGGCCCGGAGCCCCTGCCTGGGGCACGGGGAGTCTTCTCTCCCCTGGGCCACGGGGACCCTCCTCGGCCCTCCCCCACCATCACACAGCAGGACCCAGACTCGCCCCGAGATCCCGTTCCACGGAGCTATGAATGAGTCTCGAGATTCCGTCTGCACGTGCCCGTCTGCCGTTGTGTGCGATGGCCTGGCCTCGCTGCATGTCTGCGAGGGGCCCACCCCGTCGGCGGGGGGCCGCCGCCTGCTGCTTCTCGGAGAAATGATGTGGCCTGTGCCCGTCTGGTCCGATCTGGGCCGAGCGGGGGATGGGGACGGAGCCAGCGGCCCCCGGGCGGTGTGGCCGTGGGCCCCTCTGCCTGGCTGTTGCATGTCCGCTCTGATCCGGCTTGTGCACTTCTTCTTTGGGGTGATTCGGAACGGAGCTGTCTGGGAGAACTCTGGGGCAGGGCGAGGGTCTGGGCCCCTGGGAAACCAGCTCTGGGGTCCCGCCTGCGGGAGAGGAAGGGGAGGGCTTGGCTTAAGAGAGCCCCCAGGGCCCTCCCTGCAGGCCGCTAAGGGGAACCCGGAAATGGGGCGCTGGGACAGGTCCCCTGAGGGCGGGGGGCACCTTAGCCACTGCCTTCAGAGTTCTCCCGGGGCTCCAGGGAGGGTGGGTCTGGCTCACGGGAGACTGGGCCGGAGCGTGGGAATGACGGCCCCCACCTGTGGTTTTCCACAGCGGCTCCTGCGAATGGATCTGCCCGTTGCCGACGACAACACCGTCCACTTTAATTCCACCCTCATGGCTCTGATCCGCACGGCCCTGGACATCAAGATTGCCAAGGGTAAAGGGGCAGGGGAGGAGGGGTGGGAGCCGAGGGGGAGTACAGGGCGGAGGGGAGCACGGCGGGCAGCTGAGCACGCCCCCTTCCGGCCGGAAATGGAGGGAGCAACTGCCCGTCCTGATCGTCACTGGCTCGCCCGCTCACCGCCCTGCAGACATCTGGTGGTGCCTCCTGTGCACCGGCCACAGCTTAAAGGCGGGGACAGCACCCACTTCCTGCGGGGGAGGGCCCGCCCAGGGGGCTCTGAAGGAGGAAAGGGGATCAGTCACATGGACATGTGGGTGGACAGTGCCCCAGGCAGCGGGGGCATCAGGTGCAAAGGTCCTGGGGTAGGAGGCCACGTGGGGCCGTGCTGAACTAACTTGCCCTCTGAGTCAGGGTCGTCACGAAGCTTTTGGAGGAGAGGAGAGATCTGGCCCTACTCACATTCGAGCTGTCTCCTCGGGGGAGAGAGGGGAGGAAGAGGCCAGAGTGGGCCTAGGAGGGAGGCTCCGACTGAGAGGCTGTGGGGGGTTCGGATTCTGGATGTCTAACGGGAGCCAAGACACCCAGGCACCCACGGGACTGAGTGTGGACTGTGAGGGGGAGAGAGGAGCAAGGCCACCCTCAGGGGTTAGGGCGTTGCCTGAGACAGGGAAGAGGCAAGAGGGACAGGTCATGCTCTGACCGGTTTGGCTCAGTGCATAGAGCGTCGGCCTGCGGACTGAAGGGTCCCGGGTTTGATTCCGGTCAAGGGCATATACCTTGGTTTCAGGCACATCCCCAGTCGGGTGTGCGGGAGGCAGCTGATCGATGTTTCTCTCTCGTCCATGTTTCTAGCTCTCTGTCCCTCTCCCTTCCTCTCTGTAAAAATCAATAAAATATATTTAAAAAAAAAAGAGAGAGAGAGAGAGAGAGAGAGAGAGAGAGAGAGAAAGGGGGGGGGGGACAGGTCAGGAAAGGGCAGGCAGGAGGCGTTGGCTGAGGCACATGGAGACACAGTAAGTGGGGGCTCTCCCACTCACACCTCTGTGGGGGCGGGGTGGGGGGGTGAGGAAGCTCCTTCTGTGAGGAGGTGCTGACGGCGGGAGGTGAGTCTTCAAGCTGGCGATGAAGTCAGGAGGCATCAGATGCTGGCAGACTTGAAGCTGGGAGACTGGACAGGCTCTCCGGGGGGACTGAGAGACCCCACAGACCAACCTCGGGGCCACCGCAGCGTAAGAGGGACTGGCGGGGCCAGGGAGGAGGGGAACGGTGTCTGCGCTGCCCTGCAGCCAGGGAGAGGACTGAGGTGACGGGGGGTTTCTCAGGCAGGACGGTCTGTGGCGGGCTCGGGGTCCCCCCTGCAGCGAGCGCAGCTCAAGCCTGCTAGCGATGATGTGACTTGGCAGCCAAGGAGACAGCGGGGCAGAGGGAGGACGAACAGCAGAGAGAAGGAAGTTGGGAAGGAGCCTGCAGAGGACAGGGTGTACATTTGGGCATTGGGGGGCTGGAGAGAGACGTCAAGGCTGCCCCCAACTGAGCCTCTGGGATATCGGAGGAAAGCAGACCGAACGTCAGGGACACGGGGCCCTAAGGGGAAGAGGGGGCCAGGAGCCGAGGCCAGAAGTTGCTGTGGAGGGTGGGTTGTGTGGGGGAGGGAGGTCAGCAGCTTCCAGTGAAACAGTGCCCCATGGAGGAGGCAGGTTGAGGGTGGATGGTTAGACATGCAGGTGAAGGGAGAGAGAGCAAGAGGAGCCACCAGAGAGAGCAAGACAGAGTCACAGGATGAGGCTCAGGGAACAGCAGAAGTGGGGTGGGGACAGCCGCTGAGCTCAGGTCACCGGTCGCCCCGGGTTCTGTGAGCACTGGGGCTCTGCTTGCCCCAGGCTCTCCTACATCAGCACGGTTGAAGCTGTGCCTGGTCCCAGCCCAGGGAGGGAGGAAGCAGAAGAGGAGGCAGCAGCTTCCTTGTAATCAGGGGGGAGGGTTGTGTTCTGTGGGCTCATCTCGCCCACCTGCCCGGCCTCCCTGGAACCTCGGCAGACGACATCCTCTCCAAGCTTTAGTTCATGTATCAGCTAGTTAGGCCACGTAACAAGTAGCTCCATCCACTGAATCAAACCAGCTAGGGCTTCATATATTTTACCTCTTTTTATCTTCTTCTTCCTTTTCCTTCTTCTTTTCCTCCTCCTTCTCCTCCTCCTTCTCATCTTCTTAGAGAATACCCTTCAGCACTTCATATAATACTGGTTTGGTGTTGATGAACTCCTTTAGTTTTTTCTTATCTGTGAAGCTCTTTATCTGACCTTCAATTCTAAATGGTAGTTTTGCTGCGTAATCTTGGTTGTAGGTCCTTGCTGTTCATCACTTTGAATATTTCTTGCCACTCCCTCCTGGCCTACTAGTTTCTGTTGAGAAATCAGCTGACAGTCATATGGGTGCTCCCTTGTAGGTAACTAACTGCTTTTCTCTTGTTGCTTGTAAGATTCTTTCTTTGTCTTTAACCCTTGACATTTGATTTATGATGTGTCTTTGTGTGGGCCTCTTTGGATTACTCTTGTTTGGGGTTCTCTGCGCATCCTGGACTTGTAAGGCTATTTCTTTTACCAGGTGAGGGAAATTTTCTGTCATTATTTATTTTTTATTTTTTTTTAATATATTTTATTGATTTTTTTTTTTACAGAGTGGAAGGGAGAGGGATAGAGAGCTAGAAACATCGATGAGAGAGAAACATCGACCAGCTGCCTCTTGCACACCCCCTACCGGGGATGTGCCCACAACCAATGTACATGCCCTTGACCGGAATCGAACCTAGGACCTTTCAGTCCCCAGACGACACTCTACCACTGAGCCAAACCGGTTTCGGTTGTCATTATTTCTTCAAAGAGGTTTTCAATGTCTTGCTCTCTCTCTCCTCCTTCTGGCACCTCCATAATGGGAATGTTGGTACACTTTAAGTTGTTCCGGAGGCTCTTTATACTATCTTCATGCTTTTGGATTGTTTTTTCCTTTTTGCTCTTCTGCTTGGGTGTTTTTTGCTTCCTCATATTCCAAATTATTGATTTGATTCTCAGAATACTCTACTTTACGGTTGAATCCCTGAAATTATTCTTTATTTAGTCAGTGTATGCTTAATTTCTGACTTCCTTTTTCATGTCTTTGATGTTCTCACTAAGATTCTTGAAAGTCTCACTAAGTCCCTTGAAGCTCTCATTAATTCCCTTGAGAAACTTATAAACATTGTTTTGAACACTGTATCTAGGAGTAGGCTTTTATTTCATTTAGGTGTTTTGTTTTTTTCCTGGAGATTTCTTCTGTTTTTCATTTGTGACGTGTTTGTCTCAGCATTTTGGCTGCTCCCCCGTGTTTGTTTCTCTGTGTTAGGTAGAGCTGTTATGTCGCCTGGAGTTGGTAGAGTGGCCTTGTGTAGTAGGTGTCCTAAAGAGCCCAGTGCTTTAGCCTCTCCAGTCACCTGAGTTGGGCACTGTAGGTATGTTCCTGTGTGGGCTGTGCGCATCATCTTGTTATAGTTGATCTTGACTGCTGTTGGCATCGCTGGTAGGAATTAACCTCCACGCCAAGTGGCTGTGAGGACCACCTGTGTCTACAGTGGAAGAGCTGCTGTGCAGGAGACAGCCCTTTGGAGCAGAACTTGCTTCAGTGGGGCTTTGGTGCTGCCCCTTGAGTGTGTCGCTTGTGGATGTGTAGAGTTGTAACCTGGTGTGGTTTGAAGCTATGCCCAGGCTCTGGGGCCTCCTGGGAGGTGCGGTCAGCCACTGTCTGAGGCTACCCCTTAGGAGCTACAGAGGGTTGGGAGCCAGCCCCTGCCCTTCCCCCAGATCTCCTAAACCTCCTCCCACAATGCAGGAACTACAAAGTTAAAGTTTGGCCAGGACAGAGGGGGAGGGAAGGAGGAGGCACAGGAGGACTGGTGCATAAAGGGGCACCATCCACAGTGAGCAGGGGCCTTGGGACCCTTGCTCTAGCTCTGTTATCAATGTCCCTTTCATACCTGCCAGTACGAGTTTGGAACAAGCCCCTGTGACCTCTTACAGGCGTTAGTGTGCGCCCTCTGGTGGCCTTGGGGAGTAAGGGCTGGGGGCCGGAGACCTGAGAGGTGGATACTGCATTGGGTAAGGTGGGAGATTATGTGGGGCCCAGGGTTGAAGGCTCTGAAAGGGAAGTAGGAGCAGAGGCCAAGCTGGTGTATTATTCAGGATGTGCTACCATAACAGACATCCCCATAGTCTCACACTGACACAGGTTTGCTTCCCACTCCCATTCATGTGTCTTTCCTGGGTTGGCAAGGGGACCTGGTTCATTAGTCACTGAGGGGCCAGGCCTGAGAAAGCCACTGTCCCTAATGTCATCAGCCATCATGACAGAACAAAAGAGAACCCAGAAGGGTCATTCACTGGCCATTAAATGCCCAACGTGACACCCCACGCTGCTCACCCCTCATCGGCAAGCACTCACCATTGGCCCCAGCCAATCACACGGTCTAGTACGGGTCACACTAGGCAGGAGTCGCCAGGACCAGGAACGGCTGGCCAAGAGCCTTAATGACCATCGTGACGGGGGAGAGGAGACTTGGTGGAGGGAGAAACCTCTGTCACAATTGCTCTGTGGCTTCCCAGCCTCCCTGGGGCTTCCCCAGGCTGCACCGCAGATCAGCGCTGCTGTGGTGACTGTCCTGAGGCTACAGGCGTATTCACTACTTTAATCATCAAGCAACTCAGGGAGGCGCCGGCCACTGGGCCTCGGCTGCTTGGGCATTGTCCCACGCACCAAAAGGTTCGGGTTCGATTCAAGGTTAGGGCAGATTCCTGAGTTATAGGCCCAATCTCCCATGCAGGGGGAAGTGCAGGAGGCAGCCAGTCAGTGTTACTTCCTCACATTGATGTTTCTCCCTTCTCTCTCTTTTCCCCTCTTCTCTAAAAATTGTGTTTTGTTTTGTTTTTAAAACTCAGGGAGGCAGGTACAGTTGCTATCATCCCCATTTCGCAAATGGGGAGAATGAGGCACAGAGCAATGGACTAACCCAGGGGTCAGCAAATTTATTAGTCAACAGAGCCAAATATCAACAGTACAGCGACTGAAATTCCTTTTGAGCCAAATTTTTTTTTAACTTAAACTTTTTTTTAATATATTTTATTGACTTTTTACAGAGAGGGATAGAGAGTTAGAAACATCAATGAGAGAGAATCATTGATCAGCTGCCTCCTGCACACCCCCTACTGGGGATGTGCCCGCAACCAAGGTACATGCCCTTGACTGGGATTGAACCTGGGACCTTTCACTCCGCAGGCAGACGCTCTATCCACTGAGCCAAACCTGTTTTGGCTAACTTAAACTTCTAATGCCACTTCTTCAAAATAGACTCGCCCAGGCCGTGGTATTTTGTGGAAGAGCCACACTCAAGGGGCCAAAGAGCTGCATGTGGCTCTCGGGCCACAGTTTGCCGACCATGGGACTAACCTAATGCAGTTGGAGTCGGGTGTTGACCTGGGCCACCCAGCCCCTGTCGATGCTGAACTATCCCCCACGCAGCTTCTCCACAGCCCTGTCCCTGCCAAGGACCACAGCCCCGTGGCCATTCTCTGGGCCAGCTGCACAGGACACTGGGACCGTGGGAACCAGGACTCCAGAGCGCAGGGTAGGCGGGAGCTGCTGGCTTGGTGACTGGCCTCGAGGCCAGCAGGTGCTCAGGCCTCTCTGTGCCCACGTCGCAGGAGGGGCCGACAAACAGCAGATGGACGCTGAGCTACGGAAAGAAATGATGGCCATCTGGCCCAACCTGTCCCAGAAAACACTGGACCTGCTGGTTACCCCTCACAAGTGTAAGAGCCTAGACTGGCCTGGCCCCGGGCCCGACCAAACAGGACAGCGGGGGAGGGGAGGGGGAAGGAGGCACGGGAGGACTGGTGCATGGGGGGGGGGGGGGCGTCCACAGCGAGCTTGCTCTGTGCCTCCAGCCACGGATCTGACGGTGGGAAAGATCTACGCAGCCATGATGATCATGGAGTACTACCGGCAGAGCAAGGCCAAGAAGCTGCAGGCCATGCGTGAGGAGCAGGTACGGCTCAGGCCCTGGCCGCTCTCCCCTCCCACATCCCTCCCTCTGGGACCACCCAGGCTGGGAGACTGTACCTCCCTCGTCACCACGAGGACCATCCAGAGCAGTGGGGTGTGGCCAAGCCCCAGGGCAGGTCATTGAAAAGTAAGGCCTAACCTGGTCTAATTCATCGGCTCCACCAGCACTTCCTGGTCGCCAGGCACTGTTCTCAGCCCTAAGGGTGCAGCTGTGAAAAGCAGGCCAGGAGCCCAGATGTGGAAACGCCAGGAATGACAGCATGACTGAGTGAGACAGCGTGGCAGGGCATAGCCAGCGCCGTGGGAAAGAGTGCCTGGGAGAGAGGGGAACAGCTTCCAATGAGTAGTCAGGGGAGGCCTCCCTGAGGAGGTGACTTCTGAGCACAGGCTCAAAGGAAGAGAAGAGAGAGGGAGCCAAGCAGACACCTGGGGGAAGAGCGTTCTGGGCAGAGGGAACAGCCACTGCCAAGACCCTGAGGCAGCACTGTGCGTTTGAGTTTTGGAAACAGCAAGGTTTTATGGCGCAACCGGAGCCAGCAAGAGGGGCAGTGGGAGGAGCCAAGGTGATAATTACACAGGACCTTGGGGGCCATGCAGGGAACCTTGACTTTTGCTCTGAGTAAGGGGGCTCCTGGAGGGGAGTGACCTCTTACCGGTGTTGATGTGCGCCCTCTGGTGGCCGTGGGGAGTAAGGGCTGGAGCGGGGAGACCTGAGAGGTGGGTACTGCGCTGGTTAAGGGAGGAGACTGTGGGGCCGGAGCTGGGTGCTGGCCATGGAGATGTGAGAAATGACCTCATTCTGGATGGATTTGGAAGAAAGAAGCTAGTAGGCTACTGATGGATCAGACCCTCCACAGCCTCTCCCACCCCCCACTTATCCCTACCACATGCACGCACACGCACACGCACACGCACGCACATACACTCTGCACACGCTGCTCTCTGCCTCCCCAGAACCGGACACCTCTCATGTTCCAGCGCATGGAGCCCCCGTCACCAACGCAGGAGGGGCAGAATGCCCTCCCCTCCACCCAGCTGGACCCCGGAGGAGGCCTGTGAGTGTCACTCTGGCGAGCAGGAGGGATGGAAGGGCGGGGAGTGCCGGGCCCAGGCACAGAAGCCCCCGGGGTGCCCACGGCCTGTGTCTCCCGTGCAGGATGGCTCATGAGAGTGGCATCAAGGAGAGCCCTTCCTGGGTGACCCAGCGAGCCCAGGAGATGTTCCAGAAGACGGGCACCTGGAGCCCAGAGCGAGGGCCCCCGACCGACATGCCCAACAGCCAGCCCAACTCTCAGGTGCCCGTCCCCTGCCTGCCCCACTGCTCACGGCCTGGGCAGTCCAGGAGGGCGGGGCCGGGCCTGCCGCTCCACGCACACCAGGCTGCCTGCCCCTGGGGCACGTGTGCCCGGCCCCGGGGCTCACCCGGCCTTGCCATCTGCCCCGCAGTCTGTGGAGATGCGAGAGATGGGCCGAGATGGCTACTCTGACAATGAGCGCTACCTCCCCACGGAAGGCCAGGCCCGGGCTGCCTCCATGCCCCGCCTCCCAGCAGAGAACCAGGTGAGCGCTTTCACCCCCCCCCCAGGGGCACGTGGGCCCCAGAGGCCCCGCCTCCTGAAGCCCAAGGCATCTCCTTCCTCCTCCCGGACGCAGGCCCTGCCTGCTGCACCTGGCACCTCGAGGCCCTGTCCTCTGAGCCCCTCCTGCTGGAGGGCAGAGGAAGGGGCTCCCTGGGCAGAGTGCAGTAGCCACTGCCAAGGGGTTTGTCTCCGCCCTGGTTGGTGGTGCTGAGGCGGGAGGATGTGGGGGACCCGTGGGGGGGGGGGGAGGTGATGCGTGAGACTGCAATCGAGGGTACAAGCATGCACACACATGCACACAGGCATGCACACACATGCACACATACACATACATATGTGTGTGTTTCATGCACATGCACTCGCTTGCACCAGTAGGTCTGCTTTCAGAAACCTGGCAGGTCTTAGGACCTGGCGGCAGAGTCTGGGGAAGGCCCGGGACAGCGTGGATTCGTCCTGTCTGGTCTCTATGGGGGCTGCTGGGCAGGGGCCGGGGCAGGGGCGTGTGCCTGATGTGTGTCTGTGGCTGCTTTACCAGCTGCAGGGCCTGGGGGGGAGCGGGGGAGGGTATGGGGATCCCGGTGCCCCAGGCCCAGGGGCACTGAACCAGAAGCATGGCTGGCTGTCCGCCTGGCCCGGGAGGTGGGCAGCATGTCTGACCGGGGCTGCCGTGTGCTGTGCCGGCTCGTCTGCACGGGGCGGAAGGCTGCGCTGTGCCTGGCTGGGCCAGGTCTCCCAGGGCCTGGCCTCTGGCTGTGGGAACTTGAGTGGGAAGCACCCAGCCTGCATGTGGCTGCCCAGCCCTATCCTGCCAGCCTCTGCCCCCCAGGACTTAGCTGCTGGGCCCTGGGAGAGGACTGAGACAAACCCAGCCGATGGCCACCTCCCCAACTACACCCCTTCCCCCCCACCCCACCCCCAGCTTTGAGTGTCAGCTGGAGCCAGGGCTGGAGGCATTGCATGAGGCAGAGCCGGGGGCCAGGGCCTGTGGCTATCCCATCCCATCTGTCCATCCCGTGCCTCTGCCATCTGTCTGTCTGTGGTGTCTCCTGTCTGTCTCCTCTGTGCCCCTGGGGGGACTGCTGGCTGGGCCAGGGTCATCCCTTACCAGGGACTCGAACCCCTCTTTCCCTCCCTCCATTCCCCCCTCACTCCTCAGGTCTCTGTACCACCTCTCACTCCCCCTCTTGGCTTTTATATTTATTTTCTTCTTTCTGTTTTTTCTGTGTGCACCATCCCGTGGGGCTGTGACAGAGGAGAAGGGGCCGGCCACGTGGGAATAACCTCAGTGTATGTACCGCCCGCCCGTCTGCCACCCAGCGGGGCCCCGGCCCCCTCTTCCTGCCCACCCCCCCTCGGGGGAATCCCGTCATCCCAGTCTCCATCCTTCCTTGGCAGACAACACCCGCTCCCTCCCCGTGGAGATCTGTCCTCCTGTGTTCTGTTCTCTGTGTGCCCCGCCTGTGCCCCTGGAGGTGGCCCTTCCCCACCCCCTTCCCCTCGCCCCCCTCCACCCGTTCTCTTCAGAGCCTGCATTCCAAGAATCCTGAAGGACGCCCCACACCTGGCCCCTCTTTCATTTCCCTGCCACCCCTGACCCTCTGGTCTTGCAGCCCTGTGTCCCTCAACACTCCTGCCTCGGTGTCCCCAGCCCCTCAGCTGGGCTGGATCTAGGGGACGTCCCCCGGCTCCTCCTCCTCTCCCAGCTGCAGAGAAAGGGGGGGGGGGGGGGGAACGTGACCCCGTGGGTTGGTACAGCACTCACAGGTTCCCAGGCTGCAGGCTGAGAACAAGAAGGCAGGTCTCCGAGGACCTGGGGTATCAGGGCAGCCCAGACCCCACGGCCACGGCGGACAGTGATTTGGGGTGCTGGGTGCCCATGTCCCTGAACCTTAGGCCTCACAGCCTCCAAGAGAGCAGGCAGGGGCGAGGGCAGGGCCTGCCGCCCAGTGCCCGGTTCCCAGGTTTGCACTCGGGATAAGCACAGCTCTTCTCTTCTGCCAGGCTGCCTGCCCGTGGCCGGTGCCAGGGCCTGGAGGTACCCCTGGGAGCGGTCCTGAGAGGCGGCAGGAATGGCCCAGACAGGCTCTTAGCCAGAAACCAGACGGGCCTGGGAGGGGACAGAGGCACTCGGGGGCCCTCGATGATCAGATCCCACCACCCACCCCGCCCTGACCTCGGCCTGAGTGGTCACACCCCGTGGCTGACGGCCGAGGGGGCAGCACAGACGGGCCAGCCACTGACTGCAGCCGCCGGCCTGTCTTCCCCAGACCATCTCGGACACCAGCCCCATGAAGCGCTCAGCCTCCGTGCTGGGCCCCAAGGCCCGGCGCCTGGAGGACTACTCCCTGGAGAGGGTGCCGCCCGAAGAAAACCAGCGGCACCACCAGCGGCGCCGGGACCGGGACCGGGACCGGGACCGCGGCCACCGAGCCTCCGAGCGCTCCTTGGGCCGCTACACGGATGTGGACACAGGTGGGCCCCCCGCAGGCCCAGAGCTGAAGGCCCTGCCGGGGGACAGGAGGGGCGAGGAGAAGAGAAAGCAGGGCGGGGAGACACAGAGAGAGGAGGGCTGGGTGGCACCCCGCTGGGCTGAGGGGGCCTGGGGACTGCACCCCCAAACCTCCTCCTCCCCGGGGCCAGGGGAAAGCACTGCTCTCTGGGACCCACAGGCCCTCTCGGTGGCCTCCCGGGTGCTTGTCCCGCCCCACCTCACAGCCTGCCGTCTGTCTGTCTGTCTGTCTGACCCCCGCCCGGCCCAGGCTTGGGGACAGACCTGAGCATGACCACCCAGTCGGGGGACCTGCCGTCCAAGGAGCGGGACCAGGAGCGGGGCAGGCCCAAGGACCGGAAGCACCGGCAGCACCACCACCACCACCACCACCACCACCCCCCGCCCCCCGACAAGGAGCGCTACGCCCAGGAGCGGCCCGACCACCGGGCCCGCGCCCGGGACCAGCGCTGGTCCCGGTCCCCGAGCGAGGGCCCCGAGCACATGGCACACCGGCAGGTGGGTGCGGCGGGAGGTGCCCCCAGACCTGGGCCACGGGGGGCCGGGGGAGGAGGGCGGCCCCCACACCCCACAGCCACTCTGGGCAGGGTCCTCACTCCCCATGGTGACCTCTGGCCCTGCCCACCACCGGGTTCCTTCCCAGGCCAAGGGGAGGCCTGGGGGAGGGTGGGCATTGCCGCCCGCCACTGTGGTCCCCCACCCCGCCCCAGCCCCTGCCCGCCTGCCGCCCCCCCCCCTGCCTGCAGCTGCTTCCTCTTTGGTTCTGGCCAGCCCAGTCCTCGCGCTTTCCTTTAACCCGGCTTCCGTTTTTGTTCCGATTTATGATTTCTGTCCTCTGGACGCCTGTGAGTAATTTTTGAAACTTCTGCTATTTTAACCCCGAAACTTACAAAACTCCATTTCTCATTTCTCTTTTCACTTTGTTGTGTTGGTTTTTTGACTTCCCCCGCCCTCCTTGTCTCTCTCCCTCCTTCCCCTCCCCTCCCCCTCTCCCCCTCCTCCCCCTCCTCCCCCTCCTCCCGGTGGCTGTTGCTTTTTTTCCCTTTTTTTTTTGTTTCCATTCAAACGTCCTGTCCTCCACCTCCTCCTCCCCCCCCTCCCGCCCCGGCCCCTCCTCGGCCCCTCCCCGTGTCTCCCCCTGTCTCCTCCTGGTTGATTTGGTTGTATCTTTTGTTTTGATTTCCTTTGTTTCAATTTTCGTGTAGGGCAGTAGTTCCGTAAGTGGAAGCCCAGCCCCCTCAACATCTGGTACCAGCACTCCGCGGCGGGGCCGCCGCCAGCTCCCCCAGACCCCCTGCACCCCGCGGCCGCACGTGTCCTACTCCCCGGTGGTCCGCAAGGCGGGCGGCGCGGGGCCCGCGCAGCAGCAGCAGCCGGCGGCGTGGCCGGGCCGGGCGGCCCCGGGGGGCGGCCCGCGGAGGTACCCGGGCCCCGCGGCCGAGCCCCCCGCCGGGGAGCGGCCGCCGGGGGGACCCCGCTCGCCGGCCCCGGAGCGGCGGGGCGCGGCGCCCAGCGAGTCCCCCCGGGCGTGTCGCCACGGCGGCGGCGGGGCGCGCTGGGCGGCCGAGTGGTCCCCGGGCCCCCGGCACCACGGGCACCCCCGCCGCGGCTCCGACTACGACGAGGCGGACGGCGGGGGGGACGCGCCCTACGACGCGCCCTACGAGCCGCCCCCCGCGCGGCGCCCGTGCTCGCCCAGGACTCCCCGGGCCGCGGGCCTGGCGGGCGCGTCGCCCTCCCGGCACGGCCGGCGGCTCCCCAACGGCTACTACGCGGCCCACGGACCGGCCAGGCCCCGCGGGCCGGGCCCCCGGAGAGGCCCGCACGACGCCTACAGCGAGACAGACGACGACGACTGGTGCTAAGCCCGGGCGAGGTGGCCCCGCGCCCGCCCGGCCCCCCGCGCCCCCCGCGCACAGCCCCCCACGGGGAGGAGCCGCCGGCCGCCGCGGGGCCACCTCGCTGCCTGCCACCCGCCCAGCACCGGGGGAGGCCGGGGCGAGGACCTGCCGGACGCCCCCGGACTCTGGAGGGAGTCCCCAGGGCCGGGGCACACCACCGTGTGTCCCCCAAAGACCCTCGGCGCCCCCCACCACCCACCCACCCACCCAGCCCCGACTCCCCCCACGACGGGGACCCTCGGGGGACAGACCAACCACACAGCCAAGGGATTCGAATCAACTCAGCCATTTTTGGAGAACCTTGGGGAAAAAATGGAAATTTAAAAAAAAAAAAAAAAAAACATTTTTAAAAGAAAAAACGGGGAGAAAAAAAAATCCGCTTCTATTGATGAGTTTTATCATCTCAATTGGACCTTTCCTTCCCCCGGTGAACGCGAGCTGGTAGCCCGTGTGCGGCAGCGGAACCGGAGCCCAGCGTCCCACACAGACCTCCGCCAGACGGCTCAGACCCCACACACGTGCTCAGACACACAGGAGTGCTTGCTGGTTATACCAAACCCTACTATTACTGCCTGCAGAAATCGATTTAAAAAAAAAATAAACAATTTTAAAAAGGACAAAAAAATTAATGATTGAGAACAGAAGCATTTTTTCTGACATCTGGTCCTGCTTGAAATAACAAAAGAAACAAAACAAAAAAAGACCAACACCACCGATTTCCTTTGCTTCTTTTTGCCTTTTTCCTACCTTGTTTGAAAACTGTGGGCTTGGGACTGTGAATTATTGCATGACATTCAAAAAGAGAAAAAAAAAATAAAAAGTTGAATCAAAGGGCTTATGGACTTGAGTGGTCTTTAACCTTCTGCCAAGTGTCCCCTGGGTTTTGTGGGGAACCGTGGAAGGAGGGGCTTTGAAAGTCGCTAAGAAGGGGAGCTGGAGCCCCCCAGCATCCGGATGTGCCACGCCCAGCAGAGAGCTCGGCAGACAAGCACCACTGGGCTCCCAGCTCGGTGGCCAGGGCACCATGATGCCAGCTGCCTCCTTAGCAGGCCCAGGAAAGCTGAGCCAGAGATGCTAAGCAGGTCCTCGCCAGCTGTCCAGGAAGACACTAGAGAGGTGGTGATGTTTGTTCACTTGTTTTCCTTTTTCAGTTACTATTTACGTTTGAGAGAGGGTTTTAGGCCTAGCCAGTTTGGCTCAGTGGCTAGAGCGTCAGCCTGGGGACTTGAATGGACCCAGGTTTGATTCTGGTCAAGGGCACATGCCTGGGTTGTGGGCTCAATCCCCACTAGGGGGTGTGCAGGCAGCTGGTCAATCTCGTATCATTGATGTTCCTATCTCTCTCTCCCTCTCCCTCTCTATCATCAATAAAAATACATTTTTAAAAAACCGAGAGAGAGGGTTTTAACTTCCTACCCAGAAAACTTGACCAGTCATAACAGCCACAGGCTTCCAGACCAGCTGTCTGCGAAGGCCAGTGCTGATCCCTGTCAGAAGTCCCCCTGGAGGTGAGGGGTGGGGTGGAAGGATGCATGCAATTCTCTCTAGAGCCAGGAAGCTACAGCCATCTGTTGGCCAGAGAATGAGGCCCACTGTTGGAGCCCCCCACACCACCCTGGGACCCGGAGGCCAAGCTTGTAGCTTAGTGCCAGGAGTCTGGACCCCAGGCCTCCTCAGCCCACACCTTCAGCTGGAGAGAGTGTAAGTTGCCCATTAGACACAGGTGGAGGGAGGAGGAATCCGAATGAAGAGGCAGAGGAGGACTCACCTGGCCTCACATCTCAGTGCCTGGCCGGAGCCACATGGCCTGGGGACCTGAAGGAGGGACAGGGAGACAGGCTCTGGGGGCCAGGGATGCTGCTCGAATGTCCTGGGCAGCTCCCTCTCACAAATATCTGAGATCCAGGCTCCATTTCAGACAGGTCCTTAAGGCTTGAAGGAACTGCTACCCTCTCCCTGCAGCTGACCGCCTCCCAATGCTAGAGGAATGGAGTCTTAACGTCCTGTCTGTGAAATGGGACCCTCTGCTGTGTCTGAGAGGCAACATTGTCCATCTACCCTCTTCGGTGCAGTGACTGAGGCCGTGAATTAAACCAACAAATGGCAGATTAACGGGAGAGAATGTACAAGGTTTTTAGTAATACAGAAAAGAAATGGAATTCAAAGCAGCATTTTGACTCGGGGCCTTCTATATCATTTGAAACGAAGGAAAGAGGATTTGGGCTTCAAGGGACTATAAACTGTGGGGAGATGACGAGGAAATGGAGGAACTAGAGGAATGGAAAGGGGATTGTAAGTAGGTTTGTTGATGCAGACTCAGCTCAGTGCTGGCTCCCCATTTCCAGTGATACCAGCCCCTCTCCTCTTCCTAGTCCAGCCGGCAGAGACCCCACAAAGGAAAATTCATGTCACCTTCTCGGAGGGAAAAGTATTCGCTGCTTGTAGGCAGAAAAGGAGAGGGCAGAGAACTCCCTGCATCTGTTGAGTCTCAATTGCCTTCAACTCAAAATGATCCTACGCAGAAGTGGTATATTTGGTGGAGCAACCCCTGGCTCCCATCAGCTGCCAAAGGGATTGGGGGTCATGGTTGGGTGAGACAGATCTTGGGAGAGACAGATCTGTGCTGGGTCACCCAATGGCACTCCCCAACTACCTGAAACGCAGGCAGCACTGAGGTGAAGTCCTGATTTTAGAGAAACAACCAGAAGGGGGCGTGTGAGGACAGGATACTCAGCAGGAAAGCCTCACCAGCACAGCAAAGCCAGTTATCTTACAGTGACCAGAGCTTAGACAAAACATTGAAGTTTAATAAAAACAAAACTTTTACAAAATTAATGAAATATCCCTAGCCGGTGCCCTGCAGACTGAAGGGTCGCGGGTTCAATTCTGGTCAAAGGCATGTACCTTGGTTGCAGGCTCCATTCCTGGCTCCAATGGGGGTGCCACCAAATGGATGTGCTGCTCTCACATAGTTGTTTCTCTCGGTCTCTCCCCCTCTCTTCCATTCTCTCTAAAAAAAAAAATCAATGGGAACGTGGATGGCGAGAAGTCTGAAATGAAGGTGTCAGCAGGGTTTCCAAGCCACACTGAAGGCTCTGAAAGAGAAGTTGGTCCGAAGGTTTTGGGTTATTGTTAAGCTGAAAGAGAATACACCCCCACCACCGCCTTCCCTGTCTGGTGGCGCTGCATTCCTTGGCTTGTGGCTGCCTCACTTCAGCCTCAGCCTCTGTCTTCACTCTGCCTGGTTTCCGATGTTTCTGTGTGTCCTTTTCTGTCTTTTATGAAGTCACGTTCACTGAATCTAGGACCCTCTCTATCTAGTATGAGCTCATTTCCATCCTTTCCTTCATCGCATCTGCAAGGACCCCATTTCCAAATAAGATCCCTGTAGTTGAATAACATACTTGGTCTTTGTCCCAGTTCCGGGCACAGAGCTCCTAAAACCCTCGGTATTTCCTGAGTCATAGGAGTACCTTTCGTTATTCATAAGGAACCCCTTTAGGGTACAGCTGTGTTTATGCTAATGAGGTAACTTAGGGTGGGGGTCCCCAGGTTGCTTTAGGATGGGGGCTGGTCTCCAGGAAGAGGGTTGGGGTGGGAACTTTCTGGCCACCTCCACCCTCTGGGAACAATAGGGGGGACAGAGATTGGGTGACAGAAACAAAGATGTAAGGAGAGCTTCCAAGTAGGACATCCCAGCTTCACGGGACAGGACCCTTTCCTCTGGCAGTTCAATTTGAATTCTTTATAACAAACCAGTAACATCTGAAGTGCCTTCCTGCCGGCCGGTGTGGCTCAGAGTTTAAGTGTTTGAGCATTGACCTATAAACCAGGAGGTGATGGTTCGATTCCTGGTCAGGGCACATCCTCAAGTTATGGGCTGGATTTTGGGGGGGGGGGGGGGGGCGGGGGCGGGACAGAGGGGTGCAGGAGACAGCCCAACAATGATTCTCATCATTGATGTTTCTGTCTCCCGCTCTCTTCCTCTCTGAAGTCAATAAAAAAAAAATTTTAATTAAAAAGAATGGGCTGAAACCAGTTTGGCTCAGTGGATAGAGCGTCATCCCTCGGACTAAAAGGTCATCAAGGGCATGTACCTTGGTTTCGGGCACATCCCCAGTAGGGGGTGGGCAAGAGAGAGCTGATCTATGTTTCTCTCTCATCAATGTTTCTAACTCTCTGAAGAACAATAGGAAACAAGAGGAAGAACAATAGGAAGAGGGATCTCTCTCTTCCTCTCTGTAAAAAATCAATAAAATATATATATATATATATATATATATATATATATATTTTAAAATATATTTTATTGATTTTGTACAGAGAGAAAGGGAGAGAGATAGAGAGTTAGAAACATCGATGAGAGTCATCGATCAACTGCCTCTTGCACACCCCCTACTGGGAATATGCCCGCAACCAAGGTACATGCCCTTGACTGGAATTGAACCCTGGACCTTTCAGTTCCCAAGCCGACGCTCTATCCATTGAGCCAAACCGGTTTCGGCAATAAAATATATTTTTATAATTAATTAGGCCAATGAGTTTATTAGGCCATTGCTAGTACATGCAGAAAAAAATGACTGGTCCTGGGGCATAGAGTCCAACCCACCGGCGGCAGCATGGCGAGGTAGGAGTTTTGCAAGCATTTTTATACATCACGTTGGGGGAAGAAAATGCAAGCTGCTCTGAAAGGACTTACATTAGCTCTAGACACGCGGATGGGAGAAGCGTAAGCCAGGCAGCTCTGGGATAGGCCAGCAGAGGCCGCAAAGCTCATGTGTAAACAAGAACTCGGGGCTCCTGGGGTTACAGTGCACCTGGCTTTTCTCTCACCCTCTTTTTTTCCTTTTTTCTCTATTTTTATTTTATTTTTAAAATATATTTCATTTATTTATTTTTTTTTTTTAAATATATTTTATTGATTTTGTACAGAGAGGAAGGGAGAGAGATAGAGAGTCAGAAAC